CACTACCATCACTACCATCACTACCATTTCCACTTCAAGCACTCATCCCCGTTACGTTACCGTGTCTTGTCAAGAGTCGGTTTCTAAACTTTTACCTCTTTCCTCCCTCACAGCTTTTGCGTGCCGTTGGTATTTTTACTCGGCGATCCACGTCCACAAGTTTCCCCCACATTCACCAATCAACCAAACCACCACCAGTCCGAGGTCAGGATAGCTCGAGGGGATACGTTCATTCGTCGCTCCCCCAATCCAACCCTCAGGAATTGTCTCAATTTTGTCTGTCTTGACAGTCAAAGTTGCACACCGTGGCGGTACGCCTCGCCATCACTTCACTCTTGCCCTCCGCTCGCCCCCTTCCGCCCCTTCGATCCTCTCATTGCCTAGCCCACAGTTAAGAGACGCCAATCTGGATGATTCCCCCATCTCCCCTCGTGCCAATCCATCTCCCCACCACCCACTGGTCGAATCAGGGCGACGCTATCGGAGTTGGAGATCTGCCCCCTTTGGATCGGCACCAAGCGGTATTTACAGAAGCCGGTTGCTCCTTCACCGCGCCCGTTGTCGGCCTTTGAACAGCTGCCTGTCTCACTTTGTCCACTGCTCTAGGCTTACTCGAGCACCTGCAATCGTCTAAACGAACCGCGAGCTAACCCAATCTTCTCTCTTCTTGCAGAGCCACCCACTCGACCTCTCTCATAAACGGCCAGTTTCCCGGCCACCTTTCCGTCCGTCAAACTCACACGAGGAACTCGGTCTCGCATCATTTTCGGCTTCTCATCCAGCCACAGTCACTCTTTTGCCGGACCCTGTTCGCTTTCAACACGCTCCTTCTAATACTAATATTCTAATCTCTCGGTTGCACTATTCCACTCTTTCGCAGAACCGATTCTGAAGACTTTTTTTTTTACCGTTTCTTTTTTCACGTCCTTCCGTCTCCGATCACCAAAAAAAGCTTCCTGGAGAACTTAATCGTCATTCTTTCCCGTTTCGGAACTTCGACCCGTCAGCCAACCCCCCTTACACCCGCCCTCGACTCACCACATCACAATTCAAAATGGCGTACTACCAACAACAACAGCAACACTCCGACCCTGCTTTCTTCACAGAGGACCACGACGAACCCCAGAGGCCACGAATGGGCACTCGGGACGCCGCCAAGATGATTGCGAGGCAACGTCAGGAGATTATCGCCAGCGAGCTTTCCCGGATAGCTGGTGATGAGTACTTGGAGGATATCATGAAGCACATGAGGCACATGGAGGTAAGAACACGAGGAAGGAGCGACTGTCTAGATGTGGTCGGTTTTACTGACACCTAGCTTCAGGATGAGACGATGCCTGATGCCAATCTCATCGACATGCAACGAGAGATCCAATGGTACATGAGACCCTACCTCATCGACTTTCTCATCGAAGCCCATGCCGCCTTCGCCCTCCTTCCCGAGACTCTCTTCCTCACCGTCAACCTCCTCGACCGGTACTGCTCAAAGCGTGTCGTCTACAAGCAACACTATCAGCTCGTCGGTTGCGCCGCTCTTCTGATTGCCGCCAAGTATGGTGACAAGAAGGACCGCGTGCCCCAGATCCATGAGCTCAACAACATGTGCTGTGGCTTGTACGACGCCGGCATGTTCACCCAGATGGAGATGCACGTCCTCAATACTCTTGAGTGGACCATCGGCCACCCCACCGTCGACTTCTTCACCCAGCTCATCGTCGCTGAGGAGCACGACAAGGTTGATGTTGAGCACATGGCTGCCTACATCTGCGAGATCGCCCTGTACCACCGCGATTTCGTCTCTACTAAGCCTTCCATCATGGCTCGCTCATCTCTCGCCTTGGCAAGAGCCATCCTTGGCGAGCCGGAGATCAATGATGGAGAGTGGGACCACGTCGAGAATGTCACACTGTTGACCCTCTCTCAACACTTGCACAGCCCCTCCGTCGCCCTCGCCAGAAAGTACTCATCATCACACTACTCTGGCGTCGCGAAGAAACTTGCGTCCTTCATGGCTCACCAAGCTAGCATTGCGCGAGCGCAGTCGGGGGTCCCTCCGAGTCCGCCTTCTGAGTCCGCCTCAAAACACTCAAACATCTACAGCACCCCCCACAAGGGCCACGGAGCTGTCGCAGGAGTAGTGGAAGGATACATGACCCCGCCAATCACCCCTGATGGCGCCGCGTACGGAACCGTCAACAAGGACGCATACTCCATGCCGCCGAGATGCCCAGTCACCCCGACGCCACAACCCAACACAGCGGCATACGCGCAAGAACAAGTGCAGCAGCAATACGCCCCCTTTGTACACCAACACACGACGGGTCACCACCTGGCCTAAACGTCAACTAACACGAGTCAAACCCAGCAGACCGACTTGTCGGTCCGCCCCGCGGAGTCCCACACAGCGAACCAACGCTACGATACGGGCAATCGAAGCTTTTCCCTCATTATACCCGTGGCAGGGCAATTTGAGCGACCTCCCCAGGAAGTGGATTAAAAAGGAAAAAAAGATTGTTTGCCGCATGCATACAGAATGGTTTTTTTCACACGTCATGGCATCGAGCGATTTGATTTTTTATGCAACAAAGTTCATTTTCACTTAGCAGAAGTGTCCCAAAAAAAGGAATACGGATCATACCCCAACAACCCCCGAGTTATTTTTTTCTCAACAGCATTCAGCGGCTTTTTATTACACACAATACACACCCCGACGAAGAGTTTTTACGTTCGCGAGATGGTCACCCCAGGAAGGGTGAAGGATTGAAATCACAGCGGTCATCCTTCCCGGTAATCGAATTTGGATCCGGGCGACGAGATGTCGACACCCCCGACCCATTCACCAACACACCAATGAAGGGACGCCAGCGAAGGTCAGATTGTAGGGTCTCACGACGAGATTCGACCCGAATGGGAATTCTTGAAGGAGGAACAAAAAGAAGCAAAGTGGATTTTTTTCGACAAATCGGCGGGGCCTCGATGGACTTTGACCAGACGGGAAGAGAACTATTGGCCTCGTTCATGGGAGGGAAACGTGCGGCCATTGAGCACACGAATTCCTCCTGGCCGGTTTACTTTTTTCGTACCTTGGAATCAACCATTTCGAGAGTGGTGGACAGATTGTTTTTCCTCTCCTTTGATCATTGAAGGCCGGATATCCCCTAATTGGCCGACAATGAATACAAACGGATACTCAGGGAATCGGTTTCTGGTCCACAAGTTACTTTTGGAGACGAGGCTGGATTTGTTCTCTTTCGATGACCAGAAGAAATTTCTGGATGGAGAGAAGGAAAAAAAGGGACGACCATGATACGGTGTCCCCTACCCAGCCGGGGCGAGCGCCCTCGAGACTGTCGTATACCCGCATTTCGACTCCCTTAGGTGTAAGGTAGTTGTACAAAGGCACAAAAAAAGAGTAAAAATTCTCTGCTACTTTTTCGATCATAATTCTCTAGTTCCCTTGACTTTTGCGTGCCATGTCTCTGTGTTTGTGCTCTGTGGTGATTATGGTTTGGCTGGTGCTGGGCCTCCATGTGTGTGACGGACGGGTCGGCGATGGTTACACACAAGGGGGTGTCGAGCTCCATGCAAGCCCACATGGGAAATGAATTGTCCACCCTCCATCCATCCCCCCCTGCCCGACTCCTCCCCCCGGTGCTTGGAAGCGTGGGCTGCGTGGGCTAATCATAGCTGTTGCATTAGTGGTTTTCCCGCTGCACGCGGGATGGAGCGGCGAGAGGCCTACTCCGTACTATCGGACTTTTTTTTTATTATGATGTCGGGTAGGTTTATGCGCTGGATAAGGTATGTATGTCACTATGCTATGCGAAGTGGTTTTTGGAATGGGCTTCTCGTGTGTGCTGGTCAGAGTTGGATATTGTTCCTCTCACGATGGGGTTCAGGGTCGTCAAACGAGCGTCGAGGGCTCCGCGCCAACCTGTTCATCTGAACCTTGGAAAAGTCTTGATGCTTGATGATTTGATCTTCGTCTGAAAATTCGCAGACGGACACATTTCTGCTTGGGGAGTGACATGGCATGAGACCAGGCTAAGCCTCTTTGGGGATTGGAAAGGGTGGGGAATGATTTGGGGTACCTAAGGCATTATTGATGTGGGCAAATGGCAAGGTACGGAGGTACATACTTGTCGACTTTTCCATTCTGAGAGGGTTATAGAGCTGGGGGGGGGCCCGGGATGTAAGCTGTGCATGCATGGTTTCCAGGTTCTATATCCGTGAGATGTTGCTGAATGGTGCACACGTACTCTGTAATCTGGGCTGGATTTCTCAGTGGATGGGAAGAGGGAAGTTGGATGATTGGGATGCGTGGGATTCGAGAAGTGACGTTTGTTCGTGGAGATGGATGATGATGGTGGTGGTGGTGGTGTTGTTTCCTCCCTTTTGTGTAACGGTGTAGTTGCGTATGTCTCAGGGCGGATTTTGGTCGGTGAGTGATTCCTTTTTTGAAAGGTTGCCCAAGTTAAGGCAAGGTTTTCAAATACAGTTCTTGAGAGATGAGAGGTCTTGAAGGATTCATTATTAGGTTTTCCTGCGATTGTTCCCAAATAAACAAAACAAAAATTACGGTTCCAGCATTGTCTTTTACTGCTCATCAGTATTGGCTTGGATAAGTTTGCTAGAGAGTGCTCTGAAGAATATCATTACTATTGCCGATTGCATCTTGATGTTGCAACGGTTTTCCAGCCTCTCCTATTTGTTTTGCTCGTCGGGGCTGCCTTGTTACAAGGGGGTTTTTCGTTTGCGCATTGACGGCTTTTATGCGAGGGGGGTTGGGGGGTTGAAGCAAGGGGGGGACTTAGAATTTGCGATGCGTTGGCCATGTGGCGGGATGTGCGCATTCGGATGTCTACCTTGGGTATCTGCTCGGGCTCTTTTGGACTGCCTCTTTATTCTGGATTCACGGCTTGGATTTGCGTGTTGGATACGGAGTATTGGTGGCGATGATTGGGTTTCGGTCTGGATTGACGGTGAGTCACATTCGGGATTCATGGGGCATGATGCGAGATCCCCCAAAAGAAATCCACCCGGGGCGGCCGGAGCGTCACGGCGGGAAGGTTGGGTAGGGGCCCGGACCATGCTTTTTCCAATGTTGGTCCTTTGGAGTTGGGGCCTTGGATCTTGGAGAGGTTGATAGAGGTTGTGGTTGATTTTATGTGTGCGTGTGTTGATGGAACGAGGATATTCGTTGGTCTGTGTCGGCACAGGGCAGGGATCGTGCTGGCCTTTCTGACCATGTGGGAAGTACACATCATCTCATCTCCCGTACGCGTCAAACGGTTGGTGGTTCGTCTGATCTTGTTGGATTTTTGGAGTTTTATGCTATTGCTTGTGAAAGCTTGGGTCATCCCGGGGGTTTCTTTTTCTGAGGATGTTGGTATTGCTGGGAAGGGTGTTTTGTGATTCATACATGGCTTCGTATGCATGGATGATGGGGAGGAAGGGACTAGGGGGGAGGTTAGATTCCGGGTTTTTGGAGAATTCGATGTTGGAGGGATCGAGATTTGGGATGGGGGATATTGTGAGCGCATTGGAGGACGGCCCCGGGAGGGGGGGTGGTAGGTAAATGACTTCGCGCGCGATGTCTGCTTGCAGGGCGCCGGGCATTTTTTCGATGTTGGGGAGCTTGGAGGCGCGTGGGATTCGGGCGACTTGAGTTCGCCGTTGACGGTTTGGTGAGTATGTTTGTGTAGAACATGGATGTGAACGTAACCTTGGGCTGTATCAAGCCGTCGAGCTCACTGCCTACACGTTCTACGAGTGGCCTTCCTTTGCTGTCTTCGGTACTGTCGGATGGGGCCTGATTCATTTTGAGTTGGGTGGGGGAGTCGGCGGAGGGGTTGAGAGGCTTGAGTTACTGATCATGAGGTTAGAAGGAGAAGGACGAGTTCTTGAGATTAGTGGTGTAAAATATCAGTCATCACAATCGTCGCATCTTTCTTTGCCTGGGATCTACGAGTTGGGCGGGAGAGAAGAGCGTTTTGGTATAATGATAAGAACAAGTACGATGGTCTGAATGTGAGTCTTCGAGACCAGGCATTAGGCGGACGTCGAATAGAGGAACAGCATGATTGCTAGGAGAGAACCTTCATGTGGTGATCAAAGAAGATGCCCTCGTCGGTGATGGATCAAGATGCGGGGGCAACTTTGATAGACGGTGTCTTGATGGCGGAGAGGCGGCATTGGCCTCTCCGACGCAGTGTACTTGACAAGTCGAGTTTATTCAAGCAGATGGTAGACCTACCAGAGAGGCAGTCTTGTATTCAGAAAGTCTTGGGGCCATGGTCAACTGTCTCTGAGGTGTCTATGTCAACTAGGATAAGGACGACCCACGGAAAGAAAATGAATCGTGGGCCTTCTCAACGCAACCACGCTTGTCTGCCCTGTATCAAGGTATACATATGACGTTGAAGAGTATAGTATATACCAACTGAGTACTTGCTAACTAGACTAGGCGGCGTACGTCTGCTTTTGTATGTCCTAGCCATACCTTCTTTCTGTGTGTTTTTTTTTTTTGTCATACTTAGGTGCAACACTAAAAGGGTTGGTTTTGACGCATGTAAGAGCTTCAGAATCAAACCTCGTCGTTTGAGTTGATTCCATCACGCCTTACTTTGAAGTATATTTTTATTCCGCGGGTCGTCGAAGCTATATAGTCAAAGTTCTCAGCTCTACCGTTCCAACAAGGGCACATGCTGCTGCTGAGTTGCGTCATTGTCAAGGGCTGAGCGATTTGTGGCTACTTGTCTCATAATTGGGCAAGTACCCCATCGGTCTCTTCCGTATGCTGCTGTAAGTGTATCTGTTGAGCATCTTAAAAGCTAGTATCTTATGTTCTGGTTGGTGGCAAGACCCTCAGGGCACAGATGATGGTCCACACTTGAGGCTTACTTGTATATCTCGCCTTACAGCCGCGATCAGGTAGCAAGGGCAGTAATCACTCTGGCAGCAAAGTTTGTTTAGATGTCGAGAGTGGACGACTCCCAGCACAAGAGTCGCCCACCGAGATTGATACTCAATTGTGAGCGGACCCACTGCGATAGGAGCGTCCAACGGTTCCAGCGGTGATCGCTCCGCAAACCTGAGAAAGCGAATCTTTTGGTCGTTGAAAGGGAACCGTGACGACCCCGAAGCCAGGCCAGAGGAGAGTTTCTACCAGGCAGACTGACCATGACTCTGGAAGATTGACTAGAATGAACGAGTCTGGAGCTATAGCTTGTCCCTGCAACAACATTTGCCGTGAAGCAAAAGACAACCATGTCCGAGAAGGGGTGTGAACCTGTACGTCTCGACCCTTCGTTCGTAGACGATGAGTCTCGACCTCGACCTCTGGAGCCGGACTGGATGAAATGTTGGACTCCTGTCTGGCTCCGTAGTTTTTCATGCTTACCTCAATCATCCCCTCAAATCTCTCAACTATTTGCCTCGGGAAAACCTGGTTGATGGCTGAGGATAGGGTGGTTATTTGGATATTGCCTTTGAAGTCGGAGAACTGTGTCGTTTCCCCCTAGATGTGACATCCCTACCCTGTTGATGAGTTTTCGCTGGAATATCAAGTCCTAATTTGATTGTCATCATCATATTTCCGATAGCCAATGAAGTTAGGAAGGAGTACAGACTGAGCATACATATTAGAACATATTATCGGCTTGTTTCTTCCCCTTATAGCCTGCATTCGGCCTTCGGGCTAACACCCTACGGTATAGAGACGGTTTAAGTCGAGTCATCTGTGAGAACACCGATTGTTAACGTGCATCTGACGGATCTCTATTATCTTTGATTGCTAAATTTAATGGTTTAACAGGATCTAAAATCTCAGACTTGACAGCAGTCTCCCATCTCGGGCGTGAGATAGAGCTAGGTCATCCTCTACCTCGACTTCGCGTACTTTAACTTCCTGTACGGATCTACAAAGTCAGTGCTACTTGTAGGTGAGAACTCTGTAGCCTCCACTTGGGCTTTGTTGACTCAGAAGTGGTGAATGCTGACATTTTTGAAGGAGCGGGATCCTAGAGCAACAAATAACTAGATCACGCCACCTGGGCGGGATCACGAACCCCACGTTCCGGAGAAGACCTGGCATATCATCCATTGACCATTTCCACAAGTGAACCAAAATTCAGCCGGCGATTCTCCGCGGTAGGCTATTGCGTAGGAAAAACAGAAGTTGACTCGGCTGGTTGCGCATCTTCCTGGACCTTAAACATCGGAATGGAATGCCGAAAACACCGACAGGCGCTCTGAAGAGGTAAAAGTCTTCACGGCCGGTCTCAGTGTAGAGCGCGACTAGGGGATCGCTCTTCGGACTTACTACGTAATGGGTGTCTACTAGGCAGAAGTATCGCATTCGCTTGGGGCAGGACCCGCTGGCGGTCCATTTCTCGCGAGTCCGTAATTTTCCGCGCTTCTCTGCTGCCACTCAAGACTCCTTTGTAGTGCCTCCCGAAAGACTTCTTTCCAGTTGTGGCGGCTTTCTTGTGATCCAATTTCTCAAGAAGCTTGGATTGCCATGCAAGAGCTGGGGGGCCGAAAGCTCGTAGGGCTGGGAAGCCAAGAGTTCATCAAGACATGACCAGGGCGCAGGTTTCCGCCTTTTGGGAAAGCTCCTGCGGGTCCACGATGCCGTGCTAGAAGCCTCTCTCTGGAAACTTGTCTCCGAGTAGACTTCTTGCTTCAGTCCCAAGTCGAGAGGCCGAGACCGGGATACCAGCCGCATGTGAACGCAAAGGCGACAACACAAAGCACCGGGATGAATAGATACTATTGGTAGAAGTCTAAAGCTAACCTCGGAAAAGACCCAGCAGTCAGCTCCCCCTCTAGCCTCTAGGAACAGCTCACCGAACAAACCACGCAAAACCATAGATCGGACACGAAATTTCTGTTGCCTCTGCTCGGATTCCTCTTACCAATAGCTCCCCCCCGCGCCAGACCACTTCCGCGATAGCGCCCGGCCCGCAAAGCCAAGTCCGGCCAAGTCTGCAGTCTGGCCCATCTAATCTAATCAATCAGATAACACCATCCCGAGCATCCTCGCCCACCATCCCACTGAAAAGGTTCGGGAACCCGGCACTACGGGTCTCTCTTTCGCCAAGCCCTGTCCCCATGTGCTTTCGCAGGATCCTTCGCAAAAAGTCCCCCAGGGCTCTTCTTCCGTCTCGTCTGTCTTCTCACTCAACACCGTCCTATGATCTGGCCCCTCATCCGACACCATGATGGGGTCGCTTCCCGACCTCTCGGTTCCTGGGCACGAGCAACTTACTAGTGAGGTAGCAGCCCGACTTCGGTCTCCTGCGCGTGGGTGTGTGTTCGTCCTTTGACTCTAAACCAAGGTATGCGAGTGTGGGCGAGTCGAATAGCCGCATCTTATCAGATCATAGCCTGTTGTTGGAAGGGAGCGTCGTGTGCGTGGGTCAAGTTGAATCCTTCCGGCCGCTAAGTTCGTGATGGGATGGTTTAGAACTTAGCGAGGTCACCAAAAAGTGGCACGCTAGAAGGGCGGCACATGCTTGCGTCCTCCTCTGAAAGGTCTTTAACTACGAACGAAACCCCCCCATCGCCGGCTACTTTCCTAGCCTTGCTCATTCGTCCTTTCTGCACTTTCGTGTCTCTGGTGTACGGCGATAATGGCAATGCTTTCGCAGCTACGTGAGGCCCTCGGCCGCAAGCAGGCCCCCGTCGACGATGCTCCCATGACCATCACCACGGCGCCGGATGCCGCCAACAACAACGACGACAAGGAACTGGGTGAGATCCCGCCCGATGACGAGAAGCCGGGCGAGGAGCAGAGGGTCAGCCAGGAGGTTCAACATGGTGTCAAGTTGGCGCAGGCTTTGACTTTGACGTGGGGCAAGAACTCGCTGATTGCCATCTTCATCTTGTAAGGACTCCTTGTCGGACCTCTCGTAACTTGAAGAGCGATGGGACTAATGGTGGATACTGCTTGTAGCATGTGGTTTCTGTACCTCACAAACGGGTTCCAGAGTTCCGTGCTGTACAGCTTGACGCCGTATGCGGCCAGCGACTTTGAGTCGCACTCGCTGCTCCCTGTCATCGACATTGTGTCCAGCGCCATGACGGCTTCGGTGTACATCCCGCTGGCCAAGATTCTGGATCTCTGGGGTCGTGCGGAGGGGTTCTTGCTCATGGTGCTCTTCGCGACGCTGGGCATGATTATGTTGGCCGCCAGCCAGAACCTCGCCACGTATTGTGCCGCTACGGTAAGTTTAAACCTTTGCCGCACTTGATTGACAACCACGCAAAACGAGCAAGTACTCACGTTTGAGAAATCCCTAGGTCTTTTGGCAAGTTGGCTGGTCCGGTCTGACCTACAGCATCGACGTAATCACGGCGGACTCGACCCACGTCAAAAATCGAGGACTGGCGTTCGCCTTCACCTCTTCGCCCTACATCATCACGGCGTTTGCCGGTCCCAAGGCCGCTGAGGGCTTCCTCAACAACGTCAGCTGGCGTTGGGGCTTTGGATGCTTCTCCATCGTTCTGCCTGTCGTCGCTGTGCCCATGTACAGCATTCTGAAGTGGAACATCCACAAGGCCAAGAAGCGCGGCACTCTGGTGCGCGAGCCTAGCGGCCGTAGCTTTGTTCAGAATGTCTGGTGGGGTCTGATCGAATTTGATGGTATGTTCTTTCTCTCCCCTCAAATGGGTTTTCTTCGCCACTGCTCAAGACTTGAGGGATTGCTGACCGTCTTTACTAAAGTCCTGGGAATCGTCCTCTTCGCCTGCGGCCTCGTCACCTTTCTGCTCCCCTTCTCCCTCGCGAGCACCGCCCCAGACGGCTGGAAATCAGCCTACATCATCGCCATGATCGTCACCGGCTTCGTCGTGCTCGCCTTGTTCCTCCTCAATGAGCTTTCCCTCGCGCCCAAGCCCTTCCTCAAGTTCGAGTTCTTCTCCGACAGAACCGTCATTGGCGTCTGCGTCCTCGACATTACGTACCAGGTCGCCTACTACTGCTGGAACAGCTACTTCACCTCCTTTTTGCAGGTCGTCAACGACCTTTCCGTGTCCAACGCGGGCTACGTCGGCAACACTTTTGACGTCGTCTCGGGCGTGCTCCTCTTCATCGTCGGCTTCTCCATCGCCAAGACGGGCCGCTTCCGCTGGCTCCTGATGGTCGGCGTGCCGCTGTACACGTTCGGCCAGGGTCTCATGATTTACTTCCGCCAGCCGGGCCAGAGCGTAGGGTACTTGGTCATGTGCCAGATCTTCACGTCGATTGGCGGCAGCGTATTTATCCTGTGCATGCAGGTTGCCATCCTCGCGGCCGTGGACCACCAGCACGTCGCTGCCGCGCTCGCGCTCCTGAGCGTCTGTGGTAATATTGGCGGCTCTGTGGGAAACACGATCTCTGCGGCCATCTGGACCAACACATTTGAAAAGGCTCTGGAGCGAAACCTACCCGAGTCTGCGCTGGAGAGTCTGGCGGATATCTACGCGGATCTCGATACGCAGCTGAGCTATCCTGTGGGCAGTGATGAGCGACTTGCAATTCAGAACGCGTACGGGTATGCACAGACGCGGATGCTTGCTGCTGGAACCTCGGTGATGGTATTTGGCTTCATTGCTATTTTCATGATCAAGAACTACAACTTGAAGGAGATGAAGCAGACTAAGGGTCTCGTATTCTAAGAGCTATAGGTAGCTGAGCTCTGGCAAAGGGATGCGTTATTTCATGGACTGTGTATCACTTGGTCGACTAAACCAAGTCGGCGAACACCGGATGTGGTTGATGAGATGGACGTATGAAGCCAATGATGAATACATAAATGAAGTCGGGATAAAACCTGTACAGTTGGTGCAACCGTGAATCAATTTTCGCAATATCAATGAGGGGCTGTGTCGTTGTTATGCATCGATTTGAAAAGGGGCATAAAGGGGGAGGTTGCTTGCAGATGGGTATTGATATTGAAATGGGATTTCATGCACTGCTTCCATTGTTGACGGCATCGGCAAGTGACGTTGCAAGCCGGCGGGAAACAAAACAAAGCTCACAGTACGTACCTGTTCCCGGTCGATAACGGGTGGACTCGGCGATGACGTCGACCAATCACCGCTGACAGCCGGATCAAGCCCGGACCCTTCGGTGCTGCTGCAGCCAGTGAAACGCCAACGGGTGGACCCACATGGCGGAGGCTTTTCCCCACGTCGTTTTTGGAGGAAAGAAAGCACTGGTTCTCGAGTGCTTTGCCTCTTTGCGGTCTGTCGCTGACCTTTTTTTCTTTGCCGCCCACGCGAGTCCACTTTCTGACCTACCTTACCTCGTCTTGAGAGTCGAGCTACCTAACCACCCATCTACCAAGAAGCTGTTCGACGTCAAAGATCCGGAGCTTTCAAACACTCCCTCTTCAGTAGCACTTCTTGGCTTGACAACTGGTTAAGACCGACAAGATGTCAGCCGACGACCAGCAGTTTCTGGACGTTGTAAGTATCATCAGCCCCCACATCACACCTCCAAGCTTGTGATCACGAGAGCTCTACTGACACCGCCGTTTTCCTCCCACAGCTGTCCTCGCTGCCCAACAAGATTCGGGGCTACTCTGACGACCTCGCAAACCTTATCAACCCCACCGTCGACAAGGCTGCACAGGCCGTACGAGAGACGCTGTCCTCCTCAGAATGGCTGCCCGACTCGGTGCGGCCGAAGCCCCCCGTCCGCCACATTCCCATCGAGGTGATAGCTATCAGCCGGTACGAGAGGCTGCACGGCTGGGTGAAGGAGCACAAGCTGTTGACTGGCGCCATCGTCGCTGTCGTGGGAGTCGTGGCATACCGATCGTACAGGAGTAGCAGGTTCTGCAAGAAGACGCGCCGGGCGAAACGGGCTCGGAACGGTGGCCGTCTCGAGGTTGTCGTTATCGCGGGCTCACCGACACTACCTTTGACGAGATCGCTATCACTCGATTTCGAGAGGAGAGGATTCATCGTGTACATCGTTTGCAATGCTGAGGAGGATGAGAGCATGGTGCACAGCTTGGCAAGGCCGGACATTCTGCCTTTGACCATTGACACAACGGATGTGAGTAGTAGAGTCGGTGTACAGTGTAGGCCTTGACTGACGTATCTTGCAGCCCCCAAGAGCAGGCGCAGCCATCGACAGCTTCGCGCAGTACCTCCAATCACCACACGCCCCGGTACCGCGAACGAGGCCCAACCATCTGCAGCTCAAGTCCGTCATCCTTATCCCTTCGCTCAACTATCAAACTTCACCCATCGCCACGATCCCGCCCTCCAGCTTTGCAGACCTCTTCAACACCCACCTTCTCCACCCCATCCTCACCATCCAGGCCTTCCTGCCGCTCTTGACAACCCGCCTTAGCCCGCCCGGAGAGAAGTGGACGCCGCCAAAGGTCCTCGTCTTCACTCCTTCCATCATCTCCTCCATCAACCCCCCCTTCCACGCCCCCGAGGCAACGGTCTCCTCCGCCCTATCAGCCTTCACCGAGGTCTTGACGGCAGAACTGCGACCTCTCGGCATCCCCGTGACCCACATGCAGCTGGGCACATTCGACTTCACCGGCTTCCAGCCCGCGAAGAACACTCACCCCTCCCAGAGAGGTCTCCTTGAAGGCGGCCCCGGTGTCGACGCCGACGCTACGGAGACCCTCATGTGGCCCGAGAATGCCCGCCACGCCTATGGACGCAACTTTGTCATGCAGAGCACCTCAGCCATCTCGGCCGGTCGCATCCGTGGTTTGAAGGGCAGCTCTCTCCGTCACCTCCACAACGCAGTCTTTGACGTCATCGATGGGTCCATCACCAGCGGCACCGTCCGCGTCGGCCTGGGCGCCAGCGTCTACGGCTTTGTCGGCCGCTGGGTGCCCCGCGGTCTCGTCTCCTGGATGATGGGCATCCGCCGCGTGGACGAGCTGTCGGCGTGGCAGACGAGCTCTTATGATGGATCACTCGACGGCAGCGACAACGACGAGAACCAAGACTTTGTTGCTGTGCCCGACGAGAAGTTAGATAGCAACGTTTGGAAGTCATCTTAGAAGGACATGGCTCTGGCTAGAGTCTCGCATTGGGATATGCCTTCACAAAGGATGTTCAATCGAACCAAGAGATGAACCCTAGTTAAGATGCTCGACTAGGCATAGGAGCCAACGAGCCAGCCGGCTGCTGATGTTAGCCGTAGCCGACGACGCTAGGCTACTGAGGAATGCGTTTAGGTGAGGGGGCTATGATGAGCCATCTGGCCGTGTCAGCGAGTGAAACCGAGAGCGGTTTCTGAAAGGCCTATGATTGACGAACTCCACTCGGATCCCAAAAGGAAAGACATTACCACATCGTTACTCGTTGGATTAAGCGTATAATTATGATAGTAATTCAGCGTTGTATCGTGGCTGAGCCCGTGGCTCTCTACACCCCTTCTCTCATATACCTTGCAAGTCTCAATCTCTATGATCGCTTTGTGCGCCGACTGTGTGAGGGGGGGCTTTCGATGATTGGTTTTAGCGTGACTTTGTTCCATTACCCACGTTTTCTAAACACACCGCCAGACGAGCAGATGATAAGTTGACTTCTTAGAGACACCATTCCTCGAGGAGGCTCTCAAACCATACCTTGCAAGTCTCGCATGACTGGCCGATACACAGTGATTGGATGGTTGAGGTAGCTTGCTTCAAGGAGCAACGATCGCTCGTCACGCTTCGTGTTCTGAGATATATGTATTCTCACCACACGTTCCTTGGTACTCCTTAACCGGTATGACTCCTCAAGAGCGTTCTGAATTGAAAGGTGGTGGGCCTTTAAAACCCATCTTCATCAGTCTCTCATCGCTTGCCGACGCACCGCAAGTAGATGAAGGGGGTGACTTGCTTCAATAGGAAACATGCCGTTCGTCACGCTTTGTGTCACCCCTCGTATTCGTCCACAATATCTACATGATGAATGTGCGTGGTGGACAAAGGTTGTTATATAGGATTAAGAGACATTTGTTGCTTAGGGAGTAGCGTGAAAAAATCATGATTTCCACAGCAACCTGGAACTTCAGAGATCAAGCAATGTAGAGGGAGTCGATGGCATTAATTACCGGCTGCCTTGAGGATCACTTGAAACGGCTGCGTGAGGTTGAGAGGCTTGTATACGAGACAAGGTAGGTCAGGTACAATAGATTCGGGGCCGACTGGAGATGGGGAAGGGGGAAGGAGCGGCCCTTTGACCTAAAGGGCCTAGGAAAGAAGAGATGGATGGAATGGAATGGGCCATTGCCCGCTCAAGATTTAATGATTACATTTATGTTTGTATTCGGATCAAGTCTGTTTGTATTCTTCATGCCCAACGCACTAATTATCAATGTTTAGATGAACGTCTCGCCTTCATCAACAATGGTTAGATAACAAAGACATATGATGGATGAAGGGGCCCATTCGTGTATAATCGGCCTTAGGCTATATGGAGACAAGGAGATGTTCATTAATGACCACGACGTATTTGAGCGCAGCGATAAGCCTGGTGCGACATACATCTTACAGCTGTCCTTGTGGTTAGATCTGGGATGTAAAATCTTGGAATCGGGCACCGTGACGGACGGGCTTCGTGCGCTTGAGCTTCGGAGTAGATACGAAGCGTCCCGTGAAACTGTCACAGGATGGACTGCTGGGCATTGCTAGTACCTCATTGCTGGACTCGTCGTTGTCTAATTCGGGGGGTCGCTATCGCTACTCTCAGTCGACTCGCCGTCACTTTGGGTCCTAGGGCATAGTGACTCCTTGTTATTTCCAGATAGTCTCTTCTATAACAATCATCTCTAGAATCTAGCAGACCCGCTCGTATTCGTCAATGATGTTTGTGTGATGAATGTGCGTGACTTCTAACGAGGGTCGTTTAGATTTAGAGACTTTGGGTCACATCGAGGCAAAGAGACACTTGTTTGTTTGGAGGGGGTCTCGGGGCACAAAGGCTTCCCATCATTTGGAAGAGTCTCGATTCAAGGGAAGGGAGTCGATGGCATTAATCATCGGTGCCTTGGGGGTCGGTTGAACGGCTGCGTGAGGTAAGGGGGTTTTTATACAAGGTGAGTGGGTGGATTGAGGGTTGTTGGTAAGGGAAGCAGGAACGGACTTGTGCTTTGAGGGGCTAATGAGGGAACGGATGAAATGGGTTGTTGTGATGATGAGAATGGAATGTCTGCCCTAAGGAAGTAGAGAGTCAACGGCACGGTTACAAGACCTCAAAAAGTGGCAGTGGCAGTGGCAGTGGCAGTTGGGACCATCCTGTTCAACATCTATCTAACCCTGCTTGCTGATCTATCGAACTACCTAAAACCACAAGTCCCCCACTCATCGTTGCCCATCAGCACTATCGTCCCTCTTCCCAAACCTGGCGCCGAAACCTCCAATGTCCCTCCGGAAGAACTTGCCAAAGTTCTTGAGGTTCTCATTCATGGTCGCCTTCTCCGTACCCGCGATGCCCCCCGGACCTGTTCCCTGTCCTAGGTCCCTCGCTGCGCTCAGAAGCTTCTCGCCCAAAGAAGTCGCGTCAAACTTGCTTGGCAACCCGGGCATGGCGCTGCTGGCGCTGGTGAGAGCAGTGCTCGCGTTGATGGCCCCAAGACTGGAGCTACCGAGCCCCGTGGTCGCCATCAACGGCGTGAGCAGCGGAGATTGCTGGACGAGCTTATCACTGAGATTGCCCTCGCGGTGGATGCCGAATAATTCCACAAGGTGACCCTGGTCAGCCTTGCGGACGCCCTTGAGGTCGAGAATCTTTCTAAAATTGGTGTCGGAACGGTCTGCAATGTGGATCAGGTAGGCTTGGACCAAGCCCTCTGGCGGCGAAGGGCGGACTTGCAGCGTCTTGAGCAGAGGGTCTATGCGGTTCATTGTCTGGTTCACTCGCTTCACATAGCCCGCTGGTGCTGCGTGCGGTGTCGACGATGACTTGTTGTGGTAGGACAGGAGATTCTCGAATGCTTTCGTCAAGACGTACTTGTCAAGCAACATCTATGATGGGATCAGTAAGTGTGTGAGGGCTTGAGTATGGTGTGTTCCTACCTGTTCAGCGCCGACCTCGGAAACTGGGCGGCATTGTACAATGTTGCTTATGTAGGCATTTACAAGATGGTCCACCAAGTTGTCGCAAAACGCTCTGGCGTATTGCTGTTTGACCAAAAGGCCTAAAATCTCCTCGGCCTTGCCATTCACAGAAGATAGAAGCTCACCGACATATGAGCTTTGGTCGCCCACAGTCTCCATGGTGCTCCAGCCTGTGTTACGCATCTCACGCCAAGATCCCTCACAGGCGATCTCAACGTTACGTACTAATGTCAGGACAGCAGCGCTGGCTACGCCAAGGAAGGCATCAGCCTGCGATGACAGGTCGACTTTTGCGACAAGCTCGTTGTCGATGCGCTTCTTTATATTTTCCTCCAACTGAGTAGTATTTGTAGACCAGAAATCTGCCGTGTTCAATACCAAAATGACGTCTTGGATCGGGGGCCCTTGAGGACCAGCCCTTTGCAAAATGTGCAACAGAACTTGCTGTGCGTATTCGTCAAGATATTTTGCCAACGTCTTTGAAAGATCCAACAGTCTATCGCTGGTAGACAGTTTGGCGCATTGCGATAACGTAAGTTTGTAAAAGTGGAAGAGCTCAATGGCCGACGATATGACGGCTTGCGTGGAAAATTCTTCGTCTTCTGGCAGCAGTGGCTGGTTTCGGTACTTTGGTATCATTGCAGCAAGCTGCTTGTCTTGCGACTCCACCCACAGACTCAAGTAAGGCTCGAAAGCGGTTGATATAGAGCCATGAAAATTTGATGCTCTGTCGTCGGATGAGCTTAGGGTGTCTATGCTGGCACGTGGTTCGTTGGCAAAGCGCCTTTCCAGGCCGTGTTCGAAGTCCAAAGTCTCCTGTAAACAGCTCAGGAGAAGGTTGACGTCGATTTTCTGCCCATCCGTCTTGCGCATACTTCTTTCGAGAATGCCCTTGAAATCGTCTCGAGTGCCGTCGCAGAAAGCCATGGCCAGTAATTCATTCGCGCGCCAATGGGGCGGAAAGATGACGGCGTGTTCATCCTCGTGAGTCTTGAGCATGCGTTTGAACCACGCGTACCTGCGGCCGATGTTGTCCAGGTTCCCGGCCTCGTCGTTGCCCCTGAACACCTGGCGATACTCGCGCAGTTCAGTATTGACGTACCAGTTCATCAGTCGCGTCCGAGCCATGTCGCCCAAGGCATCCATAACCAGACAGGCCTCCACCAGTGTGCCTCTGCGCTGTGTGACCTCTCCCTTGGCAAATGCGATCTCAAAGTCTTCGCAGACCTGCTCCAACAGTTCCCGCTGCAGCTCCGAGACGCCTCTGCTCAGCGTGGCAATCTGCTCAATGCTCCTGTAGCTGTTGAAATGCTTCATAAGCTGTAGCACAGCTTGTAGTAGGCTCGCGCAGTCTCTGTATTGCCTCGTCTTGGCCAAGCCTCTCAGCTGTTCGTATGCCGTCGTCAACATCTGAAGCCGTTTGAGAGCCGTCATGCTCAGGGTGAGGTTCCGTTTCGTGCCATCTAGTCGTTTTATATCGGCCGTCATAGAAGTGATGTTCTGCTCGGTCTGGATTGCGCGGGACCGTACTGTCTCGATCTTGCGGAAGAGCTGGGCGAGTTCGGCTTGGGCTGACTGCATGCGCTCGAGGCTCGAATCGGGACCATAGGCCTGGGCGACCTCGAGGCTGGTGATTTCGACAGCGAGGTCATTCTTATGGGTCTGCAGTGTATCGGAAACGCGGCTGATGGAGGTTACGGTGGAGGGGTGCGGGAAGAGGTGATTTAGGTGTTCGATAGGATCGTAGTCGGCTGCCTCAGGGTCAGATACGAGCTGCGCCTAGCGGGAGTGGGATTCGTACCGGCATCGAGGGATGTTTTCCCGCCAATTGATGTCCCGTTCATGCTGAAAGACGGTATAGAATTGGTCTGCGTTGAAGATGGTGATCTGGCGGGATTTGACGGGACAGGTTGCTGCATGTGTCAGATTCCCTGAAGAGTTGAGCTGCGTGTCTTGGGAGCTCCGAGTCGAGATGTCGTCACGTGTTAAGACGGAACGCAGGGGGATCTGCGACGGGACCTGCCGTAGCCAATCGGAAAGCGCTCCGAAAGGGTCCTCGAGCTCTGTAAGCAGGCGCCAGTGCGCCATGCCGTCCCGTTTTTTCTGGATCGTCCCACCTCGAAAAAAAAAGTCTGGGGAAGGAAGGGTCCAAGGGATGGAATTCTTTCTTTCCTTCTTCAAGCAAAACCTTGAGACGACGTGCCAAATACGGGAAGGCGGACATGGATCGCTCCTCCCCCTTGCATAATACCTGACATTGTACAATTGCATTGGGATAATCAGTCATTGGCGCTTGAAACCATGGCTGCAGCAACTTCCATCTCCTCTACACAACTCCATCGCCCACACTTCCTTCATCTTGCAACCTTCGATCCAAGGGGTTCCTGCATCTTACTTCTTGTTGTTCTTTAGTATTAAGTATGCAACGTTTGCCATCCCAGGCAGATGTAGGAGTAGACTTCTCTCAATCATGGTCTCCGCCTCGCCACATCCATTCCGTTTCAAGCACAACAGGTTCTAGGCTGCGGAATGTTCATTCGGAGCAAACTCGAGTTTGCGACAAATGCGTGCACCGCAGCCCACATTTTCAGCATTCAGAAATACACCAGATTCGCGACTCAATATGTTCCTGGAGCCTTTCTACAATACGAAAATCCATCATACGGGAGATCACACTACCTCCAAGCGGATCATTGCGTTGGCTTGACACAGGCGGCAGTTTCACAGCTTCATCAAAATGCTTCAAGTTCATCTTAAAGCACAGCAAGACTCGTCCGCATTGTTTTGGTGCCACGTCGATTACCATTGCCATGAGCTTGTCGTCATTCTAGTCTACTCTTGCGGATAAGGTTCACACAAGGAAATCCTTTCAACAGACGATTGTCACCGCTCAAATAGCCGAAGACTCGGAAGCCAATATCGCCACAGACTTTTCGAAGACAGCCTGCAACCCATGTCAATCCATTGCAAGTACCTCCATGTCACTATGACAAAGGGCAAATGGAACCCTGTCGACCAGAATCCGTATTGCTGGAAGCAACGCCACGACCTTGACAGGCTGTGGCTAGCCATGACTTACAACTCTAAACATGTTTGGGGGTCCTTGGAGGAGGGGTGCTACTCTGCCAACACACTGGAATTTTCCAATCACTCGCAAACGCTCGTGTCGTATCAATGTCAAGTTGCATGAATAGCCAACACCAAGGACGCTGAATCGCAGCAACCCTTCCTTACCAGAGAAATCGGTTGGAGATCACAGCCGGAAGATAACGCCGCCCATCTTTTGTCGTATTGCTTGGATATCCCGACTCAAGCCACGGACCTCAAAACACCGGACCAACGCATGTTCCGATAGTCGAAGTTTCTGCCCACCATTTCAGGGATGTCTCGATCTGATAACGGACCAACCACGACGGCTAACATCAGACGACGGATGACAGTCAGACACCACTACCCATCCAACGTCAACTTTGTCGCCAGGCTAGAGTCGTCAGCCAGGCAGGATGTTTGGGTAGACCAGCTCATGCGGCCGCTAATGGCACCAGCCTAGAACGACCGGTGACGAACACATTTGTCTGACTTGTCAGAACTCTGTCAGGGCGCGACGTTCACATGCACTCCGTCCGTATCACTCCGACCCCATCTCGGTCTTTGCGGCAAACGTATCTTCCGAATCCGAGTAGCCCAGCCTCCCGATATCCTCGAGAAAGGCCCCCACGCCCGGTTTTGCTCGGCATAAACCAACATCCCCGTCGCCCCCGTGACCCCCGATCTTTCCGATCCGACCCTCCTTTCGCTGTCACTCCAGAGGTGAGCGGAAGCCTGGAACTAGATCAAGCAAACAGTCAGCACAAAGGACCTCGGTTACCAGGCCTTTCACTGCATTTTCAGGCTCGCCCCCATCCTGCTGCGAACACGGAAACAGACGTGGCATAGTTCGTTGCAGGCATCTAGCTCCTCAAGTCTGACAATGGACTTGTTGCTCCAACACGTCCCATTGTGCCGCAAGTCAGCATTTCCCCTGTCCTATATCGCCCCATTATTGTCACCTGCCATATCATCTGCCACGTCCCCGTCACGCATACGTCGTTTTAAGCATTCCGGGTTGGTCTTCCCAAGGAATTCTTCAGCAAAAAGCACATCATCCCGTCATCCCGTCAAGGCTCAACTCCGATAACCGAGTCATGTAAATCTGGGCAAATCCGCCCCTCCACGCCCCTCTCCCTTTCTTTCTTGGGCCTCTCATACCCTCGTAACCCCGAGAAGCACCGTAGATCCTCCCCCTCCTTCATCCCCGCCATCCCGCAATCGGCCGGGGCGGCCAACGCCCGACGTCTAAAAGATGCCCACTTTCTACAACACACCGCACTTTGCCTGCCGGGCAGCCATGACGGACGCTCTCCACTTCTCCCACGATACTACCAAACCAAAAAAAGCGCGCCGTTCTTTCCTCCAACACGGCGCCGTCGCATCTCGGGAAGAAAAAGAAACCAGAGATTCTGCACCGCTGCCAGACCAAGGCGGCCCGCCCTTCTCCCACGTGGAAAAAAGCAAAACACAATCGAGGCCATCTAGCTTAACCAGCCTTCTCTCGAGTCAGTGCGCCGCATCGGCTTCCTGCTCTCGTGCTAGACTAGCATGCTAGGTACCTTATCCTTGATGACTCCAGGGCGTGGCTTTCGTCGAGGCTAATGAGAAGCCAGGCAGCCTCGAAAAGAAGGCGAGCGTCAGGAGCTGAAGGAAGCTATCCTGGACGGTACGGGCAAATGGGCCTGGAAGCAAGACGGACAAGAACTAGGCGTCCCTCGATCAAGTTTCCCGGGCGGAGGCACGCGTCAGAGCCCGATTGCTATATCGGGCCTCAAACACACCGTCGTCGTCACGGCTCCTCAACCCCCTGGGCCTAAACGACGCCATGGACAAACTAGCACGTAAGACGAGTGCGCCTGGGACCGGCCCAAAGGGCTAGAAGCACCTCTGAAGACTGGGAAGCCGTGACTTAGAACAGAAACCGAGCCACGAACAAGTTTCCCACGAGGCATACTAATTAGCACACACCGACACCTCAAGTGTCCCAGCGTCCCGACTCCGTCCCGATACACCACACCACAACTTTCAAACAGGAATCATGATCTAGACCGCAAAACACACCGCAACATTCATTCGGGTCGAGGAATCTCACCTCATCTCACCTCATCCCTTCACCTACACCCATGTTATTTGGGACCAAGAGTTTACTAGGCGAGAACCATCGTCATCGACCGTGGGCTGTCTCGCTCACCACGACCCCGTGCCTATTCCCGTGATGTGAACCCACGTGTGCAGCACACCCACTTTCTGCCGTCATCTCTGCCACCCCCCCCCCCTTCGTTTCCAAGAATCCCATCCGGAGCCTGCTGTGCAACCAAATTCCGAACCTGAAAGTGATCCATTCCCCCTGTCAAGCCATTACACACCATCCCGATCCAGCAACCCGCAGTCTTTGTATCACCTACCAAGGTGTGTCTCTGGTCAGATCTCAGCTGTTGCGTTGGGAACAGGATTGCTAAATGTCACCTTTTTGGGAAAATACCGATGGAATTTTCTCTCCTAGTATATGGTAAACCAGCCCATGGTTGCGACTTTGGTAAGGTACAACGCATACCTACTTGGTCGACATCGACAACCGGGCAAATAGAACAAGTCACCATGCTTCGCGGGCAAAAAAGGACAGAAGGAGAACAACAAGGCGGAAAACCTGGAAATCAAATGGCCCCGAATAGCAACCAATCTTATCAATCTCCCGTATTTCCGATCGACAGAGCAGCCTCGGCTGCATGTCCCCATTGGATACCATTCGACGCCTACACCCCCTCTTTCCCACCCCCGAAGGGACCAAATCCAACCTCTCACATTTAACCCGTTTTGGTGATCCCGAATGGGAATTGCAGATTCGACACCAGCACAAAAAGACAACACGCATGCGCAGTGCAGCACGCATCCCAACACCGTCTTACAGCCAGGCAGGCGAATGAAAACCGAATGATGCGCGCCTTCATATGCAGGACCATGACTCTCTCCTACATATTTGTTTCCAAATGTGCAGAAAATACGATTGATCTAATTCCCATCCAAAGACGCGTCGAACCAACACAGCTGAATCAAATAACAGAATCACCCGTCTGTGACAGCATTCAGCAAGCGAGCACGCAGGCCAACAGCGAGGCCAGGGTATGTGTGTGCGTGTGTGTGTGTGTGTGTGGTAGCAACAAGAAAGAAAGCCACATGAAGTCGGAATCAAGAAATACCGAAGAATCCCCAGCTCAGATACACCACCCACTTTTATTTGGTTCACCTCGACTGACCTCAAAGTGCGCTTTTTGACGGGACACGGGATAGTAATACGAGGGATCTCAATACAGTAAACCTTTCCAAACACACCTACTGACCAGCTACTAGCTAGCAAACGCACTATCAAAAAAGAAGAGACCGTCTCACGACGCCCGTAACAACAAGAGGCCACAGAACGGGCACAACGGGCTGACAATGATGGAATCACGTTCCGAATCGGTCGACCTGCATAGTCTCCATCCCACCACCACAACCTCCATTGGATATCCCATGCGCCTACGGAACACACACGGTAGGCAGTCCCCCCACCCTTCAAAAGCGGCACCTATAGACAGAGTTACATGCCCAAGGTACCTTACATCGCATATTGTACCTAATGCTTTTCAACATACCTTACATAGCAACAGCACATCATACGCTTAAACTCTAGGATAGCAATGGCTCTGTGTAAGTGTGCTCTGTCACGGTCACGCACACACACACACACATACAGACACATGCCGTAAATATCCCGGACATGATCGACAACAAGAAAACCCTTGATACCTTGATCCCTGACCCCCCGGTTACGCCTGCGGTCGCAAGCCCACAGACGGTTTACCGAATCGCTTCCGCCTCCCGTATCTCGGAGTGGGCTCCGATCCAGCGGGCTTTCCCCACCCCGGCTCTTTACTGCGAAAGTCTGCCCTGCTGCCCCCCCCCCCCCCCCCCCCCCTCCTCCTTCATCCATGAATCCAACCCCTCCAAGTATGTATGTAGGTATCCCTTGTGCCCTTTCCATTTCCACTTAGAGCACCTTCTCCCATTCCCACTTGGAGGAGGCACCCACGGCATCGCATAAAAAGAGTATGGATGCAGTAAGAATATCATTGCCCCGCGCGATCTGCGTGGGTTGCCTCACTCGCACACCCACGCAGGGTTGCCCGCAGGAAAAATAACGATTTACCCACACACCTACAGAGTACATCAAAACCCTTCCATTCCCTCTTGGCCCATCCGAGGCGCCCCTCCCTCCCCTTCGGTGCCCCTCCAAGAACCCCTCCAAAGAGGACCGCCCACTGCTACATGCCGTGCGTGGGTGCAACACTGCAACCCACAGCCCACCACACACAAAAAATCTCACGATGGGTTGAAAGGAGGGGCAGAAATTCTGAACCAAAAAAAAAACAAGAGGTATTTGGGTCTTGTTCCATTGGAGTTGCTCCGGGCCATTTCGGCTCCCATCGTAATAGACGTGAGAGAGACAGAGCCGCCCACGCGAGTCAACGGCGTTCCACGCGCCCAGACGCCTACCAAGAAATACAAATTTGTTCCATCCACCAGAAAATATCCCGCCCAATGCCACCCCTCCTCGTCTCGCTCTCTTCTATAATAATATGAGTCATGATGCAAAACCGTCGTGAGGGTAGAGAAATCGTGAGAAGCCATATGATGCCATGCAAAGTCAGCTACACCGCCCCCCCCCCCCCCCCCCCCCCCTCCCCTTTGCTCCACGCGTGGGATATCATCAGCCGCCCCAAATTTTTGGTGTCCTTTCCCCGCCCCCAAAATCCAGTCATGCCGCCGCCGCCCGGTGATGCGTCGATCAAATAGGTTCAAGGGGGAATCATGCGTGAAATCTGAGCAAATGTCGAAAATCGAGTAAAAAAGAAACAAAGTCCGTGATGCAGGTCGCCGAATTGAAGAAAAGAACGCCATGTCGCCCCCCCGTCAGATGCTGTCGATCCCCTTACTCCGCGCAAATGCAATTATCGTCTGTCTGTCACTGACCGTCGGCCCGTGAGGCCGAGGTTTGCCGACACGTGTCGGCGGACTGTTGCTGAATGTCTCGAACGCACCCTAGGTGGTTCATTCCGAGAAAGATGGCCCTTCAAGAGCTATGCAGAGCTCTGAACCCGGTGGCTATGAGACTCCGCGAGCTTTCCTTTGCGTCTGCTGGTCCGCTCCAGTAGAATAATCCCTTTCCGAGTCATCAGCACATGTATCGTTCGATAGGACCGTGGGGGCAAAACATACTCCTAGACTCTTCTGTTTGCAAAATGCGGCCTTCATCTTCACCGTGTCGGGGTTGTCGTATGTGACGAAGCCGCCATCCCCTCCGACACATTGGGCTCCAATAGACTTCTTGTCAATGACTTCTTTCGTCCCTCGACGGGGAAGTTGGTTGTACTCGAATGTCCCATTGCTCCCGCCACCTCCCTTGAACTTCTGTCCCGGCCCAGTAGCATGAAGGAAGCTGCGACCGTAAAGGGGGATGCCGAGTAGGATCTTCTGCGAGGGAAAGCCTTGCGAGACTAGATACTGCACTGTCGATGCGCCCGAAAGTTCGTCCTTGCTCATCGCATACAATTGGGCATGGTGGCCGCTCCTATGTGTCCATGTGCCAGCAAAGTCGTAAGCCATGAGATTGAGGTAGTCGACGTAGTCGGCCGTTCTTTGCAGATCGATGTACTGCAAGATCGCTCGGCTCGCGGGCAGCGCAGCAGTAAGGAGATAATGACTTTCGGGCATATGAAGGCGAACAGCTGCCAACAGAGCGAGGAAATGGTGGCCTTGCTGGGAATCACAAGGATACTCCCACATAACTGATCGACCATGTGAGCTAACTGCCCACTAATGCAGAGGCAAGTAAAATCAAGAAAACTCACTATCAATACCATCTAAGCCCGACGCGTCGACCAGGCCTCTCGCAGAGCGGGCAAAGTTGTCTCTGTATAGTGTATTCGCAGCTATAACGGGGAACACGGCACTGGAATTGCCGCCCCCGATGGACAGAATAACTTGCAAATGCGGATGCTTCTGCTTGAGGTGCATGAGAGACCCTAGGCCACCGTGGACGCCATCGACTGGTGCGCGAGCATCAGCCCACTCGTCGCTCAGCTTATCGCAAGTCTGGTTAGTCAACCTATGCGAGCAGCGGATTTGGTAAACTCACAAAAACACTTCCATCAGGCGAGATATTTGCAAAGGCGTAATACACATGATTGATGCAGCCATAGTTCATGGCGCCCGGCGTGTCGCCTTGGTATATCCGTTCGTTGGGGAAGTAGACGGCGTTGGTGTACATGACGTTGGAGATGCTAGTCGTTCTGCGCGACTTGCGCGAAGATGACGAAGAACTCATCTTGATCCTGGTTGCCATAAGATCTTTCTCAAGGAAGATAGGCAGGGTTCGAAAGTTCGGAAAGAAAAGCAACTCTGACAGTCAATGTGACAAGGGAAAGGTAGTAAGGACAGTATATGAAGAAAAGGACTTGAACCCAAAGCTGCATATTTGAGCAATGAGCTGTTCGGTCAGGCAGCAAGCGCGAACCTCTGTGGCTCCAAGCAGCATGGAGAAGTGTCTATATATCTGGCTAGACACCACAGTACGGGAGTGACAAGCCAAATGCGACGGTGAGCGAACGCGGGACGGACAAGGTAGTATAAGGCCTTGTCCGAGGCGGTGGAGACGAAGGGACGGGTATCAAAATTACAAGAGGGTCCAGGATACTTTGAAGCCATGATGCATGACATAATTGGGTTGGGGGTGAAGGATGGATCATTGGGGGGGGGGGGGGGGGGGGTGCGAAGGGAGTGAGTACTTGGATGCATTTACGCTTGCAGGGGGATGGATGGTGTTGAGACTTTTTGTCAAGTCATATATGAGAGATCTGGACGAGTGAGAAGAAACGACCATGTACCAGAGACGAAGAGGCGGAGAAGGATGAGAAGATGGCTGCCAAAGCCAAATTGCAAGGCATCGTGGTAGGGCGGCCATGCCCGGCCACTGGCGCCGTTGTTTTGGTTAGTTCGCTCGCTCGTCGGCGTCCTGACTCTCTCTTCTCTCTGTCTGTGAGTTAGCACCAGCGCGAGTCTGTTCCCTCACTTCGAAGCCGGCCTTCGGCCACGACCACCGACCCTTGGCGGCAGTTGACGATCAGGGTTGCAGCGAACAGGAATGATCCCTGCTCATCGCACCGCTACTTTGGCCCTTCTTCCTCGTCGTCCTCATTTTTGTTCGTCCACTTCTTCTGCGTCTTCCAGCTGGATTCTCCACGCCTGCCCGGCCTTGCATGCAGGTCTTAGCTGTGATGTACCTAGGGAGCCAGCGCCCCAAAAGTCCTCGACGCCCATGTCCGTGCCTTGGTGTGTTGTTGTTTAGACGCGAGCACAGTGGTGAGCAGCCGCATTCCTGCCCTGGTTACTCTCGGTCGCCAATGCGAACATCGCCGTTGTGCCCACGGCAGGGCGACAGGGCGATAGCGGGGGGAGGAGCTTTGGTCTAGCGAGCTGCAATGATGGGCTCAGCACACGCGATGCCTGTTTCTCTGGCAATCAGGAGTCGGAGAGGTCGGCAAACTAGGTACAGTCTAGGAGGATATCGAATGCTCCACGGCTGTTCATCCAGCCTCGTTTGCATTGGAAGCTCATTCGGCTCTTGCACACGGACGTTGATATTGCCATAACCAGATCGGGTTGCCGAACCACGGAAAGAAGCGATTTGAATGAACACTCGCAGGAAGACTAATTTCGGCATGAAACTGGTAGATGACTTGGAACCAGGCTCGAGACATGCTTGTTATTTCCGACTAGCTCTGGAAAGCGCCACCATCATCCACGAAGCGACGTTAGAACTTGGTGACCATTCCTCAGTCATTTCTGGTAACCTGGGGAGATTTTCGCTTAAAGGTGAGAAGCCTTTGAAGCTAAGGTGCCGAGGCTGGGGAAAACACCCCAGTCCCTGGATGTCGCTTCGAGCTGTAGAAATGATCACGTCCTGGTTTAGATTTACCATATCACTAGGTAACTAAGTAAGGAAACCGGCCTGAAAAAAAGAAAGCATGGCTGGAGAATCCACGAGGCGTTCCCAGGCTAAGACGACAATACGTGTGGCGAGACAACGAGGCGGTATTTCTGCTGTGGTGTACCAAAACTCTAAAACAACCTGCTTCCCTGCCATAGGCCAAGTATCATGCTGTGCCACGCTCCCACCGACGTTTCCGAGGAGTGTATCCCGCACTCGCTTCCGATCTCTGAGGGTTAGTTGCTGCCCGTGGCCGGATGAGGGAGGGCCGAATTCGCCTTGTATTGGGTTGAGCCATTACGGACAGTGGTCATCACACTGACGTGCAAAGAGTGGATCGACTGGCGAATCGATATGCACTGAAACCTTCGGGCGGCACGGCGGCGGCGGCGGTGTCTGTTGTTTTGAAGTGGATAGATCCCAGCTCCTACGCCGGCAGGCCGGGGCTGGTCAGTGAATCACACACGGACACGCAAGGAGAAACAGCTATAGGCGGTGAAGTTGAGCGTCGAGCAAGCCGGGCTGGGCAGAGAGCATCTGCGTCGAGGTTTGAGCACAAGTGACAAACTGGAATTGTGTTTCTCAAAACGGCCGTCTCAGTGGGCGAATCGACCAGTAGCAAGGTTGCGAGAGTTGATGGACAGGGGAGGGATTGTCGAGGGGGACATGTAGCGGTAGCTTGGCTGCGTGATGTGACCCACCAAACGATGGAAACAGCCGACAGAGTCGATGGGTTGAGGTGGAGGACGGGTGCAGAAGGACTGCATGCCACGCTGGCAGCACATGACGGAACATTTGAAGCGGCCCTGGCTATTGGGAAATCCGACGATTTGGATAAATGAGGTCATTGCAGGAGAGATGGCCGAGTTGGGTATCGATGAATAGGTGACAGTTGTATGGTGTGACTGATATGCGAGGGCGCATTGTTGTCTTGTTTGCTCATTGTTGGCGCAATCCGGGGCCAATGGCAAGTTGACGGCGAAGCGGACGCGGAGGTGCTGTCTTTGATGTGCATCCGGAGCACTGGGCGTGTCTCGTTGTCTCGCCAGGCTGGTCGTATGGGCCCACGAGAGACACGGTACTATAAGAGGACGTATGTATTGTGTCCATACTCTCTCTGGCAGGTCGATCAAGAGTGCAATCGGGGTCTCAAGCGTTGATCCGTGATGTGGTTTATTGATCCAACCTACCCTGTCGTTGGTGTCTGTACGTACGAAGATATGCGGGCAGGCCCCATATGTAAGTCAGTCGCAGTAGCCGGCTTCAGCCATTGGATGCTATGGGGGCAAAAGTTGAAGGCCCCCCCGGCAAACTCTAGTCAGGGTCTGAAGAAGGCATCGTATTGTGCGTCCTGTCTCCTCCGTATCGGAGGGAAGCAGGTCAGAGATTCGAGGTTGAAAAGGCGCCAAGACAGTTTTGGTCTGGTTAAGACGCGGGCAAGGCGTACGCCTCCAAATTTGGCGGTATGGCAGATGAAAACATGGCAGAAACGCGCTACAACAGCTGGCGCCTGCGAGGGGAAATGAGGGGGAAATGGAGACGGGAGATATAGGCTGAAGAGCAGCTAGACAAACAACTGACAGGAATGGCTTTGGAGAGGAGATGGAGGAGACGGGGACAGGGCCGAAACAAGTCAGAGAAGAGGGAGCAACAAAAACGATGTCGTTGGATTTGTGGCTTTGTTGGAGCAAACATTTCATCGGCCAAAGGGTGCGGGGTCATTGGATTTGCTCCCAGCGCCCACCTAATCCCATGTCCATCTGTCGGGTCCCGAATGCCAGAAAGTTACAGTGGAAGGAGGCCAAGGGTCCGGTCTGTCTCCGCCTGCCTGCAAGGTGTGACTTTCCACACCTGCAGCTGCAGGCAGGAGGAGGTTGGACAGTGGACTTCGGAGGAAAGAAAGTTGGGAAGGTGTAAGTACCGCAGGCCGGGTTCCATTTCTGTCTCGACTTCTCGGGCAGGTGGGCAGGACCGGCGGGTAGGTACCTACCTCTTTATCCCTTTCTTACCTAATGAAGATATTTGGATATTGAAGCAAGTCTAGCGATTGGGCAAGAGAGGGAAAGAAACTCCATTCACTGTACCTTATGGATGCACTGAGGAACCATCGGCAGCAGAGCCCCTCCTCCATCTGGAACAAAGGAGCCGGCGATGGGGTCAAATGCAAGAGAAGAAAGAAGAGAAGAAGAAAAGAAAAAGGACGGCGCATGTCATTATGCACCCTAGGTCAATCGTCAACGTCCTTGAGCTAAGCCGTCCGCGATGGATCAATTCCATTATTTGAACCCTGTAAACTTGAAAGACTTGGAGGCTGGAGGAAAGGACGGCCGAAGAAGGTGGGTCTTTCTTACCTGAGGTGGCTAATCTGGAAATGTCTTTCGTTTCTTCCATCCTGCTTGACTGCCAAACTCTCTTTCTTCACGAGCATTTGGCAGGTCCTTGCCATTCTTTCCATGTCCAGATTCCACTCCTAAAACGGTCCAACCCCAGGCACTGCCGTTTTCTACCGTTTACTCCGGTCGTTACCTATCTTCACTTTGCCGGCCGCTTCCATTCAAGTAGGGGAAAACCTAATTCCTAAGGTTGCACCCATCTCATTGCGTGATCCCGCCGGGCCGGCTGCTGAAGAACAGGAGGGGTAATTTCAACGTCCACGGCAGCAGGGCCTCCTCCCAATGACAATCTCTTCGAGCTGTGGCCTGTCCTCGGATCATGGATGACATACCTATCGATTGTATCCTGTCCTTCATTATTTGCAGCCGACAAAGTCTTGGCGACCGTTGTTGTCTCCTTTACCCCATTGAGAACCGATTCCTTTCTGCTTAGCTATTACAAAACTCTTCATCGCCAACACTATCTTAGTACGAGAGAACATTGTCAGCCAGAAGCGGGTGTTCTGTTCCCTGCGGATCGCTTCAAACATTTCCACTCTAATATCACAATGCCGCCGTCGCAAGGGTCTGAGCCTATGGAACTATCGCCTTGTGCCAACCTACTCGCAGGGGGAGAAAGTCAGTAATAAACTGCTTTTCACGAATGCACCTCGCCGGAGCGCCGCGAGCCCAACTCCATCTGAACTCTGGGCATGGAACTTAGATGAATATCGGTTCGGGCCAACAGGCCTGTCAACTTGGGACAAACATTGAACTGTGCCGCTTTTCAGAAGTGGAGCATAGACCCCTGCTATCGACTTGCTCACCCCTTCCAACCTGTGCTCTCAATTGGTCTCAAGGACCTCGGCCAGCAACCAATTGAGTTGTTTCGTCCGTTGGAGCATTGACTGGTATTGCTGTCTCCTCACGCAGTAAAATGGAGCACACCTGAGCGAAATGGAACCACTTGAACAAATGTACGGATAATTCTCCAGGATACCGAGTACTCTCGGGTCTCCCACCCTTCCGACATCTCATTTTCTGTCACGTTGAGATGAGCGTTGGCACTTTGACCACGTGTGCTTGCTACAACAACTTCAAGTTTGTGACAACGCCAAAATCCTACAAGAAAGCATTCTTTCGGTCACTGCAGTGAGATAGCCAAGGCCTGATTGCTCTGCGTCTTGCATTAGCGGTAAGATTTCGAGATGCCTTCTGACTCGCGACTGGGACCCCCTTGCTAACTCCCCTGTTTCTCTAGCTTCCAGAAGAAATCGTGGATCCGTGGAGGTACCTGAGGCCATGTCTAGCAACGATGATCCAGCTTCCCAGCACCCCGCTGCTGCTATTGAGGCGGCTGATGGGCCAGCTGACGAGAGTGAATTCGAGCTTGTCAACTGGGATGCGTCCTCAGTCGACTCTGCCTCGCTCAGCTCCAGCATCTATGCGCATGAGTACAAGAATGGTCGTCGCTATCACAGCTATCGCAATGGGCGCTATCCCATGCCTAATGACGAGACGGAGCAGAGTCGAGAGGACATGAAGCATACCATGTTGCTCGAGCTGACCGTTAGCCACGCCGTGCCACCCGTCTGCTTATCCTCCCATAGCTGACGATAATCACCTAGGATGGAAAGCTGATCTATGCACCGATTGGCGAGAACCCTCAAAAAATCATTGACATTGGAACTGGAACTGGTAAGTTCCACACGTCATAGCCTTTGAACCCTTACTAATATGTTGCTAGGAGCTTGGGCAATTCAAGGTCTGTTGTGAACTTCTCATTTGAACTACCAATCATTGGCACTGACACCGATCTGAAGTTGCCGATCTATTCCCTGCCGCCGAAGTTCTTGGCATCGATCTATCTCCTATCCAGCCTACGTGGATCCCCCCAAACGTCAAATTTCTCGTGGACGATGCCGAGGATAAATGGCTCAACGGAGACAGCTTCGATTACGTTCACTTGCGTTCTGTAGCCCCTGCGCTGAGAAATATTGATTATGTCTTGGCCCAGGCATATGAGTAAGACCAGTACCATGGACTTATCCCAACACCGTGCTCACATAATGACAGGCACATGAAGCCCGGGGCTTGGATCGAGTTCCAAGAGCTCCACGGCCAAGTTCACTGTGACGATGGCACTATGCCCGAAGATGACAAACTAAAGGAATTCTACGAACTTACGGTTGAAGCCTTCGCTGGCCTCGGCATCATGTTCCATATTGCACGCGACCTGCGGCCCCATCTCGAGGCTGCAGGATTTAAGGATATCCGATGCGAGGTGAAGAAGACCCCCGTCGGAACCTGGCCCAAGGACAAGACTATGCGGCTCATCGGTCAATACATGAAGGAGGTCGTTGCCGATGCCATCCCGGCGTTCGCCGGGAAACCCTTTGAGCATCATGGCATCCCGAACGTTGAGAGTCAGGTGTGGCAGGCAACAGCCAAGAAGGAGCTTGAGGACAGGACCAAGCACCGTTACCTCAACTTCTACTTTTGGTATGCGCAGAAGCCTCAAGACGCTCCTGAACATGATGCTGGTGCAGGCTCCTCGGGTGAAGACGATGCTTGAAAAGTTCAGGCGTTAAGCATGAACGCCGTGTACTTGGGAAATTGTTGTGGGGGTTAGCTTGATTTTAGGAGCCGACGGATACCAATGTAACAGCTTATCTCTCATCATTTAAAACACAACCAAGAGTATCTTATTAGCCTCACAAAGAACTTTTGATTAACGCACATTCAGCTGAGTAAACACGGAAAGACGAAGTGAAACGTCAATCTACTTGTGGCGACTGGCTTGAGCTAGGTTGGGTACGTATAGTTCTTTTAATATACTACTGACAAGCTGATCGAGGAAGCATATAGGTGTCAGATAGCCCAAGAGGTTGTGAGACGACGGGATGTGTGTACAGATGGTGCCAGGAACCGAAGGCCGGGCCCACTCGGGGCCGAATGGCATATGCCCCACTGTAACACCGGCTGACTAATTAATATGGGTCTTCTCGATTGATGAAGCTTCCAGCAAGCTTCCTTTTGAATGCGTCGCATCTCAACTCAAGCTGCAAAGCATCTTCTTCCAAGCCCAACGCTGCTGCCACTGTTCGTCATTTGCCCGATTATATCCAAATTCTCCACTACCCAACTGCGATAACATCACTGAAAATCCTGCGCGACCCGGGGTTTGCAATAATATCCAACCCGCAAATCACACACCCAAACGACGACGCGACTTGAACGAATAATCAACTTTCATCGCGACTATCCACCAGCCGGGACAGCGCAAGCCCACACACATCTCCCCAGCTCTTCGGAGCGCCAGCAATCATACAACATGGCAGCCGTCGCCCCCCGCCCCGAAACAGACCACATCCTGACCCACGCCGCGACAGCAACCTCCTTCGCCTTCACCCCCTTCCTCCGCCAGACCTACCGCCACGAGCTCTCCTCCGACCGCCCGCAATGCAAACCCTTCCTCGCAGGCCACTGCCCCCTCGGCGCCGCCTGTCCAGACCGCCACGCCTCCTCCAGTTCCTCGAACCCGACGGGAGGGCCTTCCCTGGTATGCAAGCACTGGCTCCGCGGCCTCTGCAAAAAGGGCGAGTCGTGCGAGTTCCTGCACGAGTACAACCTCCGCAAGATGCCCGAGTGCAACTTCTTCATGCGCAACGGGTACTGCTCCAACGGCGAGGAGTGTCTATACCTGCACATTGATCCGCAGTCCAAGCTGCCGCCGTGCCCGCACTACGATAAGGGGTTCTGTCCGCTGGGTCCGCGGTGCAGTAAGAAGCATGTGCGGAGGAAGCTGTGCGTGTATTATCTGGTGGGATTCTGCCCCGAGGGTCCGGGGTGCAAGTATGGCGCGCACCCGAGGTGGAGGACGGATCTGGAGAAGCCGAGCGTCAAGGTGGAGGGCGAGGACAGGGAGATTAAGAGGGATGGGGAGAGGGAGGATGGCGAGATGTTTCAGATGCATCAGCGGGATAGGCAGCGGGATATGCATGATGATCGCGGGCACGGGGGTGATCGGAGACACGGTGGTCGTGGGGGTAGGTGGCGCGGTGGAGGGAACAAGAGATATCGTGGACGTGGTGGTCACTGAGAGAGGCTTTTGTGGAGGCGGTGATGGAGGCATGCGTGGGATTGTAACTAGGCTGCCTCGACTAGGATTGCAGAGTCGAGAGCATCCTGTGAGGGCGTGGAAGCCGCCAGGGGATAGCTGGCAGGACGTGGCAGCATTGCCCGGATGCGGCCATAAACATATCCAATGATACCAAATTCTATGAGCAAGTTTGATTCTATTTGCATTCGAAGTCGTGAGATCAAGTCACTCAATGGTATTGCATGGTAAATACAGTCGCGCTGGTTCCGAATACCGTAAGCGTACATGGACTAGACTTCAAATAGTCATTTTGACAATCAGCAGACCAGCCCACCCGGGACTTCTGATCATTGAAATTCCATAAATCTTGCATTCGTCTTGCTGAAAGGGCGAGTATCCCTTTCTATTTCTTTTTGGCTATTTCTTAATAGTCATAGGCATCTTTGGGTACAGTTAACCCCCCTTTTTTGGTGTGGCATCCGCTGACCATTCGCTCTCGCAAATATTATCTTCTTTAGATACTCTTGGATAGACAAAGAGAATGATACCGCAGTGCCGTCTATTTGGTTCTTTGGCGGTCTTCAGGACCAAGTAAGCTCCCACGAAGACGACCATGCTCCAGCAGACGTAAGAGACTGCAGGCCGGTGATGTGGAGAACACGAGAGTTCGAGTCAAACGACCAATTCGCTCCGTCTAGAGCTTTCTCGTTGAGAGAGACAGAAGAAACATCGCTCTGGACTCCCAGAACGGTGACGTTGCCGAGCGGGTTTGAGTCCTTGAACTCGCCAGACGGAGTGGCCTTGATTGACTTGTCGGAAGAGGAGAGCTGTTCTTCATGTTAGTGTCTACTTTCACACCTTGTGTTTGGACTGTGATAAGAAAACATTACCTCTACAGTGAGCGTAGCCTCCTGCTCCAAGCTCTCACCGTCATCTACATAGAGACTACCCGCAGCAGCACCCTCGCCGTCGAGCGCAACCAGCAAACCCCATGGGTTCGCCCGGCTCTCGGTCGTCGTCAGCGCGGGCTCCTGCGTCGGGATGACATACCCGCCGCGGAGGTAGACCGGAATATGACCCAGCGGCGCATCGATCGTCACATTCTGTCCCGGAGAGACGCCGGTGACGGCGGTCTGGTTGTACCAGTCGTACCAGACGGTGCCCTTGCCGACGCCGGGAAATACGCCGCTGACGGTGCTGGCGCCTTGCTCGAGACAAGGTGTGACCATGACCGCCGGGCCGAGAAGGAACTGCCGATCCGCGCCCGCGAGCCAGGGCTCGTCGGAGAACTCCCACGCCAGCGCGCGCATGACGGTGTCGCCGAGGGTATGCGCCTTGTAAAACGCCGTGTACATGTACGGCAGCAGGGCATACCGGATCGCCATGGCGGAGCGCGAGGCCTCGGCGACGGCGGACCAGCGGTAGGGCTCCTGCGGGATGGCGGCGAGGACGTTGTGGTTGCGGTAAAAGGGGAAGAAGGCGCTGAGCTGCATCCAGCGGGCGCAGAGCTCCATGTCGGTGTTGCCGTTGAAGCCGCACGTGTCGACGCCGAACATGGGGACGCCGAAGATGCTGAAGGATAGGGCCTGCGGGATGGAGAAGAACATGTAGGCCCAGAGGGAGGCATTATCGCCGCCCCAGTGGCCGGCCCATTTGCCGGAGCCGGCAAAGGTGGAGCGGCCGATGATGAAGGGGCGTTTGCCGGGGAAGACGGCGAGGAGGGCGTTGTAGGTGGCATTGAGGATCTGGTGGCCGAAGAGGTTGTGGAAGTCGTATTCTTGGGTGCCGCCGTGGTGGGTTGCGTTGGGGGAGACGGCGTGGACGGCGAGGTCGCCTTGGATGTTGTCGATTACGTAGGGGGGGTGGGCTACGTTTCGAACGCCGGGGGTAGGCTTGGTGCGGAGGTAGGAGGTTGTTGTTGTCGATGTGGGAGTGGCAGATGACGAGGTTGTTACGGCTGCGGATGTGGATGCCGCGGCTGCCAGCGAGGCAGAGAGAGCGGAGACGGAGGCGGCTTCGGTGCCGTTGGTCTTGTTGAAGCCTTCGGGGTACTGGAGGACTTCGTTGCCCGGTTCGCCGGGGAGCTGGAAGGGAGGGTGGACGGGGTTGAGGGTGAGGTTCCCGCTGCCGCAGCTGCCGACGCAGAAGGAGGAGACTTCGGACATGTCGATCCAGATGCCGTCAAAGGCGACCTTTTGGAACCAGGTCACCATCTCGGTGGTCCACCACTCGAATGTCTTGCTGCGGCCAAAGACGGCGCCGACCCAGTCGGGGAAGACGGTATAGCCGGGCCAGACGGCGCCGACATATAGGGATCCATCAGGGTTGAGCATGAAGGCATCGGCTTCGACGCCGCGGTCGTACGTTGGGTAAGCGTCGCTGGCGTTCTCGGGGTTGGGGGCGTAGATGGCCGAGTCGACGATGGGGACGAAGTGTTGGCCGTTGTTGTGCAGGTTGCCGAGGACGCGGGCGGCGTCTTCGTAGCTCCATGAGTTTTGGTCGTCTTCGAAATCGCGGTATTGGTTCATGTAGTCAATATCGGCTGGGAGCTGTTAGTTCTGAATCGTCGGTGACTTTGAGGACATGGATCAACTCACCCCAGAGAGTCTCCAGAGGAATCTCAAACTTGGCAAATTCATCTGCGACCTCCTGCAGGTTATCCCAGCTGGTGTAGCCCCATCTGCACTGGTGGAAACCGAATGTCCAGTACTGCTGCATGGCGGGCAAACCGACAGTGGTCTTCTGATAGGACTTCATCACCGCGTCGGCAGTCGGTCCAGCGTAAAAGTAGAGGTCAATGGTGCCGCCGAGACCTCTCCAGGTGATGTTGGACTCCCGGAGCAAGATCTCCTGGGCGTGAGCGTTGCGAAGGAAAACTCCGTGGGTGTACGACGTGTAGTCGGCGTTCTTGTCCGTGGCATTGGCAACGTAGACGGCCTCCTTGGTATCGGCGTCGACTTGGTAGTAGCGGGTATCGAGATACACCGGGTGAGAGCCATAGATGTTTCCGTCGATTGGGTCGCCGACATCAGCCGCGTAGAGTGTGCCTGATTCCATGAGCTTTTATACAAACTGGTCTTGTACAGTATTCACTTACGAGTGAGATTGTTGTTCAACTTGAAGCCATGGATAACTTCACCAAGCCCATACAGGTTGTAGTTTTCAGGAAGCGGCGAAGCAAACTCGAAGAACTGGTCTTCAAACACCAGCTTTGTCCCCGTGGTCGTGAACAACACATCTCCAGTGCTCTTCCTGGAGACATTGAAACCAAAGGTGGGGTCATTTGCCCACTTGAACTCCAAATCGCTGTCTGAGCCATCGGAGCTCGCCTTTCCGTCTGCAGAGGGCTTCGGGACGAACTCCTCAGGAAGAATGAACCAAGTGTTGTTCTCAGCACCAAGGTACCGCGGGAGTACCTGTACGTGAAGACGGTCTGTCGCCAGGTAGTCGACAACGAGTGTTAAAGCCTCGACATCGTTCCCGTACAGGTTGCAAGCTGAGCCGGCGAGGTCGAGGTTGGCGGTGAACCCGTGCGATGTCGTCTGGACATTGGAGGCCGTGTATCCCGGGCAGACGCTCTGCGGGTCCTTGGCCTCGGGGTCCTCGATGTTGGGGATGAGAACTGCTCCCTCGTCTGCCGACGCGGGGACGGTGAATTGGGAGTGGCCACTGCTGATCGTGGTCGAGGCCAAGTACTGCCGTGCGAGCGGTTGTCCGAATTCCGCGACCCTCGCCATCGCGCAGAGCGCCATGATGGCGATTGCCGACAGGAGGAACGGCACCCGGGTGAACATGTTGCCGTTGTTGCGCTGTGTGTCGTCTCCTTTGCCTCCTTTCTCGCTCGGATATTGCTTTGAGCGGCGGGTATAGAGCATCCAGAGACACTGAGAGAAGATGATGAAGGCGGCGATCCAACAGAGAGAAGTCGTTGAGACCAAGGCATTCGCCGCCGTTCTTATACCCTTCCATCCTCCCCAGTCCATCCAGCTGTTGAGCGTCATTTTCTCAGAAGTAGTGAGAGTAGTGTACCGTTGCAGTCGCAGTCAATTGATTACCAAACGAAAACTAGCTTTAGTTGGTCTTACAGAAAGAAAGAAAACGAATCATCGTCGTGACGAGAAAGGTCGTCGGCCAGACTGCGGTGTAGCTTAAGCTTCCCCGCACAGACTAATGCGGAGGGAAACACGAATGCCGGGGGGCAAAGATGGGGGAGAACAATGACGGATAGCCCCGAGGAAGGCTTGTTCTCCGGGGTAAAGAGTAACTACTAACAGCTGCGGTAGATCGTAGGGATCGAGTTTGTGCGAACTTAATCGCGAGTTGCTCGATGTGGGATGAGAGAGGAAGCTAACGTGGTGGAATGCTGGTTCATGTGGTGACGGAATGGCACCAGAAGTTGGGGAAATGTGCGGAGTCTTGCGGAGTTTACGCAGACGGCGCGGCTCTCCAATCTCACATCGTCCCATGGGGTTGTCGATCGCCGAGGAAGCGCCCGGCTGCGTGTAAGTGAATAGCTTGTCGCGACCTCACATTTGGACCCAACTGTGAGGCCTATACTGGTTGGATAAAATAATCGCTAAAACTCTCCTTGTGAGCTCCATCGCCTTGCGGCAAACCATGGGGGGACTTCTAGCTAGCTAGGGGTTGCTTCTTGGGGGAACTTGGGAAGTGAGTAGAAGCTCCCGGGCTCACCGGCTTGTGGGTTTTCTTCCCGAGAAACTTGTGAGTTCCTGAATACAATGACTAACCGTTGACTAAGTATTGACTTAAGGAACTGACAGCAGTCTATTAATTGAGTTCTGGGTCTGGCAGAAGGAGTTGTGAGTTACCTACAAAGACTATGAACCTGGAGCCTGAGTGCTGCCGTAGAACATTAGCCACGATGCGCCTCCCAATCGTGACTCTAGACTCGTTAGCCAATGGAATAGATACTTCAAGGTTGAAATCACAATTGTGAGGTCGAAATAGCCAGCTAGTTCTTTGGATATGAATCTTCGCTACCTTGAGAAGCAACATCTGGGACCTTGTATCTCCAATGCCCGAGGGACATGAAAAATTTACAGACCTACCGGAGAAAGCATATGCGCAGTAATGATGATCTTCTTTTCTCGCAATGCTTCGTGTCAAATACTCCAAGATAACAATTGAACAGTCGTGATATTTGTGAGAAACACAACGAAGACCGATACTTGATTCACATATTTTCTCATCAGACCAAACCCAGCAAATATGGACACAAAACCGGCTACTTCACAGAACAGCATGGAACTCAACGAGGTCCAGATGCGGGATGCTGTTGCTGTACCCAAGCACTACGTCTTCCTGGCCTTCCAACGCAGAATTATGCTCACCGATAACCATGTGGCGAAGTACTTCGCCACCGTCACCCAACCAGCCAACCCGGAGACCTTTCTCTGTCATTGGGTCAACGAGGAGTATCTTAAGCATTTTGCCTGGAAGGAGGCGGTTCCATCGCCATGGGACGACAGCCCGAAACTGATAATGCTGCTCACCCAGACAGAGATCGCCCGCCTCGAGACTTGGTGCCAGCAGGTTCAGCCGTTTCAGGGACCTGGACCCGGTCCGTATAGTCCAAGAGTAGTCTACGAATTTCATGCGGCGGCGGCGGCTAGATATGGTGTGACCGGGGGCAACTTGGCCCTGTACCTCGGTCTGGGTAAGCTCCTTTATCAACCTGGAGGTGATCGGTACGGGTGGCCGCAAAATTCCCTAGGACATCCACAAATTTCGGGCGTAACGTGGACAGAATCGGGCTGTCAGTTCTGGAAAGAAGAGCCACAACAGACCCGACAGACAAAGACGTTGCTCTAGAGAAACGGTGGATTGTCCCCAAGTACAGTACTTCCGGCCACGCAGGAGGCTCCAAGCCAGGTCAGCTCTGGCATCCCACAGAGTAACCTTCCTGTCACGGCCAATTCACGAAACAGGAATTCTTCGCCTTCGGTGTTCATTCAGAACGCACCGCGTCTCAATTTCCACGGAGCAAGCGGCCAAGCACAGATGCCTACGCACCATGGTGGGGGATGCAACTAAGGCCCCAGCAGATACCTAATTCGATTCTATTTGATGGGCAACTCGCCATCGATCAGCCAAGAGAGTTGAAGAGGGAGCGAAATGAGACATAAATGCGAATCAAGGCGGAGCCGGGTTATAACGGCGCGCAGGATCTGCCCCGACGTGAAGAGATCCCGTTATGTTCGGGGTTGGGGAGGCGTCGGATTTGGTTCTACGGGAACGAAAATACCCGCAACTCCCGAAACGGCTGCTTCAAACTGGCAAACCGAATGGGTATCAATTCATACTTGGGAAATGTGATTCTCGAGGCGCGAGTCTGATTTCACTCATGGTTCACTTCGGCTCTGCGGAGAGGTTGAGAAGAGGAATGCTGTCAGGGGTCTATGCAAAGTCATTTCAATGGCGTCAAGTTGCTCGGTTATTTCATGTTGACAATTGTTAATGATCAAAGTAAGACTGAGTGGAAAGGAAATTTCAGCGGTAGCCGGCCTCTTGACTAGAATCCTACTTGATCAAAACTCAAGAGCAACCCTAAGCCTACGATTTTGCCCCAGTGAGATTGTGTGGGTTCTCGTCGTTTCCGGATTCCCTTTGCCTTTTTGCTGAAGAGAAGTAAGTAGTTGACGTGGACGAAGTCGACTCCTGTTGCCTAGCTAGAGTCCATGTACCGTTCATATTCGGAGACTCAGAAGTCAAGCCTCCGGCGGTTGGCAGATGCTATGCAACAGAAAGATGACGCTGATGGTTTCAACGTTGGGAGGTAGGAGAGCTCATCGATTTTCCGGGACCTCGGTTTGCCGATCCTAACAACAGAGCTGAGAAGACTGCTATCGTATTAACTGTTTTGGTGATATTTATTGAGCCTTTTGAGACTTGGCAAGACAAGCGACATGAGGTATATAGTAAGCCCTCACCCACTTGTGCCTTGCCTTTGCCATTTGCGGCTTATGGTCACGGTAATATGGGAAGGCCGGTATTTCCATATGGTCTTGATATATTTTAGCAAAGTCATCGTTCGATAGAGGATACAGAGACCGACAGTAGGATGTGTGAAGAAAGGTCGCCATCCTTGGCCAAGGGGGAATGGGGAAACATTCAGGGCACAGCTGGGGCCAGCTGAGGCGCAGCGACTGACTGCTGCGGGTTGCAAGTCATCACCACTGGACTGGTCCGTTGGATGGTCTCATTATCACGTTTTCTTTTTCTCGGCCAAAATCGGTGTCATCAGCAATCAGACCACTTTTACCATCTAAAATTAAAGATGATATGCAGTGGTGTAGGTCTCAACTCTGGGTAGAACGCACTGAGTGATATGGTGAGACGCTACCTACTGTAGGAGACTTCACTTTGGTCAATCTGACATTGATACTTACCTTGCATTGAGATTGCACTACACTCGTACAGCTTTCTTGCTCCACGCCTCTCCAGCGATAAAAAATCGGAAAGAGGGATGCCGACCCGTTGCGGCATGATGAGCTCCATCTCGTCGATAATCAGTCCACTTCACTGGAATCCCCTCATGGTGGTATAGAAAAGTTCTTTGTCCTCCAGAAGCTGTGTTCATCCAGATAGAACATACGCCTATCCAAACCTGAACGGAAAGAGCACTCGCAGTCATGCTTGAACCGAAATCCCCCTCCAAGCGGCGTATCCTCCTATGCTCAACCGTCGGTGGCTTTACCCACGCCGCCCCGATCCTCGAGCTCGGAGCCGTTCTCGCGGCTCGCGGCCATGAAGTCCACTTCGGAACAAACTCCAACCAGGAGCACTGGGTAGCAGACTACCCATCCATCACTCACGTCCACAGCTTTGGTCCAGCCCTGCCGGACGCCGATGCTGAAGCGCACTACGCGCGCATGGTCCAGTGGCGGCCCAGCGACGGCATCGGGCCCATCATGGAGTCCAAGTACCTCTTCGACTCATACTGGCCCGACACGTGGTTTCATTTACGCGAAATCATGCTCGACCCAGACACCAAGCCCGACATGATTGTCGCAGACTTCTTCGTAGAGGCAGCGGCCAAGGATATGATGGTCGAGTTTGGCGTCCCCATTGCCATAATGTGGCCTCAGATGCCGTATCTTCTGGCGCCCGTGAGCTATATCCCCGGCCAGCCGGGCTTTCAGGTCGAGTTCACGCCCACCTCGGAGAAGGCTTCGATTTGGTCGCGCATCAGGAATGAGATGGTCTTGTTCTGGGTGCTGCCGCATATTTCTGCATGGACCCGTTGGACACGAGCGATGCGGAGACGACACGGCGTCAAGCACGCGGTTCCACTGGCGTCTAAACCGAATCATCTTGTGTTTGTCAACTCGTTCTTTGGACTTGAGCCGGCCAAGGACTTGCCTCCTCTCATGCAAGTGGTCGGACCGATTCTGGGGGACGAGTATCCTCCGCTCGACGAAAGCTACCAAGCGTTTCTACAGTCTCATAATAAGACGACATATGTCGCTCTGGGGACTCATATCGCACTCCCACGAGTAGAGCTGATGAAGCTGCTCAATGGCCTCGTCATAGCTTTAGATGCTGGGCATATCAACGGTGTAATATGGTCTATCGGGAAGTCAGCGAAGCAGAATTTTGATAGATCAGCACACGTCCAAGGACCTAATGGTGGCAAGATCTTAGTCGCTGACATTCTCGATGAGAAGCACCCAGACATTCGAGTCCCACCTTTCGCTCCCCAACGAGCCATCCTCGAACACCCCAATACCAAGCTCTATCTCACTCACGGAGGAGGTTCCAGCGCAAATGAGACCCTATTCCACGGAACTCCCACCCTGATTCTAGGCTTCTTCTTTGACCAGCTCGCCAACAGCGCCCGCCTTGATGAAGCAGGCGTTGGTCTAGCCATGGATAAGTTTGACTTCACCGCCGACGAGATCGCAGAAAAGATCGGCCGTATCATTTCTGACGTCGACGGATCTTTTGGCAGGAACGTCGAGCGCATGAGAAGGATAGCACGCGTGGCATCTCGACGCAAGGAACTCGCCGCCGACATGGCTGAGGAAGTCATCTTTGATCACGAATTGCGTTCGACAGGCGGAAGAGCGCTGCGACCCATGCACCTCCAGACGGCAGACATGAGGATGCCGGTGTGGAAGGCCAGGAACTGGGACCTGTGGCTCGTCTCCGTCTCTGCGTTGGCGGTCGGTGGTACAGCCTGCTTCATCGGCGCGAAGCATGCTCGGCGACTCGATTTAGGTATCTTTAGGTTTGTCTCGGGTATCGTGTACGACGCGAATTGGAATGGAAACTTGGCCTAATGGCTTCATCTGCAACATGATGCGATGCTAGAAAGGATAGGGCGCCAAAGAAATGAATACGTGCGTTCTACTGACCGATGTTATTAGACTTGTCTAATTCGTCAGTTTTTTCGAGATGACTTCGTGTTGTTCATGTACAGAAAGGAGCGGGAATTGAGCGTCAGCCAAGTGTTAGTGCTTATCAATGGAAAATCAAGTGTTAACCGAGTCTACGCCACGAAGGATGCCTGCAGATCGATAAATCGGCTCTGCTTTTGGCCTTGTCTTACACCGGACGTAGACAATCCAGCTCATACTGAACCTCCGGTCTGGAGCGGGGGCGGCGGAAAGCTACAGCCACGATCAAATCCGGCCTTTTGATAGCAAACACATGATATTACTTAAGTATACATGGAATGGAGAACTGTTAACTTGACGGAAACTCATCTGGGCAAGTTTTATGGATTATTTATGGATTACTAAACAGATATTTGTTGACTTCGAGAGGGCCATTTAAGAGGAAACTTTCTCGGGTTTTCCATCACATCAAAGCTGGCTACTACAGGCCAACCCGACATCGTGATGGGAATTTCACATGAGTTGATTGCAGTGCGGCTAGGCAACCCGGATTTCAAGACTCTCGTATCAGCATGCCTCGTCTTCACGCTTGCCTACGGGGCTTCGAAGGTCCTCACGGCATTATGGCATGGCTTTACAGGCCCCTTGGCCAAGATACCCGGACCCTGGCTCAATAGGTTCACGGCTTTGCCCTGGATGGCGGCAGTTGTCAGAGGCAAGGCATTCGAGCAGGGAATCAACTACAATCGCAAATACGGCGACATTGTCCGAGTTGGTGAGTATCATACGCGTCACCTAGACATCATAACTTTTGTTAACACTTCCTTGAAAATAGCTCCTGATCTGGTTCTTGTGTCCGACGAAAAGTCCGTCCAACAGATTCTAGTAGGCATGGATCTCCGAAAGAGCGTTCTATACGAAAAGTTTAGCCAAAACGAAGACGGCGTGACGCTCTTCACCATGCGAGATCGGGCGCAGTACCGCACCCGACGAAGGCTCTTCTCGCACGGCTTCTCCATCAGTTACCTCAAGGGCCTCGAACCGCTGAAGGTATGTTGCATTGAAGCGCTTGAGGAGTTCATCGACAACCAGTGCGCTCGGGATGGAGGTGAGACCGTCATTGATGCCTGGAACCTGATGGGTCGTCTGGCGTCCGACATCATGAGCGCGACTGCGTTTGGGGGCTCGTTTGAGTTGGTGAAGAATGGGGAGCATCCTATTCGCAAGAAGTTTTCAGAGAGCTTCAAGAGAGGCACCATCGTAAGTTGACCTCTGCGAATAATGGCTGGGGGTAATGATTGACGTTCGGCAAAAGTATCAACTTCTCCCTTTCTTGAAGTACATCCCCTTCCTACCAAAGTTTCGCGATCCCGAGCTCGCTCAACTCATCAGCGAGATTATTGAAAAGAGACAGGCGTCAACCGACAAGTTAGCCAAACCTGACCTGCTACAGCTCCTCCTCGACACGCACGAAAAGAACCCAGAGACTCTGTCGCGTATCGAGGTGTTTTCCGAGATGCTGGTCTTCTGGCTGGCGGGCAGCGAGACGACCGCCAGCACGCTCACTTTTGCAATGATGTTCTTGCTCAACGACCCACCATCCTACCAAAAACTTATTGACGAGATTCGCGGGAGGTTTCCCTTGACAGATTCGCCTGTTTCGGACGACCAGACGACGGATTTGCCGTTCTTGCACGCGGTTCTGAAGGAGACGATGAGGCTTGCTCCTCCGGCGACCGGCGGTAGGATTCCTAGTGTGCCGCACAAACCCGACTGTGTGATTTGCTGACCTTTCATCAGGGCTTCAGAGGCAGACTGACGAGGATGTGATTCTGTCCGATCACCTGATACCAGCTGGTGTAAGTCTATATGGTATCGCTCATCGTTCCCGGAACTTCACTGACATCCGGCAGACTAGAGTGACTGCAAACACCACTGTCCTGCATTGGGACGAGAAGCAGTGGCCTGACGCAGAGAAGTTCGTCCCCGAAAGATGGCTGTCTAACTACAAGGGCGTGGCCGCCAGCGAGAGAACGGCGTACTACCCCTTTTCTGCGGGATCGAGAAACTGTATTGGAAAACAGTGAGTCTCCTGGAGGCTATCACTATCGATGTAATGCTAATAAAGTGAACAGATTTGCATGGACGGAGCTGCGGCTCACGCTCGTGTCTTTACTTCGGCGGTATGACTTGTCTCTCATCCCCGACCAGTCTCATGAACTTGTTCACTTCACGGTCCTACATCTGAAGGCGGGGAAGTATATGGTTGGCATCAGACCCAGAGCTTAGTATATACATGGGTCCATAATTCAAGAGCTCTGATACATTGTGAAATAAACACTTCGTACGCGACGGCATTGCGCATTTTCGTTACGTTAGTCTCCGAGACCGGTAGGCGCAAACCGTTAGACTCATCATGAATGGCAAGTATTTTCATCAACTCAGTGAGAGAAAATACTTGACCCGGTTCAACTCTTTTCTCGAGCTTTTGGCATTCTCACGTTATTCTGAGAGGCGTCGTTCCCCTAGATGTTCACCTGGCATGAGCCTGTGCTACTCGTGCTCTGTTGATCATCTACAACATGAAGACTTTGGAGATAGACGAAGCTGCAAAACGTAGATACTCACCTCAGACTCTTGGTTTGGAAAGAATCCTTTAGTGAGATGTGGTCATGGGCGCCGAGTATCAACGGATTGCTTAGCAGTGAAAGCTAGGGTGTCGCCATCTGCAGATGGGGACCCCATCTAAAAGTACAGGGGCGTCGCGTTGGGCCTTGCTGGAAAGCTAGGTAGGCGGGACTTACGTAACAGCCTGCACTTTAGCAGATTACCTAATTTTCCTGAAGCTTCGAACCCCTACCTTCCGGCAGGGAATTTTTTTCTTTCCTCACCTTACTCTCAAGAACTTGCAAACTTTCTTTCTCTCCCCTTCCTTTTTCTTCACCATGGCAGCAGTCAGAGACAGTTTCCTTGACCTGGAAAAGCATCGCCTGCAACTCGAAGACTCTATTGCCAAGCTGCAGAAGGCTTTGCAACACTGGCAAAAATGGGACGCTGAGTACGAGTCCTTGAAGGAGGAGATCGAGTCGGTTCCCCAGCCTGCCAGCCGAGAGGCTCTCGCGCGCATTCGCAGAGACTTCGAGGGCGAGGTCGTCGACAAGAAGGAGATCAATGACCTTTTTGGGCGCATTGATCTGAAGCCTGCCGACCAGATTGTCAACCTGCTTTCGCGCCGTATCGACTATGTTTCCAAGAATATCGCTACTCTTGAGAAGCAGCTCGAGTCTGCGGAACAGAAGCACGCTGCCGCCAGCGTTGTCAGCAACCCTGATGTGCGGGACGAGGATGGCTTGCCTATAACGGAGATCATTGAGGAGCTCGACGAAGAGGGAAACGTTCTCTCCAGCCGACTGCAGCAGCCTGGCGACTCTAGCGCTCAGATCAAGGAGATCCTGGAGAAGGCAGGCGTCAAGGACATCCCGGCTGGCCAACCCTCACAGACGGAGAAGACGGAGGCCATCGTGGAAGACGTTACAGACGAGCCTCTGGCTGAGACACCCGAGTCGATATTACCAGCCCATGATCCCGCGCAGTCTGCAGAGGAGTCGATTCCCGAAGCAGAGGTTGACGATGCTGTGGCAGTCAAGAAGTCCGTTTCGTTCGCCGAAGACACAAAACCCTCAGCAGAGGAGCAGGTGTCGAGGAATGCTCAACGGGTCGAAGAGATCATGCAGACCGCCAGGAGTCAGGAAGACATCAGCCGCGAAGCGCCCGTCATCCCAGAAGATGAGTCTGAGGAAGATGCTTTCCTCCGCCGGGAGATGCTCAAGTACGGTATGGAAGAAGTTGGCCAAGTCGTCGCTGAACTCAACCTTGAGGACGGCTCGGGCGAAGATGACGAGGACTGGGAGTATGAATACTCTGATCTCGAGGATGAAGAAGAAGACAAGTTTGGTCGGTCTATTTCCAGTGTCCTGGATGACGGGTACCATCAGCGGATGTTGGAGCTCGAGAAGCGACTCGGAGTCAAGTCTCGCTTCACTGAGAAGCCAGAAGCAGACGACCAAGAATCAGACGAAGACCAACAGGGCATTGGTCGCATCATCGTCAACTCAGGCGACAAGGGCAAGGCGGTCGAAGCTGCCAAGCAGTCGCCTGTGCCCACGACATCTATCCTGAGGACCTCTTCTCCAACAGATGCCGACGAAAGCAAAAAGAGCGTTCGCTTCGCACAGAGTTTGGATGTCGCTCCAGACAGCGTTCCCGAAACTACTGCTGCGCCGCCCATTGTTCCGCAACTACCGTCAGAGCCCATCGTAGAGCCTCTCAGCGATATTGTCGAGCGTACTGGCCCCGCCAAGCAAGCCGAGGCCAAGTCTACCCGCAAAGCGTCTCGATTCAAGAAGCAGAAGGCAGCACCAACGGTTGTTGACGACGGCTTCGTTCCGATGGGTCCGCGCGATGTGCCATCACGCTTCATCGACCAGGATAGGCCCACAGCCCCGACGGGACCTGAGGGAAAGACGCTGGCAGACGCGGTCGTCGAGAAGGATAGCAAGCCACAAGACGAGAACGCATTCGACGAGGACTTTATTGACCAGGATCTCGCTGATGAGTATCACCGACAACGGCGGAACTTCATCCAGAAACAGGGCGGCTTCCTTCAAGAGGACACGTCCGTGGTCCGGCCTCTCGACGAAGCTGATGGTGGTCAGCGCATCAGCAAGTTCAAAGCTGCACGTCTCTCCAAGCAGTGATGTGGCCGGATTCAGAGCAATAGGTATGTGACTGACTGTTTTCTTACCTCAACTCCCTTCCCAAAATGATGAACAAGACAATTTTTTATACAGTTATCCCTGTCTCAATTCCAACGTGTGGATATGGTTCTAATTTCTGATTTTCTTCTTTCCGCTGCTCAAATTTGACCACCTTGTCCAGAAAATATGGCTGACAGCATACTTCAGTTACCACAGGATACACTAGCTTCACCACGAGCATCGACTGCGATGTCTCCGCTTCAGCTCGTCGTGACAAATCATGCCAGGTAAGATAATCATTTACTTTGCTTTAACTTCCTCCCCCTTCGACATGATGAACAAGACAATTTTTTATACAGTTATCCCTGTCTCAATTCCAATGTGTGGATATGGTTCTAATTTCTGATCTCGATGCAACTGCCATCTTCTTGTTTGCACTTTACCGTCAAGGTGTCACGGCTAACAAATGCATCATTGCAGTTCCCAAGTCAAGTGATCGCACTGATCGATTGCCACGCAATCCATTGCCCCGTCCAGATCTGATCCTGCAACGCCATCCGTTCGGACGCGGAGAGGTGGATAGAGCGGATAGTAAAATGGATTGATAGAGACCTTACTTTGGGCCTCCCCGCGCGGTCAGCGATTCTGTAGTTCATGAATCCTGTCGTGCCTTGCTTCTCACACTCTTGCTACTGTCCACTAATTCTTACAGTGTTGGTTTCTTGTGATGTCGTGGGCGAATGTGTCTCGCGTCTTCTCCTCGAGCTAGTTGTTCGCATCGATGGGGAAAACTGGTCTGTTTGGTACAACGGACCGCTTATCAATCTGACAATTGATGGGTCGCAGCAATCAATCTGCTTCACCATTACTAGCGGATCCAAGAGCAACGGTCTACGCATGGGCTCTCTGATGCCGTAACCTATGGCTTCTTGCCATTGCAGTGGTTTTGGCTCTTCGTTTCACCCCTGACATGTCGAGCTCAAAAAAAGCATTTAGATGTGTTTACAATAAAAGATGGTCACTCAACCACAAGGTCCTACCCTCTCGCAACTGTCATGCATGTGTACTTTTTAATTCCTTTCGTCATTTGCTTCGTGAAACGAATTCCTTAAAAACGTCTAGCTAATCTTGGCATTGCTAAAGTCCATCTCGGGGTGCTCAGCCTGGAACTTTTTCAGAATATCAAACTTCTTCTGCTCGTCCGAGGTGGGCAGGCCCGCTTCCTTTTGGCGCTGGTCAAACATCATCTTCTCTACCATGCCGCGGGTCTCGCCATCCAGGTCGGAGAGCTTGCTCGTGTCGGGGGTGATCTTGGAGACGTCAATCTTGGGCGCCGTGGTGACGACGTGCGCCCACCACTCCATCTTGTTGACCTTGTCGAGGTGGATCTCGACCGTCTTTGTGCCGTCGGGGGCGGAGGACAGGGTCCAGGTTGAGTCGTCGACGAGAATTGCGTGAGAGAGGTCGCCCTATTTTATCGTGGTTGTGTTAGCTGACTTGGTTTTGTTCACATGGCTTTCTTGCCTTTGCTGAATGGGCAGCCTGCACAAGGGCAAAGTGATAGAAAGAAAGAAAGAAAGGAAAGAGGAAGTATGATGATGTGACTTACGCTAACGATGGGCTCCTGGCCCTTTACGCCGGCCGAGAGCTTGGTCTTCTTGATGTCGATGACGAGGTCCCTGCTCTTGTAGTTGCCAGGGACGCTAAAGGTGATGTCGACGTCGGCAATGGTCTGCTGCCACTTGTACGGCAGCGCATTCTGCTCCTCCGTCTCCTTGGCGCGGGCGGCAGCCTCTTCGGCGGGAGTGAGCTCTGTTGGAAGCATTTGTCAGCAAAAGTTCATAGCGATGGCCTCTTTGTGAGTCTCAGAGCGCCCAAAATGGAGCTCAAATGGTTGGGAAAACATACCTGGCTTGTCGTTGTCGGCCATCTTGTCGTTGTGTCTGAGTGATGTTGCGGTCGAAGGCAGTGGAAGGCAAGCGCAGGTGGAAAGGCTGACGGAATACTTTGGAGGGGTAGCTGCTAGCTGTGAGACCCCTGCCCCTCCCACCCCTGTTCTTCGAGTGGAAGCTCCAACCAATCACCTCGGCTTAATAAATCCTTCCCGTCAGCCTTGCACTTCATCTTGCGTCTTTCAGCTTTATCGCGATTGCAGGCAAACGACATCAGCGTCATTGCCCGAGCAAGAGGCTTCCGTTCTCGACACCTTCCGACTATTCCTCCGGCCGTAGGAACCTTCCAAAAAGTCGATTCAAGATATCCGATGTCACCTTGAGATAAGCCTCAATCGCCCAGGTTCTCTCCTCCGATCCTCTTCCAGAACCACATCTCCGCGATACTCACGGAACACCGAACGCTTCCATTCACGAAACCCCTCTCCCGCGAACACATTACAACCACCAAAATGGCCACCCGCCGCGCCTCCACCTCCGCAACAGCGGCCGCGGCCCCCAGCACAACAAACGACATCTGCCCCGTCTGCAAAACAATGCGCTACCTCAACAAAGACCTTGAATTCCTCATCAACCCAGAATGCTACCACCCAATGTGCGCAAACTGCGTCGCCCGCATCTTCTCCGACGGCCCCAATCAGTGCCCCTACGCAGGCTGCCACAAGACCCTCCGCAAAAAGGGCTTCAAATCAGCCTATTTCGGCGACCTCACCGTCGAGCGCGAGGTCGACATCCGCAGACGCGTCGCCGCCGTCCTCAACAAGGTCGAAGACGACTTTGAGACGCTGGCCGATTACAACGAGTACCTAGAATGGGTCGAGACGCTCACGTTCGACCTCATCTCCGGCACCGACGTGGAAAAAAAAGCGGCCGAGGGACGCTTGATGGAGTGGGAGCAGGCCCACCGTGCCGAAATCGAGCGGAACCGCAGGCTAGCCAAAGAATCCGAAGCGGACCGCGTCGCGCGCTTCGAAGCCGAAAAAGAAGAGGCGCGCCTGCGCCGCGCCGAGGCGATGCAGGAAGACGCGGCCGAGAAGCGCATGGGCCAGCGGATGCGCGAGGACATGCTCAACGGGCTCGCGAGCAGCGACGCCGGCGAGGCGAAGCAGACGCTCAACCGCGTTCTCCTCAAGAAGCGCGGGCAGAACCGCCTCCAGTCCGCCGTCGGGACGCTGTCGGATGCCACGTCCACCGGTGCGGGCGGCCTATCGATCCGCGGCCTCAAGCAGCAGAAGAAGCGCGCGGTCGAGGACAATAAACCCTACGACCCCTTTGGCGGGCTCAAGCTCGACATGGAGAGGTACAAGATGGGACCGTCGGAGGAATACCGCAACCAGTGGGTCGACGAGGCGAGGAAGAAGGACGATATCGTGGTGGGTGGGTACAGTGCCGACGAGTACCTCGGCCGGGCCATGTTTGAAGCATTTTCCGGGTTGGCTGTGTTTATTGAGGATGAAAAGGGGCCTGAGAAGGTGGCTACCGCCGAGGCGGCGTTGGTCGCGAGTACGGGCCAGACGACGCAAAAGATGGAGGTGGACGACGTTTTTTGAGATCGAGAAAGGTTCTTGACTTCTTACCGTAATGGCTTTGGGGCAGATTGGGATGCATTAGCGATGGCGTTTGGGGTTTCTTTGGGCAACATGCAAAATAGGATGACTACCTTAGAACAGACAGGGTCGAAGGGAAACAATACCCAACATCGATAACAAAACAGGTATATGGCCACGAGAAGTGTGTACCTGTATGCAAAAATTACATCTAAGTTATGCTCACTAAATAATACATCTTTTCAGACTCGTACTACGACGGCCGCCGGCCTCCACCGGTCCCACCATCCTACTTCCGAGCTTTTTGTTTCGTGTGATAACCCTGTTGCCGTCTACCTTACGCATCGTTCAATTGTACAAAGCAAAATAGACCCTTGTGAACGCCACGCTTTGATTTGAGATTTGAAGAAATAGTGATCCCGTTTGGGCTGGGCTGGTGTATTTGGAACAGCCGGTCAGAGCTTTTGGGAGGGCGCTGCAATTATGTCTGCCAGGGGCTTTGTTGGATGGGTCGGGGGAAGACGGGCGTCGTCTCGAGGTTATCCAGTCCGCCGCCCATTGGCTGTTGATTATGTTGCCAGCCCATGCCGGTCTGATGGTTGACAAATGAGCCCTGACGGAAGGGGTTTGTGGTGCCTGTTGGTTGGGGCACGATGGCTCCAGAGCTAGTTGCAGGCCGCTGCTGCTGGAGTTGAGAGCCGGTGAAGTTCTTAGCGAATGGATTGGTACCAGTCATCATTGGCTGCAACGGAGCAATCGTCGGAAGTTGCTGCGTCTGCTGCTGCGGCTGAGGCTGAGTCTGGAAGGGCGAATTACTAGGAGCTGGTGAAAACGGCTGCTGGGCTTGAGGTGAGGATCTGGCAAAGGGGTTTGTAGACTGCCTCTGCATGTTGGGGCTCGCCGGGTTCGAGAACGCGGTGTTCGTGGACATGCCCGTTTGCTGAGCCATCAGCATGGATGCCCGGAAAGGATTGGTGATCTGCTGGCCGGCCTGAGGGCTCAGCATGCCCGTATTGCCCGTCGGAAAGCTTGCCACAGAGTCTTGTGGTATTGAGCCAAGTGTACCAGGCTGATAAGGCTGGGGTGAAAACCCTCCGAATCCAGCTCCGGTGAAGCTGGGTTGTAACGGCTGTGGCGCTTGCTGCTGCTGCGGTTGCTGGGGTGGCTGCGGCTGCTGTTGTTGTTGCTGAGGCTGGCCGAACGGATTCGTGCTCTGCGGTTGGTACGGATTAGAAGCGAAGCCTGTCTGTTGCGGCACAAATCCGGTCGGCTGAGGCGCAAAGCCATTCTGCTGAAACCCAGTAGGTTGCGGTTGGAAGGGACTGTTGTTGGCATAACCGGTCTGCATCGGCATCTGTTGCTGTTGCTGGTGCTGCTGTGCGTTCGGCGCCATTGTCGTCTGGTTCTGTTCGATGGACTCGAAGAAGTCGATCAGATCGGGGGCAGGACCCTTGGCGGTCTCGGTCTTTGGCTGCGACAGGCCATTCGTGCTCGGGAACGTGCTACTCGGGAAAGGATTGTTTGCCGCAGGCTTGGAGTCAAATGCGCTTGACGTCGGCTTCGAGATCCCCACCTTGCTCTTCTTGCCCTGCTGCTCAGCAATGTATTGTCTCCGATTGACCTCGAAATCCGGGTCGCTCAAGTACTCCTCCAGCTGGCGGCCCAAGTTAACCGGCGCATGCTTCAGCTTAGGAACCTCGACCCTCGTTTGATGCTCGTACTGGCGTGCGACGCTGAGGTATTGCACCACGAAATCGGTCTGCTTGGTGAAGGTGCGGTAGATCGCCATCGCTCTTTCAGCATCGACTTTGGACATTTCGAAGAAGGTGCCTTTCCATGTTAGTTACAGGGACATCCTGGAGCGCTTGGGTCGCCTCACCGAGAATGTTAATCATTCCCTGGTTCAATGCCTGGAAGAGAGCCAGTACATCGAGCACAAGCAGTCTAAAGACCGTGACTGTGATTTCGTTTTCGATTTCACCCTCGAGAACCTGTGTAGCGTCAGCAACTGTCGCGCTCTGAGACGCTTCGCAACACCGAGTCTGAGACTAACATCGCATTTCAAAAGGGCCGAAATCTGACTCTGAAGAATCTCCGTCTCTCGCAAGAGGCCCTTATCGACAGAGAGCTTCTCCAGCCTAGATTCCTTCGTCCGCACCCAATCGCACTTCGTTTCTCGGTACGCTTTGGCTCTCGCGGCAAGGTAGCCGGCGTAATGCCGAATGTTCCGTCCTTGTGTCTGGGCTGTGAGATGAGTTAGAAAGCAAGTCCGACAAATCTCGGCGAGTGCCTGATCTTTGGGGGATTTGACTGACCGTCAGTGAAGCTGCTGATAGCAAGCGTGTTTGGGTGCCTCGACAAGTAGGCAAGTGTGACATCGGGCGAGCCCTCACGGATCATCAAGTGTACGGTGATCAAGCTCTTGAAGACGACGGTCCATGTCGAGTCTCGTAAACGGAACTGAAGGGCGCGAAAGACCTCCCCGACGCCTGCTTCGCCAGCATGTGTCGCAACTAGAATGTGTTCAATGTACTTCGTCTTGGGCGGCGCAGCCTAGGAGATGGGATTAGCACCATGACTGGGAGAGACGCGCTGAGTCGACCGTCGTGGCTCCAGCCTCCCTTTGACCTACCTTTATCTTGGTGGCCCCTTTGACCGATTTTTCGAATGAGCTCGACATTTTGTCGCTCGGTTAGGGCAGTTTGATCAAGTCGAGAGTCTGTGAAAATCAGGGCCGGCAAGGTTGGCGACAGAGTGGACGGTGTAGTCGTGGTTGGCGGATCGGACGAAAGTCGCACGAAAGTGGAAAGCGGCGATCGAAGGGTCTGGCCGTCACGGGCCTCGATCAAATATCTTGGTAGAGCTGATCCCTTCACTGGGCGTTCTAACAAGTAGATGCTGCGAGCTCGACAAAGCGTGATATCGGGTCGCTGGCGACAACGAGGAAGAGTATATGTGTCGGTGGTGACGGGGGCGCGACAGCGTTTGGTTGCAGGCCAGGGAAACGCTCAACTGGGCGAAATTGGGTGCCGGCAAGCTTCAATGCGAGAGGGATGGTTCGGATCCGGAGTATGGACCTATGGCCATGACAGGGTGTCAAAGTGGCTGCGAATGGGGACCCGAATTAAGGATACAGGATTGGATACGGAGCGTCGTTTATCGTAATGTAGGCCTGATTTGGCTTCGTTGGGTAGGCCGGGAAATGAAGGACGGACAGCGTCAGTATTGACGATGGCCACGTTGGTCGGGAAGTGGTGGGATAGATGGGGTGGACCGTGAAGGAGGACGGGCCACGGTCTTGATTTGGAGAGGTCGGCTGGTCGGGCTTGGGCTGGGCTGAGCCTACGTAAGGCGACCTGATGCTGGACACTGTTCACTGGTGTTGTGGTAGTGGAGGTGGACGGGAGGGGACTGAGAGACGGAGAGGAGGAGGTGCCGCCGCTGGCTGTGCTGGCCGTGCTGCTGGGTTAAGGTGCGCTTGTTCGGGTGTGAGTGGCCGGCGTTGTCTCTAGCGAGTTCCGTTTGACAGCCCGAGATCTAATGCTGGTGCTGGTGCAGTTGTGCTGGGACACGTCCAGTTCTTAGTAGTTCTGATGGTCCAACGGGAAGCCTCCTCAAGTGCAGGTGAAGGGTACGTATCTCCGGTTAGGCCGGTGGTAGCGATGGGTTGAGAAACCTGGAACCTTGCGCTGTGCATTTGTGAGGTGGGCTAAAGCCTGAATGGCGATGATGCTGGCAATTCGGCAGCCGTTCCCCATCGCAGCTTTCCATCTGGCAAGTTGCAACAACGTATCCGTACTCCGTACTCCGTACCCAAACTACCTTGGAGGAAAGTGAGGTGGCCCTGGCGTCGACGGGTGCGATTGCGACTGCGACATGACCGCTAAAGAGATTCTCCAAGGGGGTTCTCCTCCCTCCGTCTCCTGCATATCACTCACTCAATTCCATCAGTCTTGCAGACGCCAGACAGGAAGACGGCGATTTGATTCAGTTTAGCGCCTCTTTTCGCGTGTGTGAGGTGGGCCACAAAACGGGACCTCGAACACCTCCTGCCTTACCTACCTGTCCGTCCTTACCAGGAAGCAGGTACTACCCAAGGGCCAAGCCATCTTACACTTCAACCTCCACCGGCGTCGAGGCGATGCAGCTGTGAGCCTGTAACTCATAAACCTGTGAGGTGCATGCCGCCATTATCCCGTCTTTCCCCTCCATGCTCCACGCTTCGTGACACGGACGAACAGTGGCATTCCCGATGAGCCGGGATCTTCCAGCGACCTTCAGGTGTGTGTGGGGAGCAGATGGCGAGCCTGGAGAAGCAAGCATGGTTGTTGTTCTGCCATTGCTGGTAATGGATCCAGTCTGATGATAGCTTCACTGATCCGATCTTCATGACAGCTTCAACAGTCAGCTCACTCTCAGCTCGCCGCAGTCACATACTTTGCGCCCCATCCATTGATGGTTGATTAACGACTTACATCGAACGCTCTTGATGCATTCGGCCTGATTCATTCGCAACCCCTCGTGCTCGGCACAACTATAAAACTTGCACGACACCATGACTTATTGAAACACTTTGGGGAAACATGGGGCTCGCTGGATCATCATCAAACGGAGACATCTCCATCACATGTAGAGTGAGCACAGCGGCAGGTTCTCGGACCCTTTCTTTTCCTTGGCCCGTCATCGGGTCTTGATTGATTCATTCGAGTCTGGGTTTGGCTGGCAAGCCGCTCGGGGCGCCATCCCCGTCAGTGTGTATGCACTGACGAGGTTAAAAAAAAAATAAAAAAAATCTACCGTACAAAAGTGTTCAAGATTGTTGCGTTACATCCACCGGCATCCTCCAGTCGCGATTCAACTTCGTCCAGTCTCATACCGCGACTGCAGAGCCCCGAAAGCTTCACCGACGCGGTAGAACCATCCGATGTTTCTCGCTCCCAGCCGACCGCAAATCTCTGGCTATAACAGTGTCAGGAAGAACGTAACGACGTATCCGACCACTAGGTGTGCCATCGAAAAGGCAACATTGTTTGCGCCACCTCAGAGAGCCCCTCGACCTCACTCGAAGCCTCGAAGCTCCCAGTTGTCGTCAACATGCCGCCAAGCCCACAGAATTCTTCCATTTCGTGAAAAATCAGATTTGCCTTTCATCGCGTACGATACTAGTAACAAGGTCGTGTCGAACGCCTATGTCATGGCCCCCTCCGCCCTCGACACCTTTGCCCTGAAGCCACCAAAAGGGGAGAGCTTGGATGCTTCAGACGGAGGCAGCAGCATCATGTTATCCACGTGGCTATCATCACCTGCAAAGTTGTCCAATTAGTATTCTGGCCGTTTTTGAGAGTGCGCAATTGCGCTGTGGCGAAGGGGGAGACCAAACGTACACTTTTTTGAAATGGAGAAATCATAAAGAGGAAAAGAAGGAAATTTTTAGGAGCTTCCCGAAAGAGTTTTATATGGACGCGAGAATCTGCCCCGCGCTAATCACTTTTTTGGTGGGGACCTTCTGCCTCAGGTGCCAGTAACAGCGCCGTGGGGACCTGAGGACCTGAGGAAAGCGCCATGCAACAGCAGCCCACCAGTGTCGCATTGGATGGTTGGCTCCAACATCGTTCCACCGTTTTGACGCAGTGGACTAGGGGACCTTAGCTGTGATAGCTTCAAATGTAACAAAATCATATTTGATCTCAGCCCACCCATCAGTTCTTTTGACCACGCCATTGTGGCCTGTCGAAGCTGCAAATTGACTACTTCACCTTGTAGATTCGAACCAAATATTCTACCCAGTCGGCTGTCTTCAATCAGCCCGACTATACCTTCCAGATGCTTCGCCAATGCTGTCGCAGTAGAGCGTTGGCTGCCCTGCGTCCGCGCACACCACAGTCGCAAACTATAAGCCGGAGTGTCTCTCTGTCACAAAGCTCAACATGCGGTCCAACACATCTTCCAAGCCAACAGGCTCGTCACCTGTCAATGACGAAACCCCAGCGCGCGCAAGAGGAGTCAAAACACACACAACTGTCACAAGAGTTCAAGGAGTGCTGTGAGCAAGTTCAAGAATCGCAACGTAACTCCTGAAGCTCCTGCTGACTTTCGAAATCAACAGTCGCCCTCCCTCAGATGTCCTCCCCCGAGACATGGAGTAAACCGGGCTCCTCGATCATCGTGAGCGGACACATCAGCCGAACGAGAAAAGTCGGCAAGAATCTGGCATTTGCCCACCTAGAGCGCAACGGAGAACGAATTGGTCAGATCTGCGCCAAGGGCGACAATGCTGCTTTACTAGCAAAGATTCGCCCCTTCAGCGCCGTGTTAGCAAAGGGCGTAACGACAGATACATCGGGCGCGACACGATTCGAGATTGACATGGACTCGATACAATACCTCAACCCGTTCCCCAAGGACATCATCGTCGGCCCGGATACCGTGTTTCCGCCAGAGCAGCGCCATCTTCAGCTCCGCTTCCATAAGGAGCTGAAGGAGAGGCTGCGCTTCCGTGCGCAGCTCAAGTCGTCCATGGGGCAGGCGATGGTGGACAGGGAGTTTATGGACGTCGAGACGCCCATTCTTTTCAAGTCTACCTCGGAAGGCGCAAGAGAGTTTATTGTGCCGACGCGGCGGCCTAGATATGCCTATGCGTTGCCGCAGAGCCCGCAGCAGTATAAGCAGGTTCTTATGGCCTCTGGCATGGGGGGTTACTACCAGTTTGCGCGGTGCTTCCGTGATGAAGATCATCGCGCAGACCGTCAACCCGAGTTCACACAGGTGCGTGGTCCATGCTGCTGATTAGTCCAATTAGCTAACATGGTCACAGTTGGATATGGAAAAATCCTTTGCTACAGGCAAGACCATCATGGAGGACGTTGAGTATGTAGTCGGCCGTGCTTGGGATGTTGTGAGAGAACAATACGTCATGGAAGTGGGAGAAGACTCATTCGCACCGGTCAGGAAAGCATCACTCGAGGTATGCGATCACTCGCTGTTGCACATGCAGTGGAGTATCATTGAGTGCTAACAGAGATCAGGACTGGAAACAGAGTGTTCAGGACAGCACAAAGGACGACGCGAAAGCACCACTCTACCAAGAGTACCCTGCCATCTCTACGCCTTTCCTGAGAATGAAGTACACCGACTGCATGGACCTGTACGGGTCTGACAAGCCGGACCTGCGCATTCCCAACAGGGTCAGTTGCGCCCCATAGACGTCTTTTAGCAAGCCAAGACTAACAGCGCCGTCCAGATATGTCGCGTTGACGGAAGCCTCAATAAGGACTTTGTCAGCATGATCACCGATCTCGACGCACCAATCGTCGAAGTCTGGAAGATCAGCCCACACGAAGATGCCGACAGGCGGGACGTGTGGAAGTTTGTGACCGAGTTCATGGAGAACCTTCCCAAAAGCCTATCACAAAACCCAGACGGCGCTCCTACAGCCCTGATGTTTGACAGTAGTAAACCCCTCAGCGGCTTTTCCGCTCTCGGACCCGAAGGCCTAGATAGCATCCTGGGATCTCTCCCCGAAGAAGCCGGCTTTTCGTCGCTCGAGAACGGAGACATTGTCCTGTTCCAGGCGCGCAAGAACCAACCCCAGCAAGGAGGCTCGACAAAGCTCGGCGAGGCTCGAATCGCGCTCTACCACGCCGCCGTGGAAGCGGGCCTGCTTGACAGGGACGACACCTTCAAATTCCTCTGGGTGACCGACTTCCCTATGTTCACCCCGGAAGAGGAAGGCGACGTCGGGCAGGGCGGCGCGTCAGGCTTCTCGGCCACCCACCACCCCTTCACGTCCCCCCATTCCGAAGAGGACTTTGAGCTCCTCTTCAAGGACCCGCTCCGGGCCAAGGCCGACCACTACGACCTCGTCCTCAACGGCGTGGAGCTCGGCGGCGGAAGCCGACGTATCCACATTGCCGAGATCCAGGAGTTCATCTTCCGCGACATTCTCAAGATGAGCCAGGACAAGATTAAGGAGTTCTCACATCTGCTCAAGGCATTGCGGGCGGGGTGTCCGCCGCACGCGGGCTTCGCTATCGGATTTGATCGCTTCGTGGCCGTCCTGAGCGGCTCGTCTTCCGTCAGGGACGTTATTGCGTTCCCGAAGAATAATAATGGCGTGGACGAGTTTGCTGGTGGACCGGGCAAGATGACGAAGGAGCAGCTCCTAACGTACAACCTGCAGTTCCGAAAGAAGGAATGAGTAGGTTGAGGTGTCCTACTCCCCTCCTTTCATGCGATTGTATCATGTACACTATCATACCTTGTAGTATTTTGTAACATTACCTTGCTGTAACAATATAGACGGCCGTCGGCAAATAACATCGACGAATAAGCGGCATCGAACACACTTGATCACCAGGGCCATGAAGGCGTGGGTATGTCGGAGGATATCATTATATTTCATATCCATCATGTTGATTCCATGACATAAACGCCCCTAATAACACAAGCAAAAGAACCTCCCAAGTAATCATCCTTGATCATTCTCCCATTCCATATACACATTCCAGCCGTACGGTGGTGCATACTCCCTACGATCTCTTCCACTGCCCAGCATCCTCAGCCCCCTTGCCCACAGAGTTCAACGCGCCCGACAGACCCTGTCCAAGATTGGCGATTCCATCGCCGACAGGACGGCCAGCAGAGCCGGTCGCGCTGGAGATGGTGTCGCCGACGCCCTGGGTCGCGGCGCCGGTGACGTTGCCGACGGTGCGGGTCACGCCGCCAACGGTGTTACCGAGGGCCGAGGTGACGAACTTGGCGCCGCCCGTAACGCCTGCGTTTTGATCGCTGTTTCCGACGGGCATGATGGGTTTATGTTGTTGGGAGGCTGGGAGGATTTTGTTTAGGAGGGGGACGTCTTTTATTTTTGTGGTGTTGTGTGGTTTGTTGAATGCTGGCATGCGAGGTTTCTGTCTGCTTTGTTTGCTCTTGAGGTGTAATGGGAAAAACGAAGCAGATAATGAGGGGTGATGGAGGTTGAGGTCTGAGGCCTTCTTATGGATTGTTCAATGTCCGATGGCCAGGTTGTTTGTGGTGAGGAAAGGTGAAGCTCGGGGATCTGGACTGATGGAGTGTGACGTCAGAGGTGCAGGTGCGGGATGGGAAAGCTCAGGGACCATCACCCCGCCGCCCCCTGTCCTAGGTATCTGATCAGGCAGGCGGGGGGGGGGGGGGAGGGGGGGGTGAATCGCACCTATCAAAGCTTCCACCTTTCCACATTTTCGTCGTCAGATTTGACATCACTGCACCTGCCACAGCGTCGTCTCAGACAGGGGGGTGTGCGGCCGTCTCGGGCTGACGACATTGTTCTAGCCCGTTGGAGAACGTGTACCGAAGATGAGGATCTGTTTTTCTTGGAGCTATGATTCTTGGTGACGGATGGGACATGGATTTGAGGCATGGGGATTGGGGGAAGGGGGATTTGAGTTTGGAGGTCCAGCTATGCAGGGCTTTCTGGAGATGTGGTTGTCTGTGGCAGTGCTCTGGGATTCGAGGATGGTGGCTTGACTTGAGTGGATGGGATATACTCTTTGTCTCTGTTGCTGTGGTCCTTGACCTCCTTGATCGCGCATGGGAGGTTGTTCTCTGCCATGCTCTCTGTCTGATCTCATCCCCATCGCCCAATGATATGAAGCGTGAGCCATGCGCCGATGCCGTGATGTGCACGATTGGTGGGTGTGGAACAACGTCTTATGAGTTCAGGCCACACTGTTAACCTCTCTCCTTCCTTGGGCTTTACCGAGACGAACTTGCCTGAGCCTCGAAGCGAAGGCTACGAGGCTTCAAGCGTGAGTAAGGGATACGTGGGCTCAAGATGTCTAGATATGATGTCGATTCGCTGTCATGTTGCTTCCTCTTATGAAGTCCCTTTCTACATGACCTCCTCGAATAACGTGCTAAAGGTGTCTTTTGAGAAATAATAACAGTGTGCTGGGTTGGATCCTACAACTTCCTACGCTTCACGTGCCCCGGCGGCAATCTGGTAGTGGTTGCATTATCAAGCAAAAACCTTCATGTGACTAAAATATCCCATCGTAGGCAGGCTTCCCTCCCAACATTGCAATTTCGCTGCTTGTGGGTTGAAAGAATCTGTGCCATGTGGAAGATTAACGGTCTCATACCAAGCTAACGCGGGAAACCCGCGACGCCACGATCTGCCAGATCGACGCCGTTGAAGAGCGGACCTGGCGCGACAGTGGCTAGCTTTCAAGACCCATCGCATCCCCTAGGCGCTAGCTGGTGCGGTTGCCAACTTGGGCGTATTTGTCTCAGATCGCAGAACCGCTAGCTTCTGTGCTGATGGCATGTTGGTGAAGGCTTCAAGACCAGGAAATTCTCCATCCTTGACGTTTTTTGGTCGACCGCAGATTTAAAGGCGTAGCTATCTTTAGCCTTCGACCAAGTGGTATATAAGGGCCGTATATTGGAGAGCGACCTAGTCGCCTCGACCGAAACAGTATGTGTCCTCCGCCATCGTGGACGATTGGAAGGGTCCTGCTGGTTGTACGGTGCCGTGTTATGTTAAGACGGTGGTCCTTGTACTCCAGGTCGGCATGAGAGGATTTTCAGTGGTCGGAAAGAGCATCTTTGCCTCCTCCCCAGCTCAGCGTACATGTCTCGTATGATTTTCCAAGAGGTCTACTCGCCTGACGATGAGAGTGGCTGGTAAGCAGTAGATCTGAAAGTTCCTTCCAGTCGTGGTTGATGTAGGGACGGAAACACCAATTACCATCCAATGACGGTCCCTTCCTCTACATGCCTCGACCTACTGTGGGAGAGCGCAATGATCTGAATTATAAAATCAAAAGAAAGAAAAAGCGAAGACCGGCCTATATTCATATACCTCTAGATATGCCTACGGCGCAATCTGCACTCTCAATGCCTACTTTACCCTGTCTGCCTAGGAGGTTCTTGACCTCGGAGCTACTATAACTAAGATGAATTATCCTAAGAGGCTAAAGGATCAGTCTCAGCGTGTATCTATACTATTTCCTATTCTTCTCAAGAGTATTAACCTCTGGATGAGTAGTCAACTTAATGTAATTGGCCTGTTGTAAACCCCCGTCGCCGCTTCTGTAGCTAAGAATCGTGAGACCCTAGATCATTTACTTTGTCGAGCGTAGTGTCTATTATACGGAAGTACCAGCTCTCTTAGAGGAAAAAAAGAAGTTTTTTAAAGCCGAGGTCTCTCAAATCTCGGAAAGCCATGTAGATAGTCAAATAAACTAAACGGAAATGGAGGAATTATGTATAAAAGGAAAGAGGGGGGATACTGGCCTTGGAACTCACGCCCTTGCCCGAAATCGAACAACGAGCCCATCAATTAACCCGGGTTCTGACTTCATTGGAGTATTTATTATTGAACTATTACACCACACACACAGTTTGATCTGACCCGCCGACCTAGACGGACGCCGCTATGCTGGTGACAGGAGAGACAATAGGATAGAATATATACCCTTAGTCCCATATGGTACGGTAAGTTAAGGAGTATAGAAGGGACGTAAAAGTCCAGAAGGGCTAGATGGTCGTTGATTCTTTCCATCCGCAAGCCAGAGCGAGCCAACTTTCTTAGAGACCGTCTCCAGAGATGTTTGCTTGAGCTTAGACTTGAACCTCCCCCTTTGCCAGCTCCTTTTCCCAGAAAACAAACACCATCATCCATACAGCTAAGATAATTACTTCATTTTCTCTTCTATTTCTTCTCCTTGACAATATGAGCCATTCTGCCCTCGTAATTCCACGCCTGGGCAATATGGCATCTAATCCCGACACCAGCCCATCTTATGCCATGACTGAGTGTATGAAGAACTTACAATACCTCCAAGACCGACTGTTATAGACAACTTAGAGTTCCGATAGTGCGTTGACACCTATCTGCATCTTCTGTCCGAGATCCCAGTTCCAAGCTTGGCCGCTCAGCCAGACCAAATAATTCTCAAGCTCGCCTCGCCTGTGGGTTATGGTCTCAAGATCTTGCCACTATGGCTAAAAGCCAATGGTTGACACAATCGAAGAAGAGAAGATGCGAAGCATGGGAATGGAGGATCGGGTGGGCGAGAGCGATTCTGAGGTAACATGAGCTCATGACTTGGAATATTGTGGATGTGCACACGAGTCTTGAAGAAGGGTGCCATAGCAGTTTCCGCAAGAAAGAATCCGTATGGGGCTCTGTGTATATAAGTAGAAATTCATATTCAATATTGACGCTTGGAAATCGCAGTGGGAGAGTTGCTAGGGAAACCAAAGTCTCAGCAGTAGTAGGCCGATGGTACTTGATATGAGCCGTCGGAGCTAAAGAGATCCTCAACATAGGTATGGCAGAAAGGGGAGTTAGAGTACGGAGACTCAGTCGTATGGATGCCAATGTGGGCATCTCTGTATTAGAACCAACGATGATACAAGACTCGAGATGTTGTACGAGAGACTTTCGCTGTTTCTTGTGAAAGAGTGATTACCAGACGTAGTTTGGAGACGAGGTGGACTCAGACGAACCACGTCCTACTCCAGACGAAAGGAGGTCATGCAGGAACCAAAAAGTATGAACTGTGGAAGCTACTCATATACGCATACTTTTGCCGTTGATACTTGAATTGGCCCGTTATTTTGTGGAATGGAGTATGGTGCTTGCCTTCATCTACGTGCCAGATGTTGTGGGAAGAAAAGCTCTAAGCCGGCAGTGGTGTCCATGTCAAGCTTTATTCACCGGCTGCTGAGTAGAGTAGTGTTGGCCTGCAACGAGATATACGTCTGGTTCAGCCGGTAGCTCATGACAGGTCATACGGGTGGTGGTGCATCTCCAACCTAGCACAGCCTCGCATCCCAAAGGTTGTTCTATTCCGGCGAATGATACGGTCGAGGCCGTTTCTACTAGTTTTTTGGCACTGCCACAAGTCTCAAGGAACGAGAAGCCAACAAGACTGCCTTTTACTTCAATAAAAGCCTGATTATAATGAGGGGTTAAAATTGGGTATGCGCGCTAGAGAACCACGTCACGCCTCTGGAAAAAGCTAACGCATAACCCGTGTGGGATGTGCGCTACCCGACATCAAACGCGTCCGTCAAGGTCCCTCGTAGCTCCTCGTAGCTGTACGAAAGCTGTACGAGAAAGCTGGTACGAGCATTTCGGAGCATTGATACCGGCGTGGTTAAAGCTACTATGGGGAATGGGACAATCTAATTGCGGCTTCGCGCTTATTATGCATTGGGTACCCGCGAGAACCATAAGAAAATGCCGTCATAGGCTATGGTAAGGCAATTGAGTTGATGGTCTGAAACGAAGCATCGAGATGGACCATGGTTGAGCTTGGGGCGTAGAGTGGTGGCCCCATCTTCGACCGTAAAGGTCTTGGTCATGCATGAGGTACTCATCCACATCAGCATAAATCGATTGTAAATCTCCTCTCTCTGTCTGCGTGAGAGGTCTCTTCTTTCTTCAAGATTCTTAAGCCTCCTCAGTCATCATTATGTTTCCCGATAATCTCACCTCCAGCGGAAATGCCTCCGGGTTTGTGGTGGTGAAAGATGCATCCGCAGCACTCCTCTCACCATGGAAAACATTCGACAAGCTGTTTACGTCAGTTATGGGCTATTCTGCCAACGAATTCGACTTTGTTTACGGACGAACACCATTCTCGACTTTCACTGAGGCCATGACTATGGTGGTGCTGTATCTGGTAGTTGTCTTTGGCGGCCGGGAGGTAATGCGCAACCGCAAACCACTGGAGCTGAATACGCTCTTCAAGATTCACAACTTCTTCCTGTCTCTGCTGAGCGGTGCTCTTCTGGTTCTCTTCGTCGAACAGATTGCACCAAGCTTGTGGCAGAAGGGCATCTACGAAAACATCTGCGGACCCTCAGGCTGGACACAACCGCTGGTCGTTCTCTACTACGTGAGTATTCAAACCACCTCTACCAAGGCCGTAAGCTGATCCTCCGTGGCAGATCAACTACCTCACAAAGTACTACGAGCTCATTGACACCGTCTTCCTGATGCTCAAGAAGAAACCCCTTACGTTCCTCCACTGCTACCACCACCCGGCCACCGCGCTCCTCTGCTTCAGCCAGTTGGTCGGAGCCACCCCGCTGTCCTGGGTGCCCATCACGCTCAACCTGACGGTGCATGTGGTCATGTATTGGTACTACTTCCAGACCGCACGAGGCGTCAAGGTGTGGTGGAAGCAGTGGATCACGGTCTTGCAGATCACCCAGTTCGTGCTGGACCTTGGTGAGTTGAACCGCACCCCTCAGCAATCACTCACCCAACGGGAGAGTGAAGCATCCAATCGCCGTACTAACTCGCGTCAACAGGCTTCGTCTACTTTGGCTTCTACGACGTCTTCGCAGACACGTACTTCAGGGAGATCCTCCCCCACGTCGGCCGGTGCGGCGGCGAATTCTACGCAGCCATGACTGGCGGCGCCATCCTGACGTCGTACCTGGTTCTCTTCATCATGTTCTACATTACAACTTACAAGAAGGGCGGTCGCGGCAAACCAGCTGCATCGCAAAAGCCCAAGCCGGCCGACCTCAACGAAAAGGAGACTTTGGCGGCGTCAGTGACCTTGGGGGGTAAGGACGCCACGGTTGAGCTAGAGACCTGAAGAAACTTTCAATTCAACTCAACTCCAACCTTGTTTTTATTTTGGACAAAGCATGAACCCATAGAATACCATAGACACGCAAGCATTGTCGGTCAGGTGGTCCTTGAATTGAGCCCGGTGCTCGGGCCAGATCTTCAAGGCGTGAGAGGGGAGCGGGGGACGAAATACCTGGTTTGGTTGCTATTGGTGGCGGTGACGTTGATGGGCGTAGTAGGTATTGGTTGGGGCTTCGAAAGCAAGGCGGGAGTTTACTCCGGATTGTGGAACAAATGACATGAGTTAATTGGGAGAGTGTGCCCGTGTCTGACTGTAATGCAAAAGTGAAATGCCATGTTTGATGATCAAGGTGGTGGTGGGGGGTAGTAGGAGGAAACATCTGAAGTCGTGCTGTCTGCGGCCTGCGGCCTGCGGCCTGCCGGAGTGAGGCGGGTCGATGGATTTAGAATTGCGGGTCTTGATGGGGCATATCGAAATGCTACTTGCCCAATTGAGACACCGCGGGAACGTCCGGGGAATCCTGGTCGGCAGATCGCGCTAGTACGAATACGCAAAATGCCCTCTTCTCCTTCCCCTCCCCTTCAACATGGCTTTTGAGGGAATTTATCTTGCCAGAATCTTGATGAGCAGGATATTTCATAGGCAAATGTTGGAATCAATTGAAAATGCACCACTGGCTTGACTGGGTACCTCATGTATTCAGGTCTATCTGTTGACATGTTGCCATCATGTCACATCCATGAAACTAGCTCTAGGTGTGTGCTCTTGTTTTTGGAGCAAGACAACGAAAGAAATCACATGCAATTAGCGCTGAAGTTATCTTCACTCTTGCCAAGCCTATGCTGTATTCGCGATGAGTTCGTTTGATAAGAACTTGGGCTAATTGCCGGCCGCGGGTGGTTTGCTCCACAAAGGAGGCATCAAGGCGACGAAGTACGGGCAAGCCCCCCCTTGTTTCAACTTTGAACTTCTTTCAACCTCCCACACCAATATCGTGATCAATAATCTGTGCCATGGGTGCTGAGGTATGAGCAATTGAGACACGCCAGCCATTGATGAATGGGCGACACGGGATAACACGTTGATTTATTAGAGCCTGATGAAGGTCAAGGACGAAGAAATCATGGAGGGCAGGTAGGGAAAGGCAAATAATAATAATAATAATAATGATAATAAGAATGACTGCATGGGGACCCGAAAGCAAAAGCTTCGGCAAAGCGGTAGCGCTGCAATTCAGGATTAGGTGTATAACCATCTTAAGCTTCTGGGCTAGTTGCTGTAGTTGATGAAAGGATGTACAATTGCCCCCTATAACCTACCTAGGGTACTATCGAATGTACACAGCTTGGTCAAGTACGTGATGAATATACGGAAACAAGAACTGTGCTCATGAAATTGTTGGACCTCGCCCCACCACCTGTCCTCGGTTTATCTTTCTGTTATTCGCGAGGATTCTAACTGCGCTCCTTGGATGCCATGTTTCATGTTCTCTTCCCGATTCATTGTCTTGAATCCTGACAAAGAAAGACATCGGCCCCCGACTCCCGGCTACGCTGAAAATCCAAGGCGCCGGCCCCGGATGGCATCCGCCCACGCCTCCCCGCACCATGTTCTTAGCGCCCCCTCGGCTGCTGCTCTGTGCTTTGTTCGGTCTCTAGCGGCGACTCTCCAGCTTCATGGTTCTAACGGGAGACCCCCGCAGTTCATTGAAAGATAAGGTCGTCAGAAAAAGGGTGTTAGTAATGGCACCTAAACTTGACTGATCTAGTCATTGATCTGGCACCGGTGCCAGTCTTACTCGTTAGCTGGATAGCATTCTGCCTCCTGCCACGCAGTCGATCTACTCTCCAGACCCATGTCGACCGCCATCGCCCTCTCCGAGGCGTCACTGCCTGACAGCAGTTGGGTCTGCTAGCTCGGCCCATCACCTCGGGATCTGACGTCCAGTCGTTCGTAGAACGCCTCAACAGCGATTACGTCCAACGCGAGGCTATTCCCAACGTGGATTGATGACACTCCATACGCAGCTGATAATGTTCTACCATTGTTCCCGGACGCCACCGATGATTCAGACACTCAATGAACTGCAGAGAATGACTAGTAATAAGCTAAACAGGGACTGTTGCTGGTGGTCTAGCTGCTCCTCTTAAGCCGGAGGGAGCAGCTTCCAGATGCTTGAAGAATCTATGGTGCTCAATCGTCCCTCTTGCTTCAGCCTGGCACTCACCATAACAGCAGCGTCACAGAGATTGTGAAGTCTCATCGATTGGCTTCCAAACATCATTGATAGTGCCAGAAGATAACAACATGGATAAGGATTCTCATCCGCAAGTGGCCGTAGATGAAAGCGGTGCACCACAGACAACCAGGCTATCACTCGGATCCAGACCATCCTCGGAGTTCCTCGGCGAGGAGCGCTCGCGAATCTCAATCATACACTGCCACGCTACTCCTTTGCCGGGTCTCGACGACAACCTATTTCCATTCTATTCAGAAGAGAATGATAACGACGGGGAGGAGATTCTCCCACAATCTCTGACGAAAGAATGGGAGAAAAAGGTTCGGCTTTCACAGGACTGTCCCTCTACCACCGGCATTGTAATGAGGAGGGTGACAGAGTTGACGGACGAAGAGATGTGCAAGAGGGGCAGCGCACCTTCGATAGCATCCCAAATTTCCCACGACGACGACCACTGCCGCCGCCACGATTCCATCAGATCCTCAATCACCCTGACCAACGGGCCACGCCCGCCACCGATCCCTCGACGGGTATCTTCCCTACGACAACCCGGCGCCGCGTACATTCTCCCGCGTGGAGACCCGACGTCGTCCACAGAAATCCAGCGCGCGTTTCCCCTCGCCATGAAGAGAGTGCCATCACACACCGTCTCAGACTCACACACCCTCTCAAAAACAGACGACGAAGAAAAGGGTGGCTTCCCTTCACCGCAGTCCGAGTCCGCGTCAATCATCTCGTCCATCTTCGCCTCACCGCTCCGGCACCTAGCGAGTCACCCGTCTCTTCACGGGTCCATATCGAGTGACACGCCGCGGGGGAAGGGCCAGCAGCGCCCTACTCCCGTCACGGAGCAAAGACACCCCGGCAAGGCCGATGCCCGGATCAGTCGCTTCACGAAGCCGTTTGAGCCGGATATTGATGAGGTGAATGGCGAGGACCACATGCATCAAGTGGGGCATCTTCATATGGCGAGTGGGGAGAAGCACGGCACCATGTCATCTTCATCCAATGTGGAGGTTGAAGGGGAGCAATGGGTTGAAGGATGGCGGCTCACCGTTCTCGTGTTTGGGATCTGTCTCGCGGTGTTCTCCATCTCGGCCGATCGAACTCTCCTTACAACCGTGAGCTATCATCCCGTTCACTAACCAGTCCCACAACTGACGGGCAATAGGCCATCCCGCACATCACGTCGGAATCCCAATCTACGGCAGACATTGGCTGGTACGGCTCAGCCCACCTCCTCACAATCTGCGCCTTCCAGCCCGTCTTTGGTAGAGCCTTTATGCTCTTTTCCGTTAAATGGGCATACGTCTTTGCCACTTTCATGTTCTTAGCAGGCTCGCTCATCTGCGGCCTTGCCCCCGACTCTCTCGCGCTCATCGTGGGTCGTGCCGTAGCTGGCTTTGGAAGTGCTGGGATTCTCACCGGGAGCTTCGTTATCGTCGCTACGGCGGTTCCCCGGCGGGCGCGCCCGGTTTACACGGCCATCATCGGAGTGATGTAAGAAATCTCTATCCAAAGATAGATAGAGGTTCAAGACGCGTGGATGCTAACACAACGACAGTTTCGGCCTTGGCGCCACCGTTGGTCCTCTGCTCGGAGGTGTCTTCACCGACCTTGTCGTGAGTAATCCTGCGGTTTAAATGTCTACAGACTCATGACTGACCCTGTCACCAGACTTGGCGATGGTGTTTCTACATCAACCTCCCCATCGCAGGCTTCACCCTCGTCGTGTTTCTCTTATTCTTTCACCCTCATCAGCAATCACAACACAGACAAACCTTCTTCAACAGAATCCTTGACCTCGACCTAGTAGGCAATGTGCTCCTCCTCGGAGCCTGCGTAATGCTCTTCCTAGGCCTCCAATACACCGCCCAGGGCGAGGCCCTGTCAAGCACAAAGATCACCGGTCTCCTCTCAGGCGCTGGCGCAACGGTCATCGTCTTCGCCGCGTGGCAGTGGTGGAAGCAGGACGGCGCACTAGTCCCACCAGCCATCATCACGCAGCGCACCGTAGCCGCCTCCTGCGTCGCGGCCTTCGCCACGTACGGCGCGCTCCTCATCCACATCTACTTCCTACCAATATGGTTCCAGGCCGTCCGCGGCGAGAGCGCCATATCGTCCGGCGTGGACATGATTCCCTACGTCGCAGCGATATCCCTCTTCTCCCTCCTCGCGGGCATCTTCGTCTCCGTCGTGGGCCACTACCCAGCCCCAGCAATAATTGGAGGCATGCTCGCGACAGTCGGGTGCGGAAAACTCATGATGCTATTGCCCGACACGCCGACGTCTCAGTGGATCGGCTTCGAGATTCTCGTCGCGGCGGGCTTCGGGATGGCTATCCAACAAGGGTTCACCGCCGTGCAAGCCGTCCTGCCGCCGGACGAGGTGCCCGTTGGGACCGCGGCGGTCGTGGCGTCGCAGGCGCTGGGCGGCGCCATCTTCGTCTCTGTCGGGAACGCTCTGTTCCAGAATCACCTGCTGCGGGCTTCGGCGGAGGATGCGGTGCCCGGGGTGGATATCCGGGCGGTGCTCGGGGCCGGGGTGACGGCGTTCCGAACGGTTGTGCCGGTTGAGGCGCTCCCGATGATGGTTTCTATCTACAATGATGCTCTCCGCGTGGTGTTTACTGTTGCGATTGCGCTGGCTGGTATTTCAGTCGTTGCGGCTTGTTTCATGCAATGGAAATCTGTGAAGGGAGTGAGAGCTGCGTGACGGTCATGGCGACGAGGTTGAGGAGAGGGTTGATGATGAGTCCATTCGTTACGACAGCGAAATGAGTATCAGTGCGTTTCAACTTTCAACAAGCTTATCTCTATGCTTTTTTAAGCTATTCCCAATCTGCGTTTCGTAAAATATGACCCCTGTGAAGCCGTGTCTTCTTGAGGTAATGAAAGGATCGATGACGATCGCAACCGCCCCCGGCAAGGCAACAGGATTAACCCCTTGTACCCGTGGAGCCGGTGGAGAGGGAACTGCAGGTGTTTGCAGCGGGCCATCCATATGGCACTGCTCTGCTAAGCAGACCATAATTATACCATAGGAGTCAATGACCGTTGGGCTTTAATATTCTAATGTTGCGTTCATTTCCTGGAGGCGCAGCCAACGTGTTTGGAAACCCGTCTAGCCAAGCTCTGGTGCGGCGTGATTTGACCATATCATCTATGGCTGGCCAGGGATCCGAATCCCTCCACCCCCCAAAGTCAACGCCAAGCGCTGCATGTCTCTCGAAGCCTAGTTCAATGGTGACTTTTGAACGCCCGGTTTGGGCGTACAAGGCCAGCAAGCAGCCATTGTGCCTGTATCCGTACGGAGTACAATTATTAATCGCGGTATTCCGTTCCGCATCAGAACAAGACTTTCTCTTACGTCTCTTTCCGTCATCCCGAAACCCTCTCATCCTCTGCCAAACTCTTGGGCAGCCCATCTGAACGATGCATCTGCCGCTGCTACACTGGCGGCTCCTCGCAGCACTCCTGTTAGTCACGGGAGTGGCGGGCCAGACGTGTTACTGGCCCAACGGCGTCGAGGCGACGCAGGCGGTAGCTTGTCCCGTGGCGGGCGGTACCGAGGTCGCGGCGTGCTGCTTCCAGAATCACTACTGCATGAGTAACGGCCTCTGCTTTTCGCAGACGGAGCTGAATTTCTACCGCGGCGCCTGTACGGATCAAAACTGGACGCGGAGTGGGTGTCCAAAGTATTGCGACAAGGAGGAAATGATCGGCGGAGGTAAGATTTCTTGATCAGAAAGGCGGAACAAGAGTCTCCTCTCTTTGTGTCTTGGATCGCTGTGGACTGAATTATACGATAGTTCCTGGCCGGCATTGTGGCGTCGCATTATGCGGTGACAAAAAGTTCGCATGCCAGACCTCTGGCAACTGCGCCAACTACACTTTTGGCGTCCCCGCGGGCAAGATGCTGCTCAACAAGTACCTCCAATCGGACCTCAGCGACCTCGTAGAGACGGCGGCGATCGCGACCGCGACAGTAGGACAGAGTACCGGGACCGCGAGCGCCGCCGCAACGTGCTCCGCGACGGCAGCAGAGTCCAGTATCAGCAGCGGGATCTCGACAGGAGCAGCGGCGGGGATCGGGGTGGGCATCGGCGCCCCGCTGGCGCTGGCGATCGTGGCGCTGACCGTCATGTTACTGCGCGAGAAGAGGAAGACGAGGGCGGCGCTGTCGAGTCAGGTGGATTCTTCCGGGACGGGCCCGTCTTCGCCGTGGGCCAAGTCGGAGCGGACGGCGTATGTGCCGTTTGAGGTTCATGGACAGCCGGTGCCGAATGAGTTGTCTAGTAGCCGCGATAGGAGACACGAGCTTTCTTGATGTTGGAAGCTCGATGATGGCTGGATAGACTGCCGGTGATGGGAATGAGGAGAGATGGTTCCGCGGACTTTGTACGTGGAAGTTTAGCTAACTAGATCTATGAAATCCATTAATCTGTAAGTCACTACAAGAGTTTAGATCCTATTGGTGTTGCGGGCAGGCTACCTATCATACTCCCAGCTCAGAAACGCTCAGGATACAGGATGTATTCCATCACGTCAAGAAGTCGCCCCGAATTCGACAATTGACAGAGTTCGCCGGCTGGAAACTACAATCATCATGAAGACTTTTGGTAAGACGCGGCTCTCAACTTTTGCCATTGTTTAATTGTGCGTTGTCAACTTCGCCCGGTCAATGTCACCAACCGGTTTTCCTGCTATTTAGGACGATGATACTCAAGACAAAATACCTGCTGCCCTCATCCCAATCTCGCAGATCTTGGAGTACGGTAAAGTTGCAACTCGACTACGAGACGCTCCCACAGCCAAATCAGGCTTCAAGACCGCTGCAGTTGCCATTCAGCTCAGACGCAGGCTAGACACCAAGTTATTTCGGTTGACGCGCCAACGAGGCGAAGCACATGCAGGCGCCTCGGCGGCTAAGACCCCCAAAGGCCAGCCAACCACCGCTCACATGCCCTCACCACCATCGCATCAGGCGCCGTTTCGAAAAGGGTTCGATAGCAAATTCCCTGCCGTCGCGACGGCTAGCACTTGAAGCGTTCATCATACGCTTGGCCCCCTTTCCCTCTTGCCCCTTTCCCACTGTTCGCGCGTTAGGGCTGAGACTAAATTGCATGGGCGGAACGTGGCGTCGCTGGGGTCGCGTTTGTGCCATGAGCCAACGGATGGCCTCTCGCAAGGCAGAGAGAGAGCAATTGTCTCAGGGGAGGGAATTAAGCCCCGGGCCGTACCACGGCGCATGGGGTTCTCGACTCAATGAGGTATCGTGCGAAGAAAACGAACCCCATGTGGCGCGCCCGTAGGTAAGCTCGGTTGCCGCTTACAGCAATTCACAACTGGGGTCCAACGGTGTGTTCACCCTTGCGAGCTGAGGTCTCATTCAAGTATTCGGCTGTCAGCCTAATTTCACCTCTTCTCTTGTTTTTCCCCCTCTCTTTTGGTCTTGATGCCTTTCTCTCGCTTTACGTTGTGATCGTCGCGCGCATTCGCGTTCCGCATCGTCTTCTTTCACCTTTGTACGAGTTTGATATTCGGGAGTAAATTGAGACAAACTTGCGGGAGGAGGAATGGCCGATCAACTCCAGCACCGTCTCCACACGGAGACCACGGCACCGGCAGACCAGCCGGGCCTCGAGGCGGCGCCGAGTAGGTACTCCACCGCGCCGATCCCGTACGACCCTTCTGAGTTCCAGAGCCCGTTGGAAAAGTCGACGTGGACGACGATGACGCAGGCTTATCACCCGGCGTATGCTTCCGCCGCGGCCGCAGACGCACCGCCGCCAGAGCGACGGCGCGTTCTCGGCCTGATGGTGCCTGTGTTTTGGGGGCTGGTTATTGCGCTGGTGGTTATCCTTGCTGGTGGGATCGCTGGCGGTGTGGCGGGAGGGTTGGCGGCGCAAAAGGCTGATAATTCGGCGGTCTCAGTGTAAGTTCACTTTTCGTCACTCATAGGGATGAGATGAGAGCAAAAAGACTGAATGTGGTGTCCAACAGAGGTCCATCGTCAACAGCATCAGCAACGGCAGGCTCTCAATCAGCGCCTACAACCTCAAGCGCAAGCTCAGGCGTTCAATCCTCTACATTAACAGCGACATCGTCCACCGCCCGCTCAATCCCAACAGGTATCCGCTCCGCTCCGACGGACGGCGGCTGCCCGAGCATCAACACGACGACTTACACGCCCACCGACGCTGACGGCAAAGCGATGAAGATCGGCACAGGCTACTCGACGCAGACCTTCCGCCAGCTGTGCGAGGTGAATTATCCCTCGGGCGCGGCCTACGGAAACCCGGCGCTGTATGATATTCTCAAGGTGTATGTCTCGACGTTTGAGGAGTGCATGGTACTGTGCGCGGCGCATAACCAGGCGTATGGGAGTAATCTTGCGAGCGGGGATGTCAAGGCCGGGGGCTACTGCCGGTCTGTCGCTATGATTAAGTTGCCCGGAGAGTATTGTTACCTCAAGAATGGTACTGGCAAGATGGACACGCAGGGGCATGCTCAGGATTTTGTTAGTGGTGTCGTTATTTCTGGGCTGCCGGATGCGTAGAGGGTTGAGTGCGTGAAGGATGGAATGCCCGGACCCTTGGGGTTGGGGGAGAGGCCGGGATTGTATGACATTCAATGAACGGCAGTCATCTTGATAGTAAGTGTTTGATGCATACACCTTGAATAATATAGCCTCTGATTTGAATATCGATCCGAGGCCAACATCTTGATGTTTGCACAAGGTACCTACCTACTCCCGTATTGCTAGGCTGGATCAACGGTGGCTGTGGCTCCTCCACGATACTAAGAACGTTAGTTGCTACTCAACCCGCATAGGCCAAAGGCATTATGAGCGGCATATATGCCGAGTGCGGAAGATAAGTGAAGGGCCATGAAAGCCACTTTGATGGTGTACTTAGCATTATGTGAATGAAGATATGCCTATAGACGCAGGTTCCCCAATTTGCTTTATGCTCTTCATCGGAACGCTGAAATGTCGGTCAAAATGGAATAGCCATCTCTGGAGTTTCAGGGTGGTGAAAAAGATTGAACTCGCTTCTTCTACTAAATGGGCTCTTCGACGGCCGAGATAAGGTATCGCAGACGTTCTCGGAGGAGGTTGAGCATATGCTGAGGGGATCTTGGTACTTCTATTTCACTCGGATTGAGTGATTAGTAAGAGAGGGAAATCCTTGAGCACTTGCGAAGCGTGGGACTCATCGCTTTGAAAAAACAATTGAGAGAGGCATGTGATGTGGATGAGGTGATGGAGCAACTGAGTAAGCTGTCTCCGGGGTGAAGATTCATGCTTCGAAATTGACTCACTCTGCTGATCGCGTGCGCAAAGAGTGTGGATGATTGAGTACCAACAATGGTCCTTGATTGTCGCCGACCAAGACGGCCTTGGCTCGATTCTAGACCTTGACCTTCCCGGTCGGAAGCTTCATTGACGTCAATAATTCCAAATAGACGCTGATGCGATTGATAAGATTCCCAGCAGCGATGAGAACCCTTGTGGATTATAAACTTCCCGACACCGGTGACCGGCCCATGATTCACGAGAAGAGATACATAGGTACACGGCACACCGTGCTGCAGAATTGTGGCTCGGAGCCGAGTTGCGTCACTCGGAAGAGCCTCGGCAAGTGGGGTGGATTGTCTGGATACCGACGGAACGGGGAATCGGCGACTCGGTGCTTAGGTAATCCACATAATCATGCCAAAGAACGGCGCTCCGATCACGCATCCAGACCACTTGCGGTTTGGCTTGGCGGGCTTTTCGTGACACCCGACTGACAGACGCTATCAAATGCACCCTGAATCGTGCGGCAGGCCCGATTAAAAATTTCTGGAATTCTGGAATCCACCACCACCGAGAAGGCAAGGCCCAGCGCAACGCATCACCGTCCCAGATCCCGGCCACCACCATTAGAAATCACATTTTGGACCACTGCTACCGTCGCTACTACTGCTACTGCTACAGAATCTCAGGCCCTGTACCACTATTTGTACTACCACTACCATCCCGGGTCTGCCGTCACGATAGCGGTCCACGAGTTTCCAAGCCTTGATTGGAAGCAAAGCCCGTCGCCATCCTGCCCCTTCCATTCGTTTTGCCCCTCCTCCCTCTCACACGCCCCCCTGTGGTACCCTGACCCCCCCCCTCCTCCCTCTTGCTGTACATATATCTCTCTTTTTCTGATACCCCGCCATTTTTGGAGAGGATAGTGCGTGTTCCTGAACGCGCATATCACCGCCAAACTGTTCTCTTCAACCTTTAGACGAACAATTCTTCGCTCAAGCGCCACTGGTCTGTCCTTTGCCGCAGCCACCACATCACTCAAGAAGAACTCTACGAATCCTACCGAACTAAAGTCGAGTGCCCGCAAAATGCATAGCAAGGTTGTCAGTACGTTAAGACTCTCCGTTCCTGCTTGCCCCTCCTGCAGATCAGCAGAGACAAACATGCCTCTCAACATGGTCGAGCCATGATGGCTTCAAGTCTTGTAATGCGACTTTGCTAACCTCACACCACAGTCATTGGCTCTGGGCCTGCTGCCCACACCGCCGCCGTCTACCTGGCGCGCGCTGAGCTGAAGCGTAAGCATCCCCTCACCACTCCCCCTATCTTCACACAGTCCTCGGAACATCCACTGACGATACTCCCCTGCTCCAGCCGTCCTGTACGAGGGCTTCATGGCCAACGGCATCGCCGCCGGCGGTCAGCTCACCACCACCACCGACGTCGAGAACTTCCCCGGCTTCCCCAAGGGCATCATGGGCGGCGAGCTCATGGAGAACATGAAGGCCCAGTCCGAGCGCTTCGGCACCCAAATCGTCACCGACACCGTCGCCAAGCTCGACCTGTCCTCCCGCCCCTTCAAGTACTCGACCGAGTTCGAACCCGAAGAGACCCACACCGCCGACGCCGTCATCCTCGCCACGGGTGCCTCCGCCAAGCGCCTCAACCTCCCCGGCGAGGAGAAGTACTGGCAAAACGGCGTCTCCGCCTGCGCCGTCTGCGACGGAGCCGTCCCCATCTTCCGCAACAAGCACCTCGTCGTCATCGGCGGCGGTGACTCGGCCGCCGAGGAGGCCCTCTACCTCACAAAGTACGGCTCCCACGTCACCGTCCTCGTCCGCCGCGACATCCTCCGCGCCTCAAAGGTCATGGCCAACCGCCTGCTGGCCAACCCCAAGGTGACGGTGCGGTGGAACTCGGCCGGCAAGGAGATCCAGGGCGGCGAAGACGGCCTGATGAGCCACCTCGTCGTCAAGGACACCGTCACGGGCGCCGAGGAGACACTCGAGGCCAACGGTCTCTTCTACGCCATTGGCCACGAACCTGCGACGACGCTCGTCAAGGGACAGCTCGAGACCGACGACGAGGGCTACGTCGTCACCAAGCCCGGCACGCCGCTGACCAACATTGAGGGTGTCTTCGCCGCCGGTGACGTCCAGGACAAGAGATACAGACAGGCCATTACCAGTGCCGGAACCGGCTGCATGGCTGCCATGGACGCCGAGAAGTTCATTGCCGAGCTCGAGGACGGCAACCCCAAGGAGAACTGACTAGATCATCACCTCTAAAACTAAACGAGTCGTGAATGGCTATTGCGAGCCGCATAATGATATAGAAGAGCCTCTAGACTAGATATGCGGCAAAAAGCAAGAAAAATAGACTTTTGAATTCAAGCGTACCAAAACCAAAGACCAAAACAAGAGGGGTGGTATTTTCCCATCGCCTCGGAGTCAGATCCGAGTCGACCGAAGCAGATCTCGGAGATATATGCCCCTGACCGCGTCCGTCGGTCCCCTACTTATGGCCGGGCTTTCCCGGGTCTGCAGGTCCTGCGGTCGCGACTGCTCTTATGCCCTTCCTTGATATTTGTTAGACCATCCAAGCTAAGACGTCAGCGGGAGGCAACGTTATTATCTAAAGAGCCGCTGTTTCCCTCATCAAAATTCGAGAACAAGGCAACATGCCGTGTCATGTGGTGTCGTCCCAACTTTTGGAAAGCTCCTGAGCTCAGGTACCCCCGTCCTCTGTCCTAACTTTTGAGTACAAGGTATTCTTCGCTGCAGAATCAAGTCATCCTCCCCCCCTCCCTCCGCATCTCGGACTCACTCTCATCCAAAGAGTCTGCTCGTGCAGAGAGCCAGAGTGCCTTCCCACCCCCACATGAAGCTTAAAATACCTAACAACCGGCCTACCGATATTACCTGATGCCCCAGAAGGGCCAACACCCAAAAGGTGCAGCAGCCGTTTGCCAGCGCATGCGTATCGCCTCGCTCGACCCACGCTTGGAACGGCTCGAACGCTTGACGCCTTGCCCGAAGCATCCCTTTTCATCCACTCGTTGGCCTTCTTTTTTTTTTTTGCCGCATAGTCCGTTCCCCATTCAAACTTGTCAATGGACCGACTCGTCAGGCACGGGAATTAGAGAAGAGTAATAAAAAGTCTCACTATGGGCTCTCTCTCCCGTGGGGCGGGGTAAGTGAAGTAGCGCAGCGTTTCAAACCACGCATCGCCCATGATCAGCCCATTATGTACCTACTCTGTAATCCCGTACCATGTGCCTTAAACTAGAGAGAGAGAGTTTTTCTCTTATACTTAAGTTCGCCGCCTTCGCCTTCTTCTTCCCATCTCCACTATGTGTCAAAAACGAGAAACAAAAGCCCCCGATGAATTCTTCGTCCTTTGAATGAGCCCATCTCCAACTCAAAAAAGCATTCTGGAAATTTGAGTAACAGAACCCACTACCGCCCGCTCACCTCCCTAGATCGACGACATGCCAAGCAGCAAGGGATACTCATACAAGAGCTCTGGATCCAACAGCCAGGTAATTGCAAACCTTGACCCATGTGAGGTTCTCGTGGAGCAGCAATAGTACTCACTGCGGGGAAACACACAGGGTAACTACTCCTGCGCTCGCGATTACGGAAGCAGCAGCAGCACTTCGAACCCGAACTCATACCAGTATCCCAACACGTGAGTCTCAATCTTTATTTGCATTTCATTCTCATTCAGTTCTTCAATCCAGAGCTGGAGTGTGACTGTGCGTGGGGCATGAGAGAGAGGCCGAGCCAAGACTGATGGAACATTTGCGACGATGGATAGAAGCGGCTCAATTCACTACTCGACTCCAAAGAGCGAGAGGTATCAAAACGACGGCAACGGCGGTTCACCGTACACCTCGGCTAGCGGATACCGAACATGCTCCGGGTACGGCAAAAAGTAAGCTTTGAGTTGGGTTTTTTACTCCGCATCTGCGTGACTTGTGACTGACTTGGAGCAAAGTGTTGGAATGAAATAACCACTAGATCTTGTAATGAGTGACGACGGAGCGATTTATGTGATTATACTCAAATGTTGGGATGCTTGGCTTTTCTTTCTTTACCTCTAATGGGATGGACCCTATTTTGTTAGGACTTGATGCGCAATTGGGATACCTGTAGTAGGAACGCGAATAGCATGTGAACTTTTGGTTTCGGTTCGGAGTAGTAGGATTTGACAAGACGTGAGTTCATAAGTGAGGAGGTGATTGAGAAATGTCATTTGCTTTTTCTCAATGCAAGCTGATCCCTGAAACGTGGGGGGACAGCTGTGTGAGTGAGGGGTCCCTCTCGGTCTCATCCCACTTGGACTGCCGCTCACATCAACTCACGTGCAGTTGCCGACACGCTTGAGCAAAGTGACAGTCTACTACTAATGCGTGTTACAAGCCGGAGGCTGTTCCTGAGGTCCCATGTTCGACGTGGTTCACCCTTTTGAATTGCAAACAACAGGCACTTCTCTCAACTGAGATATTTACCTTCTTGGTCTGAGATCCATCAGATGTTGACAGAAACCAGGATGATCCCAGAGTAAGTTACGACAGCGGCAGCTTGCTTGGCAGCCGGGGAAATAAGAAACGCCCTATCTCGTCGAAAAAGCAATAAAATAGCACAATGCTGCACGTCTCCGCTGCTCTCTGCTACAGGAAACTTGATTGTGATACTTTGTGCATGCCGGGGGTAACAAGGGGGAAGGGGGAAGGGGGAAGGGGATGATGCAATCACGATATCCCTATGCAGACTCCAGGGTCCCCATCTGATCTGACTTTCGCTGGGCTTTTGGAGCTCTGACGCGCCCCGCGGGAAGGAACATGAGAGCCCAAATGAGCGAGGAAAGGTAGATTAGGGAGGCAGGTGGCTTTCCGATTGTCACTGCTCTCGCCATTAATCAATTAATGATGCGGGGTGGACGGAAAGAGGAAAGCATCGATAGACCGTGCCTGACAAACCACAAGGTGTCTTGCCTGGGTATTTAATCTCCCTTCACCTTCCAGTGACCTCGCATCCTCAAACTCCCCTTCTCTCCACAGTCAACTCTTCTTCAGACACACCCCATACACAACGCCCATCGCACCCAGCCACTTTTCGCACCAGAATCGTCAAACACACGGTCAAGATGAGCGGACGAGGTTACGAATACAAGAGCTCCGGCACCAACAGCGAGGTAAACCCCAGCCCTTTTCTCCAAAGCCACAGAGCTCCAATTCAAGACGGCGTAGCTGACGTGCCGACTGGCAAACGCAGGGCAACCACTACTGCGCCCGCGACTACGGTAGCAGCGCTGACAACTCCAACTCCTACCACTACTCCAACACGTGAGTTCACCTCCAACTCTTCCACTGACTGCTGCCAAGGGGCTGCTTTACCATCCCTCCATGTCCCGGACCGGTTGATCGCCTTATCTCCCAAGAGACATCGTTGAACAGAAGCTGATCAAAACATCAAAAGTGACGGATCCTACTACTACTCCAACCCCAACGGCAGCACCTACCACAACAACGGCAATGGCGGTTCAACCTACACCTCTCCCAGTGGTGACAGAACCTCGTCCGGCTACGGTGGCGGAAGCTCCGGTAGCTCGGGCAAGAAGTGAAGTGCTAGCACCTGCACAGCTTATGATGGCGTCAAGATCGTAGATGGAGATCCATCGAACGACCAGAGTAGGAGAGAGAAAAGGAGGGTCTCGGTTTGATAGCAACGGCGTCATGAAGCTTTATGAATTGACATGCTGATACGACTTTGGTTCTTCCGCCTGTCAAATGTTCGAGAAGTGATGTGTAGGGGCATGGTGGAAAGACGGTCATTTCAAGCCCAACTCCGGGGCTCCCTTGTTAGATATGCCCGTTGAAGATTTCGCACGGCGTATTCTCTTGCCTTACACAGATTCAAATGCCCACCTCAGGACCTTCACCCGAGGCCCATTCCCGACACAGGTACTAGAGGCAGGTAGAACCCTTGTCACTCATTGATTAGATTTAAACCCAACTCCACCACTCCATGAGAAATGAACGCATCAATCCCACGTCTTGGTAAGCTATAAACTTACCTTACTCGAGTCCCAAAAGAGGACGCGGCAACAGCAGGAGAGAAAGAAGACGGCCAACCTCATAAATAGGAATGCTCATGCTTATGAACCAAGCAAACCACCAGGATCCTTCTTGGAGATGAGTCCATAGCTCGAGTCCCTGAATGCCAAGCTACTACCAATACTTCCGTACTCACTTCTAGTAATATATCTGTTCCCATTTAATACTCATTTTATCACTCATGATATGTATGAGAATGGAAGACAGCCCGCCTTATGAATAGGGGTACCCTATGGCAAAGTGATGCATCTGACCTAAGCAAACCAACAGTAGCATGTTGATGAGGATTCCATACAAATGCCTAGACGCTAAGATACTGCCATTGCTTCAGTATTTATCACCACTATACTTGTTGCTGCCATCTTTGTTACAGCCCGTCTGATGAATAGGGTAACTGTACTTCTTAAGTAGAAAAACCAACAGTAGCATGTTAATGAGGATCTAATAACCTAAATGACTAGGTATCAAGACACTGCCGCTGCTGCTACATTTGCTATTGCCATACTTGTTGCTGCTATCTTTACCATAGTCCGCCTTATAAATAATGGTACCCACGCTTCTAAACGAAGCAAACCAACAGTAGCACATTGATGAGGATTTGGTAAATCCCAGGATGCCAAGGTACCACCCTTGCTGCCGTATCCGTTGCTACCGTATTTGTTCCTGCCGTTCTGGTTGCTGTCGTACTCGTTTCTTCCGCATTCGTCACTGACAATGTGCAGGAGAACGACGGGTTCCCGTAGGGGCCGCTATCTTTGACATATTCCGTACGGCGTATGCGAGATATGGCAAAAGGGGCAGCGACAACATAAAGAGTAACGACAAGCTCTGCGGAATCTTAGCGTTCTTGTCGTCTCTGCCGTCGCTGGTGCGATGGCGCTGCGACCAACACTGGAATGAGGCTAAGGAGCAGCTGGAGACTTGCTTGGAGACAAAGGTCCGCTTTATACCCTCGATAGAGGAGATCTTTGTCGCGAGAGTGCTGGATGGAAGGAGCGAGTGCTATCGTGCCTGTCATTTGGACGCTCATTAGGCTCTCGAACTGTGCTTGGAGTCACCCCCCCCCCCCCCCCCCCCCCCCCCAGCTTCATACCCTGGATAAAGAAGACGTTTATTGCAAGATTGCTGGATATGGAGGAGCGATCCTACCATGCCTGGCATTTGAACCCTCCACTTGCCCCTGAAAACAGCCAGACTGCACGTTCTGTGCAGCGAATACAACATCACATAATATCCATCACAAGCTCACTAGTGCGAGTCATCTTGAGTTCTTCATGAGTTTCATTATTGTTACATATTATGTTGAAAATGAGCTCCGATCAGCTCATCTCTGATTCTGGCGTCGTCTATATCGTGACACTTATCCTCATGTTTTCCATCATCGTCTACTCCCCTTTAGCCTCACCAAAACACCGCGGCTTCCTCTCAATGACACACAAAATGACATGCCTCAGGAGTCCATTACCCCCTCTCAATACCTCTCCCTCTCCTGCCTCCTCATCTCCTCACGGAAAGCATTACCACCCTGAGGCCCATGATCCGGAAACGTAGCCGACACCGGGCTCCCCGCAAGACTCCCAAGCGCATCGCTATCCCTCCGAGAATGCCCGTAGCCACCACTGTTGACATTGAGTCCAGCACCGGTATGCTGCTGCTGCTGCTGGTTCGGCATCGGCTCGTCGCGGTACACATACCCGTCGGGGCTAATCTCCCTCTGCCTTAACTGGATCCCCCGATCCTTGCGCCCGCCATGGAACACGCTCTGCCTCACCTTGGCCCCCAACCTCTGCGCCCGCGACTTACCGACACCATACCCGTGCCTCGACCGGCTCATGATGTTTCCCAGTCCGATCTTGCGCGTCCGCCGGTTCCAGATACACCCGCCAATGACACAAATGATGATGAACCCAAACACCGTGGGGAGGGCGATGTACAGCTCCGCGCCCTTGGGCATTTTCGCGGCCTCGGGGTGCCATGTCGGCCGCTTGGCGACGAGGACCTGCGGGCCCGTGATGGCCGTTTGGGCGGTGCCGTCAATGGTGTAGGACATGAGGAGCTCGATTGTGGCGTTGTCTTGGCCTGAGGGGATGAGGCTTGAGGAGACTGTCCAGGCGTAGTAGCCGTAGGATGCGGGGTTTGTGGTGTCTGTGTCGGCGTTGAGGACGATGTCGCCTACTGTCGTGCCGTTTACGGATTTGCCTTGGATTTTTACGTTGACGTTTGTTTTGTTGCCTTTGATGAGGACGGTGGGGTCCCAGGTTACTAGAGCACGGGAAGAGTTAGTCAGGTACACCGATATACTGCCTTCATCACCTGTACCAGGGAACGTCGGTTCGCCTTACCATAGTACGTCCCATCGGTGTACAGCGTGCTCCCCTTATTCGGATCGCAAAAGGGCGAAAAGTCCCCCTTGGTATTACTGCACGGCGCAAAGGCCCCCGCGCCGCTCTTGCTGTCGGCCGTGGCGACGGGCGGGGTGCCCGTGCTGGTGGTGACCTTGACGAGGTGCCAGTCGGTCAGGGTGAAGACGCTGCCCGTCAGGGCGTTGGGGGCGGCGGAGGCGTAGGTTGCCGTGCCGGAGATTGTCGTCGGGACGGGGGTGACGGTCGTGGGGACGCCCTTGTTGTTGACGCTGATCCAGGCGGCGGTGGGAGCGATGACATCGGCGCGGGCGACGAGGGTTGGCTCTGGGGCGGGAACGGGGGCGGGGATGGCGGCGACGGGGTTGAAGAGGAGGGCTAGGGCGGCGAAGGCTGCCGGGACGAGGTTGGAGGTATGCATGTTGAGGTTTTGGCGAGAGCTTCAAGAGCGTGGAAGGGACATGCGAGTGGTTCGATTCTGGTGGGTTACAGCAATGGATCGCGTGGAGTTACTTCAGAACTCAGAAACGAGGGTGATATCTCGTCGTTGAGGAAGACACGAAGAGATCCAATTGAACGATCTAGAACTCTCGTCCAAACGAATGGAATCAACAGTTCAACGACTGAGAGAGACTGTGGTGTTGAGTTGACAACCGGGAAGAAGGACGAGACGGGACGACAGGACGGGGAAGCGGTCCAATGTTTACAAAGGAACCATAAATGGGACGAACGGGGGGGGAGGATTTAGCATAAAAAAGTTGGTTGATCCCCCAGGTCGCGCGGAGGCCAGACGTGTATCCTTCGAGCTTCTCAGTGGATGGTCGACCGTCGACAGGGGGAATGAACCCCACTGGCCGAGATTGGCTTCTCCAAAATACAAAGAAGTTCAGGGGGGGAAACCAGGCAGAGGAAACAGGCTTTGATTCGCGCTGTTTGGTGGCCTGAGCTTACGGAGTTGACTTGCCGGTTTGCCGCGATGCAGGAACCACCAAGTGGTTAGAAACATTCTTAGCAGCGGCCTTGGCTGTGATTGGACAATTCGGTTGGTATGCGGCGACTACCGTCTTACACGACACCACGACCACCATGAAGCATATCTCACACAACTTCAAAGACTCTCATGATCTTGGGAATATTCATGGTCACTATCGTGATGAGTAGAGACGCTTTCGACCGGCGTTATATTATGAACCCTTCCTCCCATTATAAGTTCCTCTCCAATCATGATTCGTTCCCATTGCTCGTAATTAGGTTCGTAGTATCGTGCCGTCAAGTCAAGGATCCCGCGGACTATCCCACAAGCACCCTTCAATGAGGCCTCATTATCGGACCATGATACACCCTCTGCCTTCTCACAGGCATCCTCGTAGCAGGACCCGGCGACGAAACAGCCATAGGCCCCTCATGCTCAACCCCCTCCTTCTCCGCCATCCCCATCCCCTCCACCCGCTTTCCCCGTCCCTTCACAAGTCTCAGCCCCTCATCAGGCCTCCCATCCATGATAACAACCGGCACCGGGTTCTGATGCGGCCTCCCAACCTCCAACGGCTCCTGGAACGCCTGCGTCGGCCCAGGTCTCCTCATAAGTCCCATCTTGACCCTCTGCGCATCAATCTTTTCCCCATCCGTTCTTCTATCCAAAGTCCCGTCGACGGCTGCTCGCAAGTCGATGTCGTCTTTGAGCCTGTGGCCTGGGCACGCCGCGTTGGGACATCGGCCCGGTATGATCTCGGTCTTGACTTCGCCATCGAGGAAGGGGCAGTTCTTGGGTTTCGGGGTCGAGGAGAGAGGGGTGGTGAAGGTCCATTTAATTTGGCGGTAGGACCATAGCCAGGATCTGCAGCGGTGGTAGTGCATGTGTCTGTGGAGGCCGCAGCTTTCGCAGAGGGCAATGGATTCGGTACACATTGTCGGGCTGAGTTTGTGGTGGCTGGAGATGGTATGGGCGACATGCGAGTTGGTACTTTGGTGATGTCGATTGACGGTATGGCGAGGCAGAAAAACGCGATTGGGCGATTTGCGGTCTCGAGGTTGCGATAGAGGAGGAAGCCACTTCCGGTCGATGCCTTCAAATCGTAAGAGTCAACATCGCGAGGTGATGTCGTCAGATGACAGCAGTTGCTTGTCACGAGTTCGTCAAGATAAAAAGGTACCCCCTAAGAGAAAAGCAGAAGCGGATAACGGAGGAAGGAGCGGCCTTGATGTTGAAGATGGAAGGAAGGCAGAGAAAGGGAAGGTATCTACACCTTCCACCATATTCGTCCCTTCCCTCTTTGAAATCACAGAAATCCCACCAGAGTCGGATCACCACGACTGGCCAGTCAGCCACCTAATTTCAAGGTATCATATCACCCGGCCTCCAAACGCTATCATCCGGAAGGAAGAGGACGGAACATCACCACTCATCTTTCACTGAAATGAAATGTTCAAAATTTCTTAAAATTGTTAACAAACAAAGCCGAGCCAACTCCGCATAGAGGCCGCCCAAGTAAGGACAAATACCCGTTTCACCCTGTAAGTAAAGATGCTTTTACACTTTTGTTTATACCTCCTCTGTCACTCTTCCCCCCCGCCTTTTCCCCCGAACAAATGACCCCGTCCAGTGGTGTCTTTTAACTTAGTCTCTGTCCCTCTTGGACTTCTTCGCCTTCTTGGACTTCTTCTCCCCGAGAGCCTCGTCGTAAATTTCGGCTGCCGTCGGACCAGCCTTGCGCTTCGACTTGCCCTTCACGCTCACTACACCAGTTTTGCCATCCTTGACGGCCTGCTCTGCTTCAGCCCAGGCGGGAGCGTCACCGTCAACCTCATACCTAGTAGTTGTAGTTAGTATAGTATTCTCATAGCCACGGATTGAAGAAAAGGGGTCTTACTGGTCAAGCGGCAGGGAGTCGATGAGCTCGCGCTGCTTCCTACGAAGCTTAGCCAGAGCCTCATCGCCTCCCTCCTCAAGCTCGTCCTCGAGAGATGTCTCGAGGGGAGCGAACCTCTTGTCGACGACCTCATCGTCGTGCACGCCAGACGCGTTCTCCCGGCTGACACCAATCTTGGTAGCGCTAGGCAACTCGGCTTCGACGGCGGCGTTGACCAGGGATCCAAAGTGCGTTGTAATCTTGCGGAGGATCTTGATGAACATGGCCAACAGCTGCGATGAGGGCAGGGACAGCTCAGAAGAGATAACATCCATGTCCTTCCTCTGCAGACCGATAGCGAGCAGGATAGCCTGCTGAACACCAGTCAACTTGATGTCTCCCTTGAGCTTGCCGGTGAAGTACAGGCCAGCAAGGGTAGGCACGAGATCGAGGATGACGTGGTAGTCCAGCATGTTGTTGGCGTATGACTCGAGACGCTTCAAGTCGAACGGCGTCAGGAATCTGTCGAGTTCCACCTTTGACAAGGCCGTGGGCTCAGTGCCGTCGAGCTTGGCGCCGATGCTGGCGGACTCGTCGATGCTGAGCGCGACGACCGACTGGAACTCCCGGAACTGGTACGACAGCAGCGACTGGAAGCGACGCTGGAAGTCTCGCGAGAAAGCGCCGAGCCATGACCGGTCGGCGCCAGTGTTCTCGAGAGGCCGGATCATGACGCACGTGTGCTCGCCCGTCAGGTCGTTGGCCGTCTGCCGGAGGTAAACGGGCGCAAAGGAGGCGCGCTTCCAGAACTTGTGGAGGGGCTGAGTCAAGCCGTAGCTGACACCGACGTAGTCCAGTGCAGCAGGTCTGATCTCGGAGAATCTGGCGAACAGCGGCGGCAGCTTTTTGATATCTCTGATATGAACATCGTCTGCGAGCAAAGAGGTATTTGACAGCTCCGCGTCCGTCACTCTGGGCAGGGTCTCCTCCATGGCGAGGTCGGCGTCCTCGGACAGGTTGGTGAACTTTTGCTCGTAAAAGTCGGTCAGGAGCTGCAGGGCCTTGGTGCCGTATCCCATGGACACGTACTCCGGGTTCGTCGCTATTCTCACGACGCGGGCGCCGGAGAGGGAGGCGAACTCGTCGTCCTGGTACTGCTGGCTCACGAGCCAGGGGATCAGGTCACCGGACGGGCGCTGTCCTCTGCTCAACTGGTTGATGACGCTTTGTCTGCTAATCTTTCCTTCCAGCGCGACCTGGATCACACACAGGGGCTCGGGGAGCTTGCCGTCTGATGTCGGGGCGATGAGGACGTAGAGCTCGTGGGCGGGGGCGTCACTCATAAGCTGGAGATCATCGGGAGAGTTCTTGTAGTGACTAGCAACGTAGAGGGCGACCATTTGCTGCAGGAACTTCTCGGGGATGGGGTGGAAGGAGAAGAGGGTATCTCTGTTGACCTTGAGCAGCTCGCACTGCGAAGGGTCGGGGCACCCCTGGGCGCTGGCCTTGGCCTTGGGGAGGGTAGCATCCAGGCAGAGAAGCTTGTTCAGCCACTTCTCGACCAAGTCGCCTTGGGCGTATCTGATGGGCTCAGACAGGGTGATCTCGCGAAGGGACCGGCTAGACTGGCTTGAGCCCTGGTCCTTGGAGGCCTTACCCGTCGTCCTGTCGGCAACCTCTGTGTCCTCGCCAGTCTTGGCTCCGGGTCTTGACTGCTCCCTCAGCTGCTTGATCAGCTTCAGCGACAGCGAACGACCGGTACCCTCGTAACCGTTGATGGTGGAAGCCATGAAGACCAAGTAAGGGCCCATCAGCTTGCGCACCAAAGGCAGGGGAATGGCAGCGGCCTCATCGATGACCACCAGCTCCGCCTGGCCGAGAACGTGGGCATCCTGGGGTCTGATGTACTGAATCGTCTGGCGATGTGCCCGGTGAATGTTGACTCTGACAATAGCCTTGTTGAAGTCGGGGTTCGTTGACTGAATAATAGAGTAATCGGCGTGATCAGCGTACCCGAGCGCATCGAACCCCTTGAAGACAAACTCGAACAGCGTCTTCAAGTTCTCCGGGGACGGGGAGGTAATGAAGATGTTGCTGTACCCGTGCGCAACCGCGGCCGCAACAGCGACACCCATGGCCGCCGACTTTCCACGACCTCTGGCAGCCGTCAACGTCACGGTGCTCCGCAGCGTCTTCTCGGCAATGGCGTCGACAAACGTCAGCAGCGCCTTGGCCTGGTCGGTCGTCTTGGCGAGGGTAACCAGGGAGCCGACTGGTTGGGTATCTTGCAAGGACTCCTTCATGTCCTCGAGCTCCTGCTCGGCCTCGGTCTTGTTGATGTCCTTGTCGGTGGGCGGAAGCTTCACGACGCCCTTGCCGCCCGAGATGGGCAGGACGTTCATCTCGTCGTCGATGACGAGGCATGAGTCGCAGCCTCCCAGGGACAGGATGAAGCGCTCGTTGAAGCGGGCGACGACGTCGTCGTGCGCTTCGGTGCGGTAGCGCGAGTGGATATCCATGGACATTGTGTAGAGCTGCTTGAGCGAGGACATGCCCTTGAGCAGGAGGACCACCAGGCCGCCACCCTCAACTGTCTCGATCGTCCTTGCGAGGATGTTTGGCGTCATGGCCTCAAAGTCTTGGAGGATGCACATGCCAAAGGTCTGTCCGAGGACCTTTTCCGTCTCCTTATAGTAGACATAGCGGATGTTGTGGAGGGACACGAAGAGCTCGAAGGGGTCGGACTCGTTGGCTTCGCGGGTGCCGTGCTTGATTTCCTTCTTGATCTTGTTCTCGCGCTTCTTTCGGTGACTGTATTTCGAGGAAGAGGTCGGATGTTAGCTTTTCGGTTCCTGCTGTAAGTGGGCTCTGCTCAAGACGTCGGACATACCTCGTGAAGCCCAAGAGCTTGGTCTTGTACGCCCACAAGACAGACTTGTTCTGCTTGATGTTTCTCGCCATCAAGTAGTGGAGGTTGACAATGACATCCTTGGAGTGGTCACCGACCACCACGAAGAAGCTACGCTTCTTCTCTTGGTACCCATTGCTAATGAGATTCGGGATCCGCTGGTCTCTGCATTGAGGGAAGAAAAAGTCAGCAATTCGAGTAACAGAAAGTATTCATATCACGATAAGAACTCACACTGCCTTGCGCGACATCTTGAACAGAGCTCGCAGGGAAGGAGGGACGTAGGGGGAGTGAAGCGGAAATTTGGCAGAAAGCGGGCTTGCTGAAGTCGGGTCGGCGCAAACCAGCTCTTCGACGTCGAGGAAATCCCAAAAATTTGGCGGAGAGAACATTTTCTGCCGGGCGGTGGACTTTCGATGTGGGTGCACTTTGGTGGGGTGCAGCGACTTTTTCGTTATGGCCACGCCCCCCTCGGACGATCTTTAAAAATCCGACGGGGGTGGCGATCACTCAGGAAATGGTATGGTGAAGTGTAGCAGAATATGGTAAGATGACTTTTCAAGGGGAAGTTCAGGCCTTGAAATATTTCCGTTTGGTGGAACTAGTAATACACTCTTTTGTTGTACATGATCTCTCTGTTTCTTTCCTCCTGACCCTCTCCTAAACTCTCACGTTGCTGGTTCTTGCGTCTTTCTCTCAGTTTCGCGGCACGGTCATGAGTAATGGCTCTGGATGCAAACAGTTGGATGATTGCTATCTGATGCAAAGCTGTCCCCTCTCTTCTCTATATGAAGTCCGAGAAATGTGCACAACGCGAAAAGGAGATGAAATAACCATCAGCGATGCCCCGGCCGAGAACACCAATTATGAGTGAGAAAGCCCCCGCATCTTTCCCAGATATGCTCGAGTGGGAGAAGCAGTCCGAAAGAAAGAAACAAGGATATGAGAAAATAAGAGACCGACGGGCTTTGCTTGTTTATATACAACCAAACAACCACCCCCCAATCCGAGCTTAGATTCTGTCCAGCTTGCGGCGCAGGTTGCGCGTGCGCTTCATCAACTTCTTGTACTTCTTCTTCTTCATCTTGAGCTTGCGTTGGCGCTTGACGCTGAGGGCGTGCATGGTATCGTGGCCTTGCGCCTCGTCAAACTTCATCTGGCGCAGGGCCATGCGCTCCAGGAACGAGCGGGGCGCGTCGCCGTCCTGCATGATCTTGGGGCTGTGGGCGAGGACCTGGACCTGGCCGTCGGCGTCGGTGGTCTCCTCGATGGTGAACATGGCCTTGTAGACGCGGTGGTGGGGGGTCTCGTCGAGAAGGTCCTCGACGGCGGACTCGGCGGCCGCGGCGTGGGTTGCGGCGTCGGAGGTCTCACCCATGGCCTCGGGGGCCGGGGGAGGGCGGAAGGGGACGAACTGGCCGGCCATGGAGTTGAGCTGGACGTAGACGCTCGACTCGGTGCCGTCGGGGTTCTTGAAGTCGATCTTCTGGACGGGCTCGCCTGACGCATCCGTCTCCTGGTGACCGATGGTCATCTTGGCCATGGCGCCCTCAAGGTCGTCGGTCGTCCGCGATAGTGTTGAGATGACGTCGGTGACCTTGTTCGCCCTGCTCCGGGGCTTGAAGATGGCGGCGAAGGCTTCTTCGGTCACTGACTTGGGCATGCTGTGGGTCACAGATATCGGCCGGTGCAGCGAGAAAAAGGTTGATAAGCCGAGAGCTGCGCATGATTTAGTTAGCGATTTTTACCACAATATCCAGATGCCGCATGACTACACACCTTCTTGAGAAAGATGTTGTGTGCTGGGCACGCTGGGCAGCTTCTGCGCAGCCTCCCTATCGGCGCTGTCCTTGCTCTTTCGTTTCCGCTTCTCGCCGTTAGACTTGCTGCTGCTGCTGGAGCTCGATGATGTCGAGGCATGGACGGACTGGCCCTGGGCAGGAATGTCCTTGGATCCGTTGTTATTCGGGTTCGAGGGGCTCGAGGAGGACCATCGTCTCTGGTGGCCACCGACGGGTCTCTGCTGAAGGGTGATGGTGGCCGTAGCCGCTCTCGGAGCGGAGGTGGTGAGGGAGGCGACGAGGGGGGACTGCGGCGCCGAAGCAACCACGCGCCGCACCGATGAGGGCAACATTGTCGCCGGGTGCAGACCTTGGGGGTTTGATCTGGACGGGTTCGAGGAGGAGGAGGGGTGGTTTCGGAGGTGGTTGAGGCTGACGCAGATGTTGCCGACAGAGTCGGTTGATGGTTGGCAAATCCGGATTTGGCCGCAGGACGGGAAAAGCTCACGGGTTCCACAGACACCTTGTTACTTAGGCATCCGATTGTGCACAGACCACTGACACTTGATTCCCCAGAGCTTTCGAGATGGAAGACAGAACTTGAGATGAAACAACCTTTCAGTACAAGAAGTGTCAGTTGGGCTTGTTGTTATTCTTTTTTTTTTCTGATTTTTTTTTTTTTTGAGAAATGATGTTGCTCGGGGCCTCAGAGTGATATACCGCCGATAGCGCCTCTTAGATATGATCGAGATGGGATTGTTTGATTCAGTCCGCCCCGTCATGGGAACGCACACAGCTAAGCGCCCACTACACATGACCCGGGCAGAGTCCGGGCAGACTCGCCCAATTCACCGCCCAGGCTGTTACACACCGCTCGACTGGTCCAGAACAAACCAACCCAAGACTTCTTGTCCTTGGAAACTCGCGCATGCATTCGATTGCCTTTGGTAAGAAGATCCATAACTGCCTTATCTCACACTACCCCTCGAGAGAATATCCCACTTCCCCCGCTTCCTGGCCCAGCTTAACCAGCATTCTCCGCATGTTTTCAGCCCTCGCCCTCTCCCTCTCATCCAACACGCCCAAATCGACCTTATCCACCCAGCCCTTGAGTCCGTGTTGCAAAACATTGCGAGCTCGGAGGGTGCTCCCGTTGACATGTCCCGCGCTCCCATGCAGTGTCATGCGTTCCTTGTTCGCGACGTATGCGCCGCGGTGCAGGATATTGTTGTTGTAAAAGACAATGTCGCCCGCCTTGAGCTCCACGTATAACTGCTCGGGGATCTCCTTCTCATACGGATCCGCGTTGCGCTCGATGTCTGTCCTAGCCCTGGTATGAGAGCCCGGAACGACGATGAGACTGTTATCATCGTAAAGAGCCAGGTTCCACTGCGCAGAATAGGCCGGCTTATTGAGCCGATCAAGCTCCTCTTCCGCGGTAGCAGTGGCGGGAATATCATCCCTATGCCATCGCAGCTCAAAGTCCTCATCAGGCCGTATGAGCAAATTGAAAAGCTCCATGACCAGATCATCATCGGTGCACTGCAGTAGCTGTTTCGTCGGCTCAATCACCGCATCCGAAAAGTATGTCTTGATGAAGGCGGCGTTGTTGGGCATGTCGGGGTGCATCATCCCCTGGACGCCCCAGATGCCGTCCGGGGGCGCTTCCGGGGTGGCGACCGGCCACGGCGGGAACTGCTTCGGCAGCGTCCGTACGTTCGGCCATTTTCCGGCGCGGGCGAGCGCTGTGGCGTTTTGAGTTGCGCTCCGGAGGTCTTTGAGTTGGGTGTCGGTGAGGATGGAGGGGATGACGACGAAGCCGTCTCTGTTGAGGCGATCGAGCAGGCTAGAGGCAGTCATCTTTGTCTGAGTGTCTTTGATCGAGTCCTTTCGAGCTGGGGAAACTGTCTCGGTCTCCCTGTCTAGGAATATTTTGATCAGTTTTATCAGTTCGCAGCAGCACTTTCAGGTGCTTTCCAGCCGCTCGGCACGGTTGACTTGCAACGTTGCAGCGGCCGACTCCGTCGCTAAAGGATCCCGGTTGAGGGTGGGGAGAATGAGGGGACGGCAGTAGCTCAGTTATCTATTACTGCGAGTGGCGCGATGTCAGATAGTAGACGTGAAACTATGAGCTAAGTGTTCCCACTTGGTTGTCATGCAATGAGCCCCAGTCAATAATTTCATCAGTAGTATGGATACTCAAAATGATGAATGATTATAAAATACGGCGTCTCGGTGTTGAGAGACTTGAGGCTCCTCACCTTCCCCGCATCCATCGCTCATTGGCAGGGCTGAGCTTGGGGTCCTGGGCCGTCTTTGAACCATGGCGACGTCTTTGTCGCTATCCAAGTGAGATTCATCCGTATGACTGGTATACGGAATGCCTTAACCAGTATGAACTGATGGGTGGTCGATTCCTCAGCGGATAATAATGGCAGGCTTAACATCACATGGTTTGAGGCAGCTCTTTCTGCTCAGATAGATTCAGAAGAATGGTGCAGTATATTCCTGCTGGCCCTGCACAGGACCATCTTTTGATCACTTCGATCCCGTCTATCCTGCTTCTAATGCTCGAAATCTGAAGCCACGAATCGCTATATCAGGCTGGAAATCACAACGAGCTCTCAGTTCCTCGACTCATACTCGAGACTGCTTCCCTCAAAGGGTGGCAACTACCCCAAGCCAACCTTACCACCCAGTTCCCAACATCCTCTACTGGCTGTTCAAGAAACTGAGGTACGAGTTCCAGCCGATGCTGATGACGTTCACGAAGAGCACACGGTGGTGAAGCGGCACAAACTTGAAGTTGACCACCTGGACGAACGGCCAGAGCATGTAGTTGGACGTGAGTGCCGTCTTGTAGTTCTTGTCGAGCTTCTCCTTGATCGAGCCGCCCTCGAGCGTAGCCATGGAGGAGAGGAAGACGCTGATCATGACAGGGGCAAAGACACCCTGGTCAACGGCGACGCGGGCGAGCATCTCGGCGTTCTTGTTCTTGAGGACAACGTTATTCTGCAGGAACTTAAACCAGGTTGTGGCGACGGGGCCGAAGATGACTGGAGAGAATTGGTCAGTCTAAGACATTCGTTCATGAGCACGAGCTCACGTCGGCCATGAAGGCGTCGTCGCGTGTGAGTTGTCTGAGTGCAGGTAAGGTGAGGTGGAGCTTACCACCGCCGTAGAGGGCCATGCGGCCTGTGCGGGCCCATTCGTGCTTTTCGAGGCCGCGCTTATCAACAAGCTGCTGGGCGGTGATGTCACCGGTCGCAAAGAGGATGGCAGTGGTGATGCTCTGGGTGAGCAGCGGGCGAGCCGCGAGTCTTGCCTGATACCTATAGATGAAGTGATTAGAGATGCATGATAGGAGATACCAAGAAGTTTTGTTGATGAAGCTCACCAGCCGAGCATTGTGAATGTTGTCCGTCAGAGGGATGGAGAGAAGCTAGAGAAGGCGACAGCCTGGATCTGCGATTTCAATTCAGGGACAAGGAATGAGCGGAATTGGACGGTCGGCACAGGTCGGTGGGTATCGTTAAAGGAAGAAAGAGACGTGAGCGAGCGGGTGGTGTTGTGAGTTTGTTGAATGAGAAAATGGGAGAGGCGCGAAGTCGATTCCAATATTTGGCAGTAGCTCAGGGAAGGTACCTGAGGTGAGGTACCCAGCAAGGAAGGTGCGATCGTCAGGTCGGCAAGCTGCACGTGACGATAACGTCTCCAAATTTGGCCTTGTTAGACTGGTGCGACGTAGGAAAAAGTCAAGAAAATGTAGAAAATGTTTAGAAAAAGAAACAATCACAGCCACGATGCAAAGGCGACAGAGCTCAACCTGGCCTTGGCCAATAAATTGAGAAACACTGTCCTCAAATAGCTCGATAGCTTGAGATTTAGGGGCTCCCGGTAACAAGATTTCCCTCCAAGTTGCATACCGGGCACGGGATTTCCAAACCTAGCACTCCGCTCTGGCATCTAAGAGGGTTAATGCAATTACCGAGGCGTTACTCTCCTTACGCTTGTCCCTTTAACCCCTGGATGTCTACATCATCTTCTGGGGGAAGTCTGGGGTGCAGGGAATTGGCATTGCTCTCGTGAGAGATCACAAAGACCGTTGCATTCCGCGCCCGATGAACTATTTAGCCGTCTGTGGAGTCTTCGTAACATCCACAGCTGCACCATAATTTAGGTCTTACAACTACCGGCCTTTGGAGCTCTGGAGCCGGAACCGTATGTTTTGCTGTGTTGTCCGCCAGACGCATTTGGCATCACTCGCTTAGTGAAGGCTGCTGAGCAATACTCAAAGTAAAATGACTAATGATGAAAGCAGAAGGGAAACGCTGCATGCCTACACGGCTAGATTGTAGAACTGAGAGTCAATTCAGGTTGGCGGCCGAATCCTACGGTACTCGGACCAAATCAACGGCGTGGGCTCCTCACCCTCCCATGCTCCCCACCTCTCCCATTCCTCATGATTATAATCAGCTGGATTCCAAGAATCATCGACCCAGGCACCAGGCATGTTGTTTACCTTATTCTCGATCATGTTCCAGAACTCTCCTGCGTAGTCTTCGTACTCATATGTCCACCATAGCCTCCAGCGGTTTGGAGAAGAGCCATAAGTGATGCCAATTAGAGAGAATCGAGTTGTACCATAAGTTCCTAGAACCCAAGGGGCCCATCGTTTCTGGACCTTCGTGAGGCCTTGCTCGTGAATAGTCTTTTCCTCACGTCCGTAGTTCAGAAGCTCCACTCCGCTGGAAAAGAGTATAGCAATCCACTCGAAAAGTATTGTTTCCAGTGATTCGCTTACTTGATTCGCTGTACTGAGAGTCCCGGATTGTGCAGTAATTATTCGTAAGATGACTGCAATCAAGGGTGAGCTCATGAATCCATTGTCTGACCAGCCTGAAATCCAATCAACATGGTGCAGGCTTGGACGGTCCAACCTGATGCTATCATGGAGTAGTTTACGCCATGACTGTCTCATTTCGGCCCACTGGTCAGCGTCTGGGTAGCAACTCCTCCTCATAATGTTGCTAGCCATCCCCATGGCGAATGAATGGAAAAGGGCGCGTCCCTCGATGTTTCTGGAATATGCAAGAATTCCGGCGTGTACGTCAAGGGTTCGAGCTTCCGGAATAATGACAAAAACTTCCTGTATCTTCCAGTCGCAATATAGCGTAATCTTTCTTAGATGATAAAGTCTTGTGGCAGCTGGAATCAGTTTTTTGTTGATGTTATAGCGTTTCAAGAGTAGTTGAAATAGGGAGAAGGAGACGCCGAAAAATAAAAGAATTGGAATTTGTTTCAAATCTTCGAAGTAATCATCGAGGAAATTATCCAGAAACAACTTTTGTAGAGTTGGATCTAGATTGTGATGTGATTGGTCAAACCAAAAAAGCTCGTAAAGTAAGAAGGGATCACTATATTTCGCATTTATCAACAAGGCATTCTCGGCGTCAAAGCTGAGGGGACAGATCATTACCTGGTGTACCTAAAGTTGTTCGGCGGGTCTCGCACAAAGCATGCAAGTCCTCTCTCTAGGAAAGCCTCTGTTACCCTGGGAGATCTGCATTCGACAGCGATCTACGGGAAACGCAGCCTTGTCAGTCACCAAGTCTCAACACCCTCGCCGGAGGAGAAACTCTCACATGTAGCAAGCTTTGTCCGTATTTATTTTTTGCGAAGGGAGTCATGCCTTTTTCGGACAGCACTTGGAGTGTTCTAGAGGGGTCGTCGTTTTCGATGCCGTATAATATTTCGTCGTCAAAGTAGTTGACTACCTCGTAAGCTCTCAGGTTGAGCAGCCAGCCTTGATAGCTTTTCTGAGCTATCATAGAGTAAACACATCCAGTGAGCCAGCTCGGCGCCTGGAAAGAAAATTGGAAGTTGCCATTGTCTCCAAAGTCAAATCGAAAGGTAGGCAAGACCGAAGCTGGTGTAGAAATGTAGAAGAGAGCGGGCGTGGTGGATGCCAGTACTCTCTTTGTCTTCCTTTCTAACGTCGGCGTGTTCGAGGATTCAGACCGCTCTATGATGCTCAGAGAGGTTTTAGATGCCAACATTGCCCTAGATTATTGTCAGAAATTTGAAAACTATGACAGGAGCATGGGTAATAGTAACTTACATAAGCCACTGCCTCTGCGCGAACGCGAAAAGACGTAGGGCTGCGTCAAGTTTCCTGTCCAAGGCTTTCAACTCCTCTTTTCGGAACACCACCTTGGTCGACAACAGCTTGCTTCTGAAGCCATCTTTTCGGGCAGTTATGCTGGCTTGTAATTTGTCTACCATATCTTGGATCTCATCAAGTGCGCGGCGGACCTTTTCAATGTGTTGCTGTAAGCGGTGGTTTGTATTATTCCAGAAGGCTTGCGGCAGCCGACTGTTCTGAATGTGATCCTCGGCGTCGAGGAGGAAGTCTTCTAGGTCTTTGACGCGTTCTGCTTTCTCGAGCAGCATTGTCGGTACCTCCTTGACTTCGTTCCATAATTTCATGAGCTTGAAGGTGGCGCCTCCGACTTTTGCGGTTATGTCGACCACCGCGATAACGCTGGCTGCTACGCCTAAAGCTTCGGCCATATTGATGAGGCGGGCGGAGGCCGAGTGAGCTGCGTGAGCTGAGTGTCGAAATCCGCTTTTCGAGTTCTTCGCAATCCCAGCTGATAGGAAGCGCCGAGAGATAAGGCAAGGAGAAGACGAGAAAAGAATGATTGACTTGAATCTTTGTCTAGCAAGATTACAGGAGAGAAGAAAAAGGAAGTCGGAGGAGAGGGGAAGGGCAGAGCCCGGAGCCTTATGAATCTCGGTGTCTTGAGGCGGTGTTGGGTTCATTAGTCCAGTGTGGTGCGCCATGCAGGTAGTTGCGTCTAAACATTCGGCATTTGATTCGATCGCTTCGCCCTCAACACCCTCTTATCCTCTCCCAAGCTGACAGGCGTTTGCATCTGGGCAGACACAAGGCAACTCATTGCGTGGCTGTGTTTCACGTCTTTTAGAAGCAGATTTCTGATGAGCCCACAGCAACACCTTCCCCCTCCTCCACAAGCTTGCCTCTTTCATGAGACGATCTTGTCTTTGAGTCTTTTGACTCGCTGCTTACATTCCAACTTGCAAAGTGCCTAATGAGATGAAGAGAGTGTGGTAAGAGAAATGACGAAGGAAGAGAAGACGGAGTTTTCACCATGCTTGAGTCTTGACAAGCGCAGGAATTCGAAATCTCGAACCGCCCGCCCTCAGCGTTGTGCCAAACACTGCACACGTGTTCTCATGGGCTAGTCTTGAGGCGGAATGAATGACCTAATGAAGTCAAATCATGTCTTGCCTGCTAGAATAATTACATGGAGACTAATTAGATACCGTACTCTATAAAACGTGGCGATGTTGATTCTCTTGCACACCCGGTCAGAGGATTGGTACTGCGTCGTGAGAAGGTCGGAGTCTTTGTTGAAACTATTCTCGCATCTCGTAGGGCATTGAAACATAAGCTTGAGTCAATGCCTTGAGGAATAGAGGTAAATCGACAAAGGCCGCTTCCAAGAACAATATGCCCTTTTAGAGGTGGCCTGATCGTGCGATATTCGTACCAAATCAACGTGGGGTTCTCTTCAAGCAACCACGCTATATGAGTTATTTGATGGGACGGAAAATTGAATTCAAATCGCGATGCACGATAACTTATGGTATCTCCTGAACGATGCAACACCCAACGCCAATTCCAGAGAATCATTATACCGTAAGCCAGAAACACCTATCCCCAAAACCATGCAGGGCAAAATGCCATAGGGTGGCATGTCGTTGATGTGTATAACCCAATGCGCTACCGAAAAGAGTAATTCCCAGGGCAAATTGGCTAGGGTATCCTAGAAGATAGACACAGACGACGACTGCCATCCAGAGCCGTTTCGCGCTGCCACAGCTGTGCTCCCAACACATCGCAAGCACCGCCGCTGCTCGCCAAGGTTTGTAACAGAGCAATGTGAGCAAATCTGCCTGCCGCACGCACCACAAGAGTGATCGACAGCATAGCTGTAGTTGTAGCCGTCGTCGATGTCCATTCCGTCCGCAGCGCCATCCGAGGCGCCGAGACCAGCGCCACAGTCGTCGCAGCTGGTTGAATACAGCACGGCCTGGTCTACGGACGGCGCCGAGGCCGAAGAACTGGGTTCAGCTGACTTGATATTCCAGAAGCTGTGAAGGGACTTTTGGGTGTTGCGAGCGGCAGGGGCGGGTGGGGTTTCGGACTGAGTCGTCTCGTGGTCTGTATCGGCCGCATACTGGTTGTGTTGCTGCGCGGAGTAAAGCATGTTCAGGGTACGTTCTGCGGTATGCTGTCAGCTACATTGTTTGTCTGGCCGACGCCTTGGATCGGACTTACGATGGATCTGGTCCTCTGAGGGTCTGTTGTCGCGGAAGCGCTTCATTGTGCGACTCGAGAGGTGAGAGGGCGTCGCGTGTGCGCGAGGATAGACGAAACTTGGAGAGATGGGTGACTTGAAGGACTCGATGCTGGATTCGGAGCGAGCAGGCGAGGGGAAGAGGGCGACGAGTTCAGAGGCGGAGCGCTTGCGCTTGAGAGACATTTTTATTGGGGATTTTTGGTAGACTTCTTGGAGATACGAGGTGGTAGGTTCGGTACTGCCTGAGATAATCGGCACAGAATGATCGAAGTGATAATGTCCAATTTGTATGAGAGTTGGAAGTTGGTGGTATAGGCCGGCAGGAATCAGACTGAATACGCCGCTGAAGAGATGGAGGTTCTTTATGTGGTCGTGACAAGGTAAGTATGCTGAAATGGAATGATGCTGGGTGCTGCTGGGCGCGACGCGTCTTTCAACGGTCTCGGCGCGTTGTGTACGTGACAGCCCCACTGGACTTTAAGTGATTTACGACTTACATAATCAAGATTATTAGTGTGTATCACCTCAGCTGTAAGACGACGATGCTGCGAGGCATACACGTTTTTGAGGAACGAATGAGAAAATTGATTCTCAAGGCAGTCTGAAACCGATCCCGATCTCGGAACAGCGATGGAATAGTTGTCAGACTATCAAGATCTTGCGACGTACAGATACTTTCATCGTGACGAAACCCGGGGGTACCAGGGTTGCCGTTGCGGATACTCGTTCCGTTCCGAGAGGGCACGGGCTACGTCCGGTCCGGAGCCCACTCTACGGCCTCATTCCTGCCGCTCATGGCCCTTAGATCAGTCTCGTTCCTCTATCAAACTTGACGCAATGAACACTTTGGCTGACTATAATAAGGCTTGTAATCTTCTGCAATCATGTGGCGCTTCATGGAGCCTCCTCACTGGGAGCGCGTGCTAGCCGAGACGTCATCCACCCGCCTAGCCCCATCAATGTCGCAAGAAGATTGGAGAAAATAAATCAGACGGTATCGTTCCTGCCCAAGATAGAGAAGGATTCGGATGTGATCTGAGGCCATCCGCCTGGGGGAGGGTGTTTGAGAGAAGAGACACTGCCAGGGTGTACGCGGGCGAGGAGCTCATAGTAGGATGTGATGGCAGCCACGGTGGCCTCATGAGAGTAACCTTCTTGAGGGGAGTTTAAAGAAGATTGAGTCATGACTAAGTAGGTATGTAGAAAAGATAACTGGCTAGGAGTTTCAATGGAATACCTATGATAAATTGAGAGCGAATGATGGTTATAAGATCAAAATGCTACGTGACGGGGACAACGAAGAATCAAAGATTGACGGGAATAATGAAGGGGGAAAAGTCAAAAGGGGGGAAAGAGCTTGGCCTCATTTATTGTTCCGTTCTGAGACGGGGGAGGTGGGGTTCCCAAGTTATCAGTAGGTCTTGTTGGTGTTCTTTCCTTCGCCCCAAAGTTGTTGCCGCTGTTGGTGCCAAACTGGCCAACATACTGGACCCTGCCACTCGGCCAATGGGGGCCGATGAAGATACGGTTTTGGCGATTAAGGAGCATATCTACAGAGTACATATAAACCTCTGATGGAACTAGTGCTGTGTCTTGTGAGGTTGTAGGTGAGTTTTTGGCCCCTTCGACACCAAGGACACCCCTCGCGTTTTTTTCAGGATCAGTAACAAGCAGATTACAGGGGTAATATGAGACCCAGCAGAGGGAGTCAAGGCCGGATGGTCGTTGATGGACAATTCTAGTTATTCTTGACCAACTTGCAGCCCCCATGATGCTTGGTATTTGCGACATGTGTGCAAGTTCCAGAACGGGTGCAGGTCTATCCGCGTTAATGCCTAGCTCACAGCAGACGTCTCTATCCGTTCACAACTATTTGACGGTATTTGGCGTGATTCCAAAAATAGCTTGACAATCACACGATCACCACTTTGACTTGATTTCTAAAGTTCACTGACAACATACACATACGTGTCCTGGACCCTGGTCTTGCCATTGATCCGTGATCCAGTTTAGTATGAGAAGTTGACAGATGCAAGTAGGAGAATGTAATAAACACCATTGGAGAAGCGTACATGATTTCGAGGCAGATAGATATTCATAGTAGGCTTGGCATCGATCATCGTAGCATAAGTTCAGAAAGATTCTACATTCATGTTCAAAAGCCAGGCAGTCCAGGAATGAAAATGTGACCGGTACTGTCGCTCGTGACACTAAACCACTACTCGATCTCCTATCTCATAAGTGTGACCAGTTCACGCCTCAAGCATCCCCCTTTTCGACTCAGTGGCCCCTTAGCCCAGTCCGAATGGGAGCAATGCCATGAATCAGCGGGCGGTGATGGCCTCCAAGTCTCAACATGCGTTGGAGCACACGAGATACCTAGTTCTAATTTGATATGGGCCGAGAGATTTTGTGTTCAAGCTTTAGACTGATTTGGGTATAAATATCAAACCGAAAAGTCAGCGACGCTGCGACTACCAATAATTTTGACTCAACGTTCATATCGAGGAAATCAGCTTCAACCTATCTCTCCTACCGTCCAACTATGAAAAGCTTTCTCGTGATACTCTTTCTTCTCAACACCCTTTTCGGCGTTGTTATGTGTTTCCAAGATGATTCAGATAAAGCTCTACTGGCGATTTATGAAAATACTGGCCAGTGTTTTCACTACATAAGCGCCGAAAAAAACAGGGCCATGTCATTGGCACCATGCCAACCGTGGTGCAAGAAATCCGGTTCAGATAGTTACGGGGTAAGCACGAGTTTCTGTCCTTAAAGACAAGGGCATCTATTGGCATATGCTTCTCAGGACTTGTTGACCTAGTTGCTTACCTAAAATTGAACAGTGTGATGGTACCTCGTACCAAGGAAAGCACATTGATGCGTCTCTCATTCAGAAGGATGCCGATGGTTACCAATGGGTTCCAGCCAAATGCTTTTGCGACTTGAAGGTTGCCGAGGAACTTCTCAATATCGTTGTTGAAGGTCTCACTATCCTTGATAAGATCATTTGTGCAGCTATGTTGGAAGCATTCCAGTCAATCATCGAAGTCGGCATCAGCTTCATCCCTGGAGGTGCCGCTCTCAACGGAGCTAGGGCCGCCGTTCAAGGAGCCAAGACCTTTGCCGAGAACGGGCTAGAGGCTGCTTCCTTCTTTGGTGACTGGGTCGGGCCTGCGTGTGGAGTTCACAACTGGAAGTTTGACCTCTTTGGAGCCTTGGTCAACGCGCCTGACTCTATGGGGGTCAGCAATGGCTGCCACAAGAAAGACAAGGCTGCTTGCAAGAGGATGGTGTCTAAACCGGACCCGACGAAGAAGCCAGAGATCCCGATAGAAAAGACAAGGACGGTGGATCTCGGCAAATCATCCACCGCCTCACCCGTACATGAGACGTCGACTAGTTTGGTATCTTCAACCATATCATCCGAAATGGCGTGTGTATTGGCTGCTCGAGCGGCCAAGCCTCACTCGCGGGTAGGAGTTGTAGATGATGCCGAAACTTCAGAGCGCAAATGCGGGAAATCAGTCACAATTCATTTGACGGAAACCGTCAAGCCCATCGGCTTTTACGAGACTAGATTCCCCAATATCAAGTGCCGAAGGCAATGGTCGCAAGCTTGTTATCATTACTCGTAAGTAAATCTAAACCTTAATCTCACTTCCAGGGTTCGCGAGCTCCATTGAAGCTGAAGTATACATAGATCTGTCATGGAAATCCACCGAAACACAAGATCCATGACTGAATGGATCTGCGGCGCAACTCAGTCGACTAGCAATGACGGCTCTGCCACCGACGTCTGGGGTTCGACGGCTGTGGCATCATTGGCTCTTACAAATCAGCACTGGGGATGGCCATGGGCTAACGGCTTTGTTCCACGTCGTGTTCTGAAGCATGCTAATGGCCTGCCGAAGAAGGATAAGTACGGGACCAAGATTGCTGTTGGCTGCGACAGGGACGAGTTTCCACCTCGATACTTTTGGCCCAAGGATAATGAAGCACAAAAGAAAGGCATGGTGCAACGAATCCGTTTCCTCCCATACGACGAGAACCGCAAAGCCTGAGCCATGTCGCGTGGGTTTTGTAACAAGAATGCCGCCCAGTCCTCAACTACTCGCACCAGTACTGTGACGTCTTTCATTCAGAGCAAGTTTATCAGGACCGTCAACGCCAATAGTCGGACTGCTAAAGGCTTGGACGGTACAACAAGTCAGTTCAACCACACAACTATTTCTGTGTACCTTGTTGACTGATATGATTTCCAGTGGTAACGAGCTGGGTTTCAATCGAAACCGCAAGAGCTATCTTCAAGATCACCGACTGGGATGGTCTCCCAAAAGACACGAAGTGGTACGGCCTCCGGGACAACAAATGCTGGCCAAAGGATCTTACGCCTGATGACCCTGGGTGGATTCTTTTGACCAACAACGAGTTTTACGCGGCAGGACAGCATCTCGACCTCGCGCCACATACGCAAGGTTACAGAGGATTGCCAGACCTCACACTGTTGAGGCGAGTTCTACAACAGCGCAAGAATTCACCTCCGTTCGAGTTTCGTGAGCTCAACAGTACAGAATACGGCGGAAGAAAGATTTATGAGGGGAACGGAGACGGTCAAATCCCAAGAGCATATCGCGACAATGTCTTACCCGGCATGCCCCAGCCCAAAAGACGGCGCAGAATGATTTGGGCCGAAGAGAACAACAATGCACAAGTCTAGGGAGAAGACCAATACATCGATAGCCTCGAAGACTTGGATGCCGATGAGTTTGAGAAACAGATCGGAGAGTACATTCACGATGATGAAGAGACATCATTGGCAATGCCGAGGGAAACCGAAGCGATTCAAACACCTGCTAGTCAGAGCGATATCAAGACGGCACCACCCTCTCAAGCCTCGAGCGCGACAGACGGACTTCCTCGTTACACTCATGGGCCTCGTTATTAACGAGAGTCGACCCCCATACTTCTACATCTATTGAAATGACCGCTGTTGGTTGAGATGGCTCCATGTTCACGTGTCTTCCTCCGGAATAACTACTTTACTTTTTCTTTCTCTTTTAGTACTCACTCATGCTCATCTTTTATTTCACCAGAAAAATATCTGAGATTTCATGTTTACTTTAGTGTATCTATTTACTCGGCAGTTGCACACTGTTCGATGATTTAGTTTTAGATTATCGATGATGGCCTTTTCCTTCATATTTTCCCATTCTGGAAGGAAGTCTTGCGCTATAAGGGGTGATAGCATGTAGATAGCGGGATTCAAGTTGTCCACTTCATAGGAATCGACTTCACGAAAGGATATTCTCTATCAAATGATTGTAGTCTTAGGAAAAGGCAATCCATCAGTATCTTTGTGAAGGGGGAATGGCAACTTTGAATTTTTGATGTATATACTAGGCATGCTAATACTAAGCCCATGCCTGGGAAGAAAGAGCCCATCTTAGCCAACAGTCACACTCTCATATTGCGTTTTCACGGAGAATTATTGTGGCAGCTGTCATCTATAGTGTCAAGCTCGCTTATCTGCTGCGACCCGCCCTTTTTGGGAGTGAGCATCGAGCCTCTGTACTCAGCCACAGCCGAGCTCAAGCGCTTCTTCTTCTCCGACTGTCGAAGTATAAATCGGACAAAGAATTGACGAAGTGTCGGTATGCAGGCCGTGAAGATCCCCACGTACAGCTCAAGGTCTGTCCAGATGACGCTCGGCATCATGGCCACTGCAAACGAGAGAGATGGATTAGTACCAAGGCCTCATCTTATGGATCGAGGCAGTCAACAACTTACCGGTAGGATTCAGCGGGTCTTTCCTGAAGTCCAAGATTGCTTTGATCCGGATGCAGCTCACAACTGTGAGACTGATTTAAATGCGTTAGCTACCCGCGATGCGTCATGAGATGGATGCTGAACTACTCACAACATGCCAAGACTGAACATGAACATGATTGCGAACTTCTTGCGGCGAGCCAGGTTCATGCCCCAAACTTGTGTTAGGGGAAGAATGAGCATCCAAACGTCCAGCGCAATGTTGATACCTGCGTGTGCCAACGCGAGGTAGACGATGTCGATACACTTTCCAGTCGCATCTCCTGTCCAAAATGTCCATGCAAGACTGATGGGGTTGCATTGGAAAAGACCGACAAAGATGAAGATGATGCCGTTCATGAGGTTGAGGACTTGCGTGACCCATAAAGCAATGGTGATCTTTTCGCCAGGTAGATGGAAGATTCGAAGGTACATGAAGAGAATCGAGGCCTTGATGATGTCGATGCAGCCATGGTACAAGGTTTGTAGTGCGTAGAAGCCCTACGAAGTTCGATGTTAGTACGGGTGTGGTCGGGTAGATGTTACGTAGACTGTAGATGACTACATGAAGCCGGGAATCGTGGATTACCTTGAAGAAGTGGGTAATCTGTGAGTCGCTTAGAGTCCACAGATCTCTACCGGCACCATTATCTTCGACTGTTCGAAAGTGTCAGCGTATCTCCGGCGTCGAAGATATTATTTTGGACGACCTACGGAAGACGTGCAGGGAAACATATGCCACAAGCAGAATCTTTAGATATAATATTAGTGTCTTGGGCAGACCTCTCTGGAATGGGCGGTGACCTACGTATGCCACAATAATAGTGTAGTCATCCCAACCCCATGGTGATAGCCGGGCAAATTTCGTTATGAGACGGAGTATGATGGCGAGCGTTGGGAGCATCGCAAACAGAACGATCCGAGCGACTCTTGTTGCTGGTACCTCGTTGTGAAGAGGGAACTCGCACGCCGTCCAGGTGATGTTTTGCGTAACTGAGGCAGACGATAACTATCAGACGAATGGCTTCTCAACGAGGTAGAGTCCAAGACCTACTAATGGCGTACTTGAGCGGACAGCTCATGACAACACATCCTTCCACAAACTTGATGAAATCATCGTCCTGGCACAGACATGTTTGGTCGTTCGTGGGGCAGTTCGTTTGATTGAGACCTGTCAGGAGGCAAGGCAGCTTGGCTTCATGTTAATACTGTCGGATTCAGTAGCCGTATGGGTGCCTCTTCTTACAGCGCATGGGGGGTTATCATCGAGTGAAAGGCCAGGGACGTCGGGAAGAGTTGGCTGCTGAGCGAATATCGTTGTCACGCAAAGGAGCAGAGCCACCAAGATTGTCCGCATGATGTCCACCAATGGCCGTGGCTCTGATAAGCAAATTTAAAATTGATCTGTGAAGAACGCCAAGGAATCAAATATGAGGCGCCCTAGACGGTTTTGTGACACCTGAAAAACTAATTTCAAGAAAGTGGTAGCACAAACAGAGAGTTTTAAGAGGGAGCCTTCCATTAAAAACCATCCGCCTGTTGCACTCTGGCAACGAGAACCACGCATTCCAGACAAGAAGCCCACGAGACATGGCTGCAAAAGGGTCCATCTCGGCGGCGTGGCTGTTCAAAGGGCCGCCTCCCCAGGCTGACAGTCTCGCTTGATTTCGGCCGCCATATTTCGGTTTCGGTGAGGTGTCTGGGGCGAGACTTGTCGAATAGCGACGAGGGCGTTGATGGCTTGAGAATCTGTCGGAGGGGTTGAGCGGGAGCGGGCTTGAGGCCGCATAAGGCCTAGTTGACCGGAGCCGGATCTTCATCGGTTCCATCCGGTACCTATGACTGAGCATCATACCGCAAGATCCCTTAAGCAGATGTGATGTCTTACCCTGGACCGCCCTGGGCAGACGCTAGTTCACCCGCATTCTGAGCTCGATCGCGCGCGATTGCTAGGCGATTGTGCGCTAGGCAACGACATGTGAGCCACACTGTGGCACAAGATTGAGTTCGGGAATCGGGATCGTTCTTTTAACTCAAGACTCTAGTTGCGCTCGAACAGAATTGAGTGCAAGTAAACACCGGGAAAGTGATCAGCCCCACTCATTATCACGAGCAAGCATCTACCGCCATTTGCTCCTCCGCGATCACGAGGTTTCCTCCTCTTCTTCAGGCTTTTGTGCATAAACCACATGGCTAGAGAAGACTGTCAGCAGGCATGTTTACAGGTAAATCTGAGGAAAAGAGAAAGGCGACTTACATCGCAGTGTGGGCATGGAAGCTCCCAGCCTTCAGCTCCTTGCGCACTTCGGCCAGCAGGACCAAAACCTCCTCCCTGGTCCATCCATGAACGCCACAGAAGGTCCTCAGACTGAATGCCTCCAAACCATCCAACATTTGGATGAGGTTCATCATGCCAATTTCTTTGTAGTGGGGGTCTTTGGCCCATGGTCCAATGGGCAACTTGAACTTTTGATGGACGACATCAACGAATCCTGTGTCCTCGACCCAGCCTTCGAGCAGCGGCCCGATGCAAGGATCACGGCCAATCTTTCTGCAGGCCTCGATCAAGAGTTTGCTCCACCGGTCGGTTTGGTGCTCTTCAGTCAGGGTCCCATCTTCCGACACATAGTTGATGTCGTAGTCTTGGAATTCGACCCAGCCTCCGGGTTTGAGATTTCTGGAACCCTTGTCAATTTTGCCCTGTAGGCAATTTGGAAGAGACATACGCGTAGATTTGTTTCATGAGCTTGGGCCAATCGACAATAGATCCGGCCATGTATCGACAAAAGATGCAGTCGAATTTCTGCTCGTTTACCCAGGAGCTTTCAACGTCGTCAACCTCGAACTTGACGTTCGGTGGAACCCTGTAGGCCTGTTAGTGAGAACCAGTGCCTCAAATTCAACGCACCTACCAAGATGGTTGAATCGCGCTCAAATCGTTTCCTAAGATCTGCGAAGAGGCGAATTTGGTGAGCAATAAGTTGGCAATGGACACATGCACAGTGGATCGTGTACCTCTGCATTGGGAAAGACGTCTGCTGCCTCGATGGCCCCTGGAGTTCGATTAGCGATACTCAGCCAGCTCGATAACAGGGTGTTGAATACAAATGCCGGTGCCGGTGCCAACGTCAAGAATTCTATGGGTGGTTTCGGATGGAATTGGGGCCAAGAACAGCTTCCTGCCAAGGATCTTCACCATGTAGGTGTGGTGAAAGTCGAGTCGGTCCATCTCTAACTGCGGATTCGAAGTACGTAGTCAATAATCATTCTGGCTTTATTTGCGCGTCTGTTTTCGGGTCTTGCAGTACCTCATCATTCGGGCCCAAGTATGCTGGTTTTCTGTTAGTCACTGATAGTGTCGTTTTGCCCCCGGGCTCGTTGCTGCGTCATCAGACTGGAGCAGGTGGATCGAGTTACTTACCTCCCGCACGGAATGCATGATATCGTCGGCCGTATTCTGTGGGATAGTCTATCACACTGGAAGTCAAAGATGCTGTGTAGTTTGAGCTGGTTGCGTCGTTAGTGTTGGGTCACCAGGATTTTAAGTAGTCTCTACATTTGGTCACTGATACTGGAGGCCTTCCCATCAACCTATGGTAGTCTTCAAGTTAGTTAACCCAACTTGAACGGTCCAATAATCAAAGTTACGAACGCTGGCTGCATCATCAACCTCTAGAGTGGCAGCCTCATTAGCTGTGGCAAGAGGTTGTTCGCGGGTCGGCGATGCTGTCTGTGACCTGTCATTCGCTGCCGCCGGGCTGGTTGAAGAGCTGGTCATCTTCGCCGTCATTTGTCAGTGGTTTGCTACAGGATTTTTCGAAAGGACAAGCGCCGTCAAAGACCAGGTTGAAAGCAACAGCGAGCACTCTGTTTCTTAAGTAGACGGGATCGATGGGTAAAGAGGGGTTCTCAAGGGTTGCGAGTCCCTCGTCGGAGGAGAAATCGTTGTTGGTGCGAGCGCCTGGAATATGCATGCAACACCACTTATACGATGCTATCTCACTTACCCGTTCCATTTCCTTGCATGGACCAAGGATAGGGAGCAAATCAAAACCCTACTAATCATTGCGGGACTCTCCAACGGTGCAGCCAACATGCGTGAATGCAGACAGCCGAAGAGCGACCAACAGGGCTCCGGAATTGAGCCCATCCCCGCATGTGGCAGGGTTGGTGAGCAAACAATCACATGCGATAGCATTAGCAACGAATCTCAACGACTGATCGCATTTTCCAAACAATAGAAGCGATGAAAAGTTGAGAAAAACACTCAGGCCTTCCATGAGACGTATCAAACTTCACGCCTCCAATATGCCTGCAAGCGTGCCGACTACTTCTCTCATCCTACGCGCGATCAAGCTTATGTGTGCCTCCTCTCGCATAACTCTGAGATCCGCACCTTGAATGATTGTCGCTGCCTCCTCGGCCATCCGTAATGGGACGTTGACATCCTTGCCCGCATGCCAGATAACCAACTCTCCTTCCTGCACAACCAGATCCTTCAAGTCGAACCCCCAAGAACTCCCGAATAACTTCGCTTCCCATGCAAATCCACGGCTACTCACACGAAATGCCTCACGCGTACTCTGTTCGAGAACTCGCAAAATCCTACCGTCATCAGCATACAGCGCTTCCTGATCCTCAACCGGACGACTTTTGAAGACGTCAGCAGTTGATTGAGCAAGCCTCTCCGGGTGCTCTGAGTCCCGAGCGAGGTTACCAACCTGCCAGTCGGCGATGGCCTCGATAAGTCCCGGCGACCATGGTGCAATGTTGAAGAGCAGGCGGTTTATAAGCATCATGCCGCCCAGACCTAGCTCCGATGGAAACATCCCGGAGACGATGGCCGCACCGGCGAGCCGTGGTGCTGGGATAGAGTGGATGCATGCAAGGACGTACGGAGCACCGCCGGAGATTCCTAGCACGGCGAAGCGCTGGACTTTGAGGTGGTCTGCTAGGTGGAGGACATCTTGCGGGAACGAGAGGATTGTTCGGTCGGGTTGAAAGGTTGAGCCGCCGTAACCTGGGCGCGTTACGGCGACGACGCAGATGTTGCGCTTGATAGCTTCTTCTTGAACGGGTTGGCCTTCGTGATGGGAGCCTGGGAGGCCGTGAAAGTGGAAGATTGCTGGTTGGTTCGGTTGTGGGGTGATGCCGAATGTGGTGTAGCTGAGGGTGCGGCCGTCTGGGAGGAGGAGGGATTGGTCTTTTGGCATGATTGCAACTACGAAGAGTCTAGGTATGGACGGTTGGAACTATTTACGACCTCAGATCATCTTCTGATAGAGAGCTGACTGGATGTTGAATTAATCTGACTGGGTACAGGCGCCACCTGAGCCACATCTGGGATGCAACGCGATTACGTACGCGAATCCTTCGACACCAGGCCAATGACAGTTTCTCTGTTTGCCGATGGCCGTTGGATTGCAAGTATGGGATACAGGGCTGATGATGGGCAATTGAATAAATCGCATCAATAGGGAGTGATGAAACAATATTGTGACATGAAATGGCCGGTTCTTCGTCCATACATCTGCATTGGATTGTGCGTGTGTGCGTTTAGCGTGGATGTTTCCACGGAGCTATTTCAAACGAGAGAGTACCTTACTTTAGGACTCGACCCTTACTATGCATCTCCCGATCCCTCCCTTCCCGCTGTTCACCTTTTCACACTCGTCCCTTACCGACTTCAATTCCGCCAGGTCCACCACTCTAAAGACGCCTTTCACCTTACCGGTGGCAATGATCTCCCCGGCCTTCTCCAAGTCCTCCCTGATCTCGGGATTACCAGACACAAATTCGTGCTTGATATTCGTGCCGCGTAACAAGAACAAGTACCAAAGCTGAGCCAAGTTCAGCAACCAGCCAACCCAGAAGGGAACCATCGTGGGCCCCAAGACCTCTTTCATCAAGGTTGGCGGAGGAAGAGATGCGATAGACATGAGTATGCCCGTCTCGGGGTTGAGAAGTGGTATGCCTGGACCTATAGTATTCCACTGCGTATTAAACATGAAGTCTACGCTTCCTTTAGGCACCACAGACCCGATATCCGTCGTAGTGTAGTCAATCAGTTGATCAACCATCCCCGGCAGGTACTGCTCCACGAGGCCCATCTTCGGAGTCGAAACAGTAGAGATGATCTTCTTGGCGCCAAAGACGTTCTTGGCAACTTGGATCGCGCTGAAGCCTCCCCCGCTCAGGGCTCCGGGGACGAAGACAGTCTTTTCTTCCAGCGATTCTTCTCCGGCAAGAACAAGCCCGCGTTTGATGGTTTGGTACGCCGTGACGGTGTAGCCCAGAAGAGAGGCGGCCTCTTCAAAACTCATGTGCGGTGGCTTAGGGAGGAAAAGCCTCTCCGGCCCAATAGCGTACTCGGAGCAGAAGCCTGGGTCGGGGATGCTGAAGGCTGGTCGGGTGAAGCATAGCCCGTACACTGCGTCGCCAACGTTGAGAGTTTTGACCTCCGTTCCGACAGCTGCGACGATTCCTGAGCCCTCGCAGCCAATTTTGAGGGGGAAACTGGAGACAAAAAGTTGTTGGCTCTGCGTGCAATGCTTCAACCATTGGGCCTAGCGATGAACGTACCTTTCTTTGCGCAGTGAGACGATGGGGGAACCTTTTGCTCTCTGGCAGTCGCCCGTCATAACGGCTCCAGCTTTTACCCTAATTATTATGTCCGTGGGGTCGGTAATGGTTGGCACCGGCACCTCAGCTACTTCCCAGCCGGCTGGGCTGCAATGCTTCGGCGCAACGAGAGAGCGCATCGTCTGAGGAAGGACCATACCTGATGTTAGTTATTCTGAATGGGATGACTTCTGAAATGGAATCAAATCAAAATGTCATGAACCGACGTTCTTTTAAGTTTTGGCGGAAGCAGGCAGCAGCAAGCGTGCGACCGGAGTCTTCAGGTCTCGGTCGGCGGTCTCGGTGGGGCATTCGGCGGGTTCGGCGGCAAGGCCCCACCGAAAGCACCGAACGCTTCGGCCGCCCGGAATGGCTCATTCGTGGGGTCTCGCAATGCAAAGGAAAATGGTTCTTGTACAATGAGAAATGACGCTGCAATCGATCTCAATAACTAATCCAGTAGAGTCTACACATTTCTGACGCGTTGCGTGGCGGAAGCCCCAACCCCCTCTTCACGCGATCTTGCCCTTTATCGGTTTTGGTGGCAGGTTGAGTCAAGGGGTAACAGTCGCCCTTGCAGGAAAGAGGGAACGTGACGGGGAAAGTTGGATTGACGACGCCATCGGACTCTGTTACGGAATCCTGCATCGCAATAACGCACGGCGGAGAGGGAGGACTATTTCCACCGCATTTCTTTTGACACTTTCCGCCCACGGCAGGACTGCAGGAGAAGGAGGGGTCGTGATGGAGGGGTTCGCGCCTGGCTCTTGGGAGATGGAAGATGGAGGATATGGGAAGTGCGATTGTCCCTGTACTCTCCAGATGTTATTTAGAGGAAGAAGAACCGTCGCAATGCTCTCGTCATGGGAAATTAGCCAGCAAGTCACTCGCCTTCCTAGTTTCCTAGACCTGGGTGCCGACGTCATCGTTACTGGAGTTCTCGTTGCGTCCGACATCACGACGACCCTCGCCTCTAAGCCAACACCGCAGCCAACGCCAGCTGTTAGAAAGGTGTCGACTTCCTCTGTCTCTTTGTATCCCCCTTGTCTGTCTTTGATACCCCCATACACTACTTCGCTGCGATGGCGTTGTTCAATCTGCTCGTCTTGCTGAGCGTGGCAGTCTCATGGTGTTCTGCAGCTTTCGATCCAACTTCGAAGAACAATGTTGTCGTCTACTACGTAAGGAATCGCAGTTTCTCACCATTGACACGATTATGTGGCTGACAACATAACAGGGACAAGGCCCGAACCAGGGCGACCTGATCAACCAATGCCAGCAGCCCGAGATCGATGTAATTATCCTCTCGTTCGTGCATTTGTTCCCAGCTCAAGCAAATGGCTACCCTGGCACGAACTTTGGTAATCGATGTGGTGGCCAAGTGTACCCTGGTCCCGGTTTCAACGGTGTTCTCGACCCTTCGAAGGATCAGTTGCAGTCCAACTGCCCGAGTCTCAACGCCCAGATCCCAGTATGCCAACAGCAGTACGGCAAGAAGATCTTGCTCTCTCTCGGGGGTGGCGTAGTATCGTATCAGCTCACAGGCAGAAACGAGGGTGAACTTCTGGCAACTTACCTGTGGCACATGTTCGGACCAAAAGATCCCAACTGGACAGGACCTCGCCCGTTCGACTACGATGGACAAGCCGTTGAGGTTGACGGCTTTGACATGGATATAGAGCATCCATCCACAGGTAGGCCAGCGCCTTTGCCTTTCCGTCCTGATGAATTTCGCGACTATTGGCTAATGCTCAGTTAACCACAGATAACTCGGAAGGCTACATTGCCCTGGTTACGCTTCTGCGTACATTCTACTCAACAGCCACGAAGCAATACTACCTGACTGGCGCTCCTCAATGCGTCGTTCCGGATGCTAATATGGCTGCCATGATCTCTGCCGCGAAGTTCGACATGATCTTTGTGCAGTTCTACAACACTCCGAGTTGCTCAGCTGCGACATGGGTGGCTAGCAATCCGTCTTATACCCCTGGTGCAACATATCAGGAAGCGGGATTCACCTTTGATGCTTGGGTTCAATGGCTATCAAACACCCCCAGCAGAGACGCAAAGGTGTTCATCACACTGCCTGGTTCCTCAGATGCCGCCAATGCTGGGAACTACATTACCCACCAGCAGGCAGATAATCTCATCAGCGCGTACTACTGCAGGCCATCGTTCGGAGGCGTAGCTGTTTGGGAGGCAACACGCGGTGACAGCAACCCTTATAACGGCAAATCCTTCCAGGCCACCATGAAGATTTGGCTGCAGGGAGCTGCAGCAGACACGCGACTCGCGAGCTGCCTAGTAGGTGAACGAAGTTCAAAGAGGATACCACTCGGCTAACAATCAAGCAGGCACCAACAACAACAACATCATCGTCCACCCAACCGACAACACCGACACAGCCCAATCCCGGCGCGCCTGGTTCTTGCGGTTCCGGTATTGGACCTTGCGGCAGCGGATACTGCTGCAGTGCGTATGGATACTGCGGAACGACGAGTGCTTACTGTGGAACCGGTTGTCAGCCGGGCTTCGGTACATGCAGCGCGGGAGGTAGTTCAGGAGGCAGCTCAGGAGGCAGCTCCGGTGGCAGCTCCGGTGGTAGCTCCGGTGGTAGCTCAGGTAGCGGCGGGAGCTCAGGGCTGCCTATCGCAAGAGATGGAGCGTGCGGTGCAGGAGTAGCTACGTGCCGAGGCAACGGTGACTACCAATGCTGCAGCTCGAATGGATGGTGTGGTAATTCCGATCTTTATTGTGGTGCTGGTTGCCAACCCGGATATGGCATTTGCAGTTGATTTTCGAGAACGGATCGTGGAGTCAGGTACATCAAGTAGATATCCTTGGCGCGTTTGTACATGAGAAGTAATGTCACCATAGTAATACAGCAGATTAATTTCATTCGCGGGTGCTGGCGAAGAACCTCGCAACTAAGGGTGAAACATGTTATATGGCAAGGGAACTTGCATTCGGCGTCGCGTCTGTCACCACAAGATTCTCAGAGAGGCTATCACGTGAGATGGGAGGATGTCGTGGGTATTTCTTCCCCGGGCCGCGGGCAGTGGGCACAGATACCACTCTCCACCTGCCGGGATCTTCCTCCACAACTCCACAGCCTCCCACTGCACATCGCAGATCCGATATTTGAACTTCACTGCCTTGCTACGCACGTATACGCTTGCTCTCAAGTTGCAACTACCTCCTTTTTTGGCTGACTTGGTCACTTGGACCACAACATTGGATGGCAACCGAGTTCCTGGAGACGATGAGCGAAGGCCTCGGATGGGACGTTGAACCTCCAGACTCAAAGCTCGTTACTGAAACTCTCTAGTTGGCCGCGGCCCGAATATTACTAACTAATTGTAGTACATGCTCCCGACGTGCATACTCGAAACGGAGATGACAGATCCGGGCTCCTCGCGATACGGCAGTTGGGAGAGGCCGGAGTTTTCCCCGAAAGCTACCTCATTCGTGACTGATGACCAACCCTCGCGGCTCTTGGTGCACCATTCGATGATGGTGGGGACGCTTAGGAAACCTTCTGCGTTGTCGTTTGGTCCGTCCCATCTCGGCAGACCACTTGGAGGCTTGTAGACAGCTAGACCAAGGCCCAATGACTCGCCAACATCTGCCTACTCCTTCTTATTTCCATACATTCAGAGTTATGCCACCGGAACGTCAACGAGAAGCTTCTTGTATTCGCCGAAAAGCTAACCGGCCGCCGAGTTGAAGGACTATCGGTCGACAAATCGGCTCCGACAAAGACGGGAGAAGATATTCTACATCGGCCAAGCAACTGGGCTTGCCTCGATACCCACCTTTTCCACGTGTATTGTCCATCGAACAAAATACCCACGACTCGATTCAACATTCGGACAGTGTTGGTTCCCCCACGCATGCACGACAACCCTACCGGTATCGCTGCCGACGTCGCTACCGGTCTCTCCGCTAGGCTACTGCGGCCAACGACCGAGAAGATGCCATTCCCATGCGTTGGGACCTCGAGCTAATCTTGGAGCCAAGATGGGAGAACTAGCCCCATCGTGAAACCCGGATTCGAGAAGATTTGCGGACGGCCCGCTCCTCAGGGGCTCAATGCCGTAGCTTTCTTATTGTCAATCAGCCTCTAGGCTCTAGCCGAAGATGTTGCGGGAAAGGAACCACAGCCTCGGTGCGACCTAAACTCACAACGACATCACAAACCATTACGTGATGTTCTGGCCCCGGTGCGCTGCCCGTCTTTGCATGCCACTAACCTTCGGATGCCCCGCAAACGATGACTCGAGTACATTCCGGACATGGACTTTTGAAGGAGGGCTAATCATGCCGACAATTTTCGGTATCACTGCGGCATGCGGTTGTCAAGACTTGTGTCTTTTGCCAGCACCGCATTTGCGCCTTACTGCAACGCTGCGAGATACCGAACTCCACCGAATCTCCAGACCTAAGAGAAAGAAGGAGATGAGATCCGCGCCAGCTCTCTGATCCATGCATCCCGTCTCTCCGATGGAACGTTTCCAGAACGCGCGTTTACATCCTTCCAACGAAAAGCCGTCCTCCCACACCAATATGCCCTCATGTCAAGGATGCGGGCGACGTGCTCTAAGATAATTGCCCGAAATCTCCAGTATCCGATATAAGTTATGCGTCAGCGGAGCCAGGACGACGGCAAATGCAATTGAAGCTTTTCATCCCTCCCAACCCCGAGCAACCTCGGATTCCATTTTCCAATTACCAAGACGATAGTGGGCGCACGGTTCATGGGCTAGATTTGGGTCGAAACCTACGTAGTCACTTCCGACAAGCACATCCATGTATTCCAAGGCCTGGTTGAATACGAAGTGCTGTTAACATGAAATGGCTCTTACTTGGACAATTTCCAATGCCCGGAGTGCAACATCCGGCACCGCTACTATGGCTTACCCATGAGGCTTTACGGGGTTTGATCAGGAAATCTCGAGATGGTTACACGGTGCCCGCGGCATTCCTGCCGTCTTCTTGCAGAACCAGATTAACTCCTGAGGAGCATAGGTTGCCAATCTTTGGTGGGAGTTTCAAGCGAAGCATCAAGAAACTCTGCTTTGTCTTCAAGATACAGGAGGTTGTCGGCCACCTCCGCCAAACCAGGGCTAATCCGAGCAGCTTCTTCGCCCCAAATGCACGAGCCACGTGCTTACCACACTTCTTTTGACTGCGGACTTTGAAAATGAAGAAAAGGCCGCCTTGGGTGATCCCGGAGCGAACAGCAGCATCTCGTCTTCGATTCGTCCATGTACGTTTCTACGCTGGCGAGAAGACGGTCCCCAAGCGCAGAATTCGCAGCGAAGATCAGATGCCAAGCTTTCTTCTTTCTGCCCACTCCCTCCCTTCGTTGGGCCTCTCATCCTTCAGCTTCGCAGCCACGAAAGTCTCTTTTTGGGTAAAGTCGCCCGCCCTAATGCCGACGACCAAGTCATGTCCCAATGACACCTTGCCAGGGATCGGCGCCTTAACAGCTGCAGACATGTCCCTCACCGCTTCCATGGCCGATCTTCTGCCGCTCTCGCATTCCATGTCGTTCAATATTTGGCTTTGCTCTCCACTGGCACCATCAGCAGAGTTCTGCTGCTCCTCCACGTTGTCATTCAGCAAGGGCCATCTCCTTTCAGCAGGAGACTGGAATTGCCCTAGACAGATTGACCATTTTGCTCACATGCTTTGCGTTTTCGCGATTAGGGGGGGAAAACAGCACCCACTAGCGAACGTTACTTCTGATCCTCATCTCCCATCGGAATGGCCGGCGCTGCATGGTTTCTTCTCTCGCGTTGACGCTTACCCCGACTGGGCCTCGCCTTGGAAGGATGAAGCCGCCGTTTGCTTCCAGCGTGGGTTACCTGCGGCAGAAGGCTGGTTTTCTTCCATACTGCGGTGAAAAACGTTCTAGTGCTAGTGTGTGTTGGCTCGCTGAAGGCGACGCCATCCGTACCGTTGTTCGTGTACCGTTCCCTGACTCGCCCATGAAACACGACATCTTGGGTCCGATCGCAACGCTACTCTGAGTGTTTGCTGCTAGCCAAAAGGGCTCGCCTCAAAAACACCAGCCCTCTGCGCATTCTAGTTCTCAGCCCCCCTCCTGTGCTCGTCCGCTCTCCGTTCTTGAAGCGACCACGAACGAGCCCAACTTTTCTGTAAAGCCAGATTGGGACCCTAGACATTTTCGATTTTTCATTCCCAATTGTTCATGACGTCGTGGAACCACTCTTTGTTGACCATGCTCTCGGTAAGTTCTTGTTGTTTAATCCCTTTTGTCAGTTCCTTTTCCTTCTCATCTCAACTCCCCACTAACACCCATCTCTTCCGACCATGAAGCAAAATACAGAATAATATCTGTTGATGTCTCAGCCTCGCTGCTATGATGTTCTGGCTGGTCAATCATGATGACCCTCCTCTCCCCCCACTTCAAGCTCGAAGAGGTCTCCGAAGATGATATGGTCATTGCATCCCTGGCCTGGGGCTTTACTCTCGGGTTCGGCTGGCTCACAGTATGGACGGCGATCAAGCAGACGACCGCCATGTATAGGCGGCAAGGCGATCGCATTTACCGGAACTCATACATTTGGATGATCTGGCTGGAGATCCTCGTGTGTACCATCTTCAGCATCATTTGCTGGTTGCATCTCAAAGGCATCATACCGCCAAGGTGAGTCACCAACACTATTTCGGGTTGGTGTCGGTTTTATACTGACTGCCGTCGTCTTCAGCTTCGCATTCTACTTTTGCATCTGTAAGTGTCTTGCCACTGCCTTACTCGCCGAGCCATTTACTGACTACCACAGTGACCACTTGGGCTCTCCAAGTTCAATTTCTTCTTCAAATCATCATCAATCGATGCGCCATCCTCCTTACCAACCAGAAGCGGGCATGGCGGCTGAAAGTGGGCGTCGCTGTACTTATCACCGCCATCAACATCTCTGTCTACAACATTTGGGTGCCGGCTCGGTTACAGGTTTCAGAGAGATATATCGAAATCAACGAGTGGTGGGATCGCTGCGAGAAGGTTATCTACCTTATCGTTGATGGAGCGCTCAACATTTACTTTGTCCGCATCGTCCAGAAGAACTTGGTCACCCACGGCCTCACCAAGTACAAGCGACTGACGCAGTTCAACATGTTCATCATTGGTTTCTCTCTCAGCATGGACGTACTCATTATTGCGATGATGAGTCTCAACAACACATTTGTGTAGGTGGTTTTGCGAGAATCCCAAACTCCCGTGGTCGACATGACGACGGGGTTCGAGTGGGTGTGCATGGCGTACTAACATTGTTCTTTAGTTACATGCAATTCCATCCCTTAGCTTACATGGTCAAGCTGAAGATCGAGATGTCGATGGCCGAACTGATTGGAAAGGTTGCACGGAAGCGCGATCTCGGCATACTATCTGCTGCCGACTTCAATGGGAACCGAGACTCATACCAGCCGTCCGAGTACAGCTTGCAGTTACCCACTTACGCGAGAGGCCGCCCCGTCGGCGGAATCGACGCTACGATCAGCAGTCAACCCCCGAATCCCATCGAACTAAACAACGTTACGAAGCCGAAGATACCCGCATTGCGAGGAGTCAACGTCGCCGCCGTCAGCTCGGGGCCCAGCAGCCGGAGACCTTCGATAGGTGCCGCAAACGCTACCGACGCAGACGGACAGCCCAAGATGGCGATTTACAGGACACGAGAAGTAGTTGTCGAAATCGAGAGGGTTCCTCCCACCCAGGGCCACCAAGCCAGTGCGAGCCAGGCAAGCCAGCTCACCCTGGACGACTCTTTCGATATCACCAACTTTGAGGACGATTCGTCGATCAAGGGGCTCTCGATGCCTCCGCTCACAGCGGCCCAGAAGTCACTGGCACTACCAAACATTCAAGCCCCGTGGGCTACGCAAGAATTTAGCACAAAGATATGGGACGGCACGAAATGCGACGAGGACCCCACCCTGCCGACGACGATTGCGAAGATTGGATCGTGGCCCAAAGACACTTGAAAGAGGGGTTACTGATCAAGCGCACTACACTCTTGAGACCATACAGCCGAGGCATCTTGTCTGGCTAAGGTGGACCCCGACCACGCTCAGACAGAGCCGAGCGGTGATGCGGCGGGCGAAGCTTGGATGACGACTAAGAGACGCCACACATCACCCAATCGCTAGATCTGTCGCTGGGTGGGAAATCCTAACAGAAATCGGTTGAACGCCTTCTCTCTTCTACCTTTCTTACGCCACAATCCGTCGTGCGGCTGTCTCAACCCTTTGAGCCTCGACGCTGTGGCGGAATGGGAGAAGGATTCGATACGCCTGAGACTCCCGCTCTGCGTACGGCTCTCTGATGGCGTCCTGTTTCAGCATTGCGGTTTCACAAACGTTGCTGCAGAACACTAGATCCGTAGATCCGATCTAGAGGTCATCATCGACTCGACTCTGCTGAACTTTGTGGGATGAAGTATTTGGTCGAGGACAGTTGCATCGGCGTAATGCCGAGTTCGATCTCAATGAATCGATTTGTATATTCGAATCGATATTATTATATCAACAAAGTGCGACCCAAAAAAGTTTTGATTTGGATATTAGACGAAGGCGAGCATCTCAGGCAGTCATCAGGGACTACAACACCGGTCTTCATCGCGACTGCTCGAAAGGCTGCTTTCACCAGTAATGAGCGACGGAGTCGTTTTTTGGGTCGATTTAATTGGGGCTGACGCACCAAAACAATCATGGTCACCGAGCAAGGCGTTCAACGGCCGGGTCAACTTTTTGCGAGATATCTCTTTGGTTTGATTAATGATACATGGGCAGAGAAGCGCGAGCTCCTCTAGTCATTTTTCAGGTATACCCCGAGCTAGGAAATGAAATTCGGTATTGACGAACCACAACTATTTTCTACCCGTTTCAGCATCTATGTGCAGACGGAGCATTTTACGTGACGTGTTGATTGTCTATTAAGTGTAAGTCGCGGCGATCGCCAAGGAGTCGGAGAATATTGACACGTCGTCGGGGATATATTCGGAGTCAGTGGATGGCACGGGTATCCTGGCCATGTTGCACCAGTGTTTCCTTGACGATGTTTCGACTATGTTGGATTATGTTGCTTCGTAAGCTAATTTGTTCCACCCGTACGGCAACGCCCGCTTCCCCCGTCATCAAGGGTTGTGGGAAGAAGGTTGTGTGACGGGTGTTACTTTCAACGTTTGTGGTTCCTTTGGTCTTAGTGGCGGCCATCTGTTAGGGAGGTTCTGTTATGGTGTCTCTGGTGGTAAGGAGGCGTGTGTAATGCGATAAGAGATTGGTGTTGTAAGTTGTATCGTGGAACATGAAAATGCAACTTCGAGTGGTATACTACCTTACATGTAATATCCGGTTCAGATAGAGAGCAAGACTAGCGTGGGATTAAGTATGTAGATTCACGGTGCACATAACCTCAGGTTCCCTACAATACGGCGCATTTGTACATGGGAATATACCTAGGAAGAGTAGGGTAGTCTATGAGGGAGCAATCATAATAACCACGGTGACATGTACAACGGCAATCATAGCATTCTGTCCAGATAGCCCACCCTGGTCGAAACGTTCGAGAATTAACCTGACTGGCTGCTCGAGGTACTTTCTTTCTAGTCTTGCCTACTTCCCTCCCTTCTACTTTTCTTGTCCGGCATACAGGACACCTGAAGCCAAGCCAAGAGCCTCCTCTTACCGTCAGCTTGGTCACCTGGCTTGGAGCTTTCGAGGCTATCGCTCTTTATCCTTCTTCAAATGATGTTTGTCGATAAAAGTCATGTTCCGGTAAGGGCAGGCACGCCACTTGAAGAGTCGGCGACCGAGTGATCCACTTTTATCGGCACTCGGATCCGGAGTGGATACTATCACCGGCTCCGGGCGAGGATCATCCACTGGCAAAATTCTTTCGCCTACCAAATGCAGTGCTCCCTGCTCAGCCACACCAATAAAGTAAGGCAGGCAAGCTGTGCGGCAGGCTATGTACTTCAGTTTTCCAAACCCCTTCGCGTGAGTTAAAAGTGCAGTGCAGAAATGCGCGGCGGCTAAATGAATGCATTGTCATGGGCTTCAGAGGAGGGGTGCGCAAACCAAGTGTAGAAACTAGTAGAGGTGCACCGACGTCCAAGTCGTCACGACTGGTGGGCGACAACAAGGTCGAAACAGCAGCAAATCAAGGTTCCATGGCGACATGCGTTCACGGCAACTCGTCTTATTTAACGAGTTTACAAAATATTATCATATTTTGGAAGCCTTGGAAAGATGGTAAACTTTGGAGGAAACCGCCGCCAACTCTTGTCCTGAACCTGTTAGGAGGAGGTGCGTTGAAGGCCCTTTGTATGAGTTAAGAATGCAGTGTATTTGCTCGCTTGTTCTTGAGGGTATTGGCAAGCTGCTGCTGTAGCCACACCCTTCAAGGGCCCTTTGCGTGAGTTAAAAATGCAGTGTAGAGTACTACAGCCGGTATATTGCCTTGGCCGCCTTGTCTCGGTGATGACCGAGACTGTTTAGTACGCGGATGACTTTGGCAGACTTGGTGGGAGAAGGAAGCGTTCGTTCGGTCAGTAGAGTACGGCTTTGCCAAGTACGGGTATGATTATGTTATCAAGCCTAATTTTGATTCGTTGTGTCTGTTTTGAACTCCTTGTGCCCGAATAAATCACCAGTTGCACTATCGACATCATGTCATGCTCTTCAGCCACCGCCAGTCTTTGCTTTACTCGCGTCGCAGCCAGGTGGACTCCAAGGTTCTCTGCCCTCTCCAAGTTGCATGACTGTAGTGCCCAGCTGACTGTTCGGGTCTAATAATCGCAGGAAAAAGATAAACTGAAGTTGCCTTGCGCGTATTAGTCTGGGCTGAGCTCCTACGACTACAGCCGGCCGTGGGTATCCGGTGGTGCAAAGGACCCACTCCAATCGGTAACCCGGCTCCGGTCGCCGTGTAACGGACAGAGAGGCCTCCGCTGGCAAGTAGGTGGGCAGGAAACTTGAGTCCCAGTTAAAGCCATCGATTGTAACTTTTCTCGCCCGAACGACACGAAGGATTGATGTCCTCTGAATGCATTGAAAATGCAGTGCAGACTAAAGGGCTGTGCAAAACATGGGCCGAAAGTGTCAACCAGTTTGCCAGTGAACAAGTGTGTATCCGTGGAGTAGGTCTTATTCGCAATAGCGAGATTTAATCGCCAGAAGAAGCCCTTGAAGCGGCGTATATCTAATCAAACTATCTTCTACCATCGTGGAGCACCTTCTCATGCCACGCGCCTAGACCCTCGTTGTCTTGGTGAGGGGGAATCATCACTCTCAGCACCTGCGCTGACTCTTGCTATCCATCCTCTAGACATGTCGAAGCCACTTTGAGTGAGTTAAAACTGCAGTGAAAGGTAGTGGTGGAGTAGACGCATGCCAAGGGTGGAACAAGACAGGAGACATTAGGTAGGTACGTATTTGCCTCGACGAGTTAAATCGACGTTGGAAGCATTTGGCAAAAGTGACGATATTACACGGCGCACAACTGTGGACTTCTAAGGCGAGAAGAATTCGACCATGTAATGTGGCTGATGATGTAACAAAAGCTTGATTGTTTTCGTTACTCAACCAAACGACTTTTTCTCGTCGCAAACTCTGGCAGCCGAGAAGAGCCAACGCTTGACCACCTCAGACTATCAGGTACCTTATCCCATCGACATGAAGCCACAATCTGCATCGCCAACTGTTACCTCGCAGCCAGCTGAACCCCCAGGGCTTTCTCTCCTCCTGAACAAGGTCTCAGATGACGAATCCTCCCTCGTATCACAGAGCCCCCTCTAATTGGCCACCCAATAAACTCGACACATCCCGCCGCAAAGCCCGGGCACCTCGGTGCACGCGGGGTACCGCCCGGCTCACACTGAGCCTCTAGAATGCGACCACCGGTGGGATGCTATCGAACCAAGAGAATTCCCGATGGTGGCACAGCATCCATCCATCCCATCCAACAGCTGGGAATCCCGACTCCCGAGTCCATTGGATTGCAACCAAGTAATTGTTAGTGCCTCCCTTACCTCCCCGCTTGCCGGTTGCCGGGCAGCAGCCCAGCCCCCATGGCTGCGGCCGATCCGACACTACAACCAAGCATACCAAGCTAAACTACTGCACGTCGGACGGATGCAACGACGCGGGCTGGGTAAGCGTAGCTTGGGAGCCTCCAACCAACGGCCCAACGCGACGTTTTCTTCTCCTTTTTCCCTTGCGTTTTTCCCCTCTTCTCCACATAAAGTAGCTCTTCTCAGGATTCCTGGATTCGCATCGCACCACGCCATTACGGGGGGATCGACTCCCACTAGACAACGGGGACAGTCCCCCAATCAACGGTCCCGATATTAATAGGATCGACCGCGGGGAAGAAGAGGATGCTGTCATGCAGGCTTGCAGCTAGGGGGCACTGCCGGGATGGTAGAAGGCTTTCAGCTTTTTTTTCCCTCGTTTGTTGTCACACGTCAGACTGGAGCCACCGCGCCCATCAGGATCCAGGGAAACAATACACGAGAAAAAAAGCAGGGAAAAGCAGGGGAAAACAGAGAAGAAAGAAAAAGGGATTTCTTGGACTCGCTAAAGCTGATAGAAAATCCATATTTACTCCGTCTCCCCCCTTTCCTGTCCCTTTGGCCTAGTGATTCCGCTTCTTCCTTCTATTCCCATTCCGCAACTGCCATCACCAGTGACTGAAGCATCTGAAAAAAAGACATCACGATACCCAACTCCTACCACCAACCTCAACCTCACACAACCACACCCATCCCACCAAACAAACCCACCACCAAACCGCAACCATGTCCTCAACAGCAGTCTCAACAGGCACCGCCTCCGCCCCCTCCGCCACCTCATCAACAGTCTGCACCGCAAGCCTCTACGACACCCCCGAACACGACCGCGTCTGCGCAATGCCCTACGGCGGAAACCACACAGACATCATGTCCGCCTGCTGCAACGACGCCGACGTGGTATCCTACTACGCAAACTGCGGCCTCTACTGCCTCGCCCTAGACCAATCCGTCAAAGACCTCCAAGACTGCCTCTTCGAGCAGGGAGCAGGCTACACCGACGTCTTCTGCCGCGACAACGGCAACGTGAACGCCTCCGCCACGGCGACGGGCAACGTCGACCCGCCCGCTTCGGCGCAGGCTAGCGTCGTTGCCTCTGGTGGATCGGGCTCCGGAGGTTCCTCTTCGGCGAGCGGGAGCGGGAGCAGTTCGAGCTCGACTTCGTCGGCGAACGCGGCGGCGGCGGGTGTGCGTGTCCCTGCTGGGGTGAACACGTTTGGGCTGACAATTGGCGCCCTGCTTCTCTCTGCTGCGACTTTCGGCGCTCTTCAGATTTAAGGAAAAGGGCAGAAATTCTAGCAACGGGAAACAAGGGTCATGGAAACAGGGCCATGGAAATTAACATGGCTGGGCTATGAGTTCCTGGACATGAGGAGACAAACGGCCGATCGACACAATGAAATCACACCACGACGTTCTCAACGTCACAATACTCGGTAAACACAGCAATGCCGAAGACAGTTAGTTAAGCAAATAATAGCAGATCATGGAGAAAAGCACGCGATATCCCTCCAGCGTGCAAAGAGGATGATGTATTTATTTAGTATGTATGCCAATCAATTCACAACAAGAATTCCATAAAATAAGAAGCGACTGTTTCGCTTGCTATTGGGCAGAGGATCATCATTTCGTGAGCAACAGACCGTGTAAGCTGACAAGCATGCCTCATGAAATCTCAGCTGAGGCTTTCAGCTCCGAAAGACGCCTCAATCGAGCTGCAGTACTAGTGTCAGCGCATAAGCTGAGCACCATGGTCTGCATCTTGGTCAAAAAAGTGGCCCTACACTCTACCAACACTTCCTCGCTGGACATCGCTTAATCGCGGATATCAAAGTGAGCAGGCTTGTCCATCGACCACACAGAAATCGCAAAGTTTGAACGTTTAAAGCCATGTTCCATTACATTATCTGAGCTCAGGCAATATTCATACGTAATGGCCCGTCTCTCCAAAAGAAAAAGAAAAACCTCGAGTAACCGCAAGTACTGAGACGAGAACCCAGCATCCATGATCATAAGTCATACATCATGATAACGTCGTGATAACATAGACTCCGTTCCTTCTAAACTTGCGCCTTCGCCAAATAATCGCCTTCATACTCATCTTCTCCATCGCAGATAACACCGTCAAACTTTGCGACCGCTCGCCGCCCTATGATGCTGCTGCGCTTCATGTTCCGGCTCGCCACCTCCCTCTTCTTGGCACCATAGCGGTCGAGTCCTTCCGGAGGGTTAAAACGTCCCGGTCCCATCATCGGCGAACCTCCTGCAACATCATCGGGAACACCAGAATTGACTTGAGTCACAGGCTCATTGTTGCCAGACGCCCCAGAGTCCCTTGCTCCCAGACCGCTGCCGTACGCGCCATCAGGGCTACTCTTGGGCAGCGCATTGATGATGCTCTGTATGAGAGAAGCAATGTCGATCTGAGGCTGCGGTGCAGGGTTCGGAGACGCCGGAGGAGTTTTGCTGTCTTGAGGATTTCCTGCCGGAGGTGGCGGAGACTGGCCTTGACCTGGTGTCTGAGGGGGTGATGCCGGCGGTGCGGCAGGAGGTGCCGCCGGAGGTGCCGGTGCTGTACTTTGAGGGGTCGATTGCGGATTCCCGGTACCTCCATTGTTTCCCGTGCCAGATCCACCGTTGCCATTGCCGTTGCCATTGCTATTCCCGTTACCGTTGCCAGCACCGGGACCATTGGCAACATCGTCATCAGACGGCAAGCTCAGAGCCTGGCCGGTTTTGCTGTAAACGGTGACAGCCCAGTCACCTCCACAGAGATCAGTTGACTTGCCGTCGCAGACTTCGTTGCACTTCTCCTCCGGGATGCGTACGGCCAACTGGAACGCAGTGCCACACCAGCACTCCTTGCCGTATTCCGTGCCGGCAAGCTGGAACCCCATCGAGCCACAGTGTGCAACACACTTCTCATTTGACATGCCTCCTGTGAAGTATATGGACGGGTCGCCGTCGAGAGTCCGAATGGTAGAGTCTTTGAAACATCCAAGGTACTCCCAGCCAGTGACCTCGGCAGCGGCTTTAGGTCCGTTGCTGCTCGGAGACCCGTTACCAGAACCTGCACCTGCATTGCTCCCAGGTGCCGGACTCGAAGGTCCGGTGTTGCCAGGTGTTCCGTTGCCGCTTGGTGCACCTGAGCTTGAGCCGTTACCTGAGCCGTTCCCAGAACCATTGTTTGGTCCAGGTCCGTTGTTGGGGTTGCCATTGGCAGGGCCCGTAGGAGAATTACCGTAGCCAGCTGGAGGATTGCCGGCACCGGGGTTGCCTTGACCATTCCCGAAACCAGTATCTGGAATGCCATTAGGTGCTGGTGAGACGGGACTGGGAGGGTGTTCAGGGCTGACTGTAGGGTTGGGATTAGATGGAGGGGGGGCAGGAGACACAATCGGTGGTTCGGGAACGTTGGCAGGACCGCCGCTACCAGAACCATTTCCAGAGCTACCGTTGGGTCCAGATGGATTCGTGGGTTGGCCGCCAGTGGTTGTGCAAGGCGTTGATGCGGCGTTTCCAGGATCGCCGGCTCCTGGAGCAGCTCCGTTGCCCGTATTGCCATTGCCAGGATCGTTATTTCCCTTGCCCTTGCCCTTGCCAGAGTTGTCCGGGTCTGGGTTGGGGGCTGAGCCAGCACCATTGCCTGGAGGATCGGTATACCGACTATTGCCCGTTGTTGTGCAAGGCGTAGATACAGCCGGAGAGCCACCATTCCCAGAGTCGCCATTGACAGGCGTTCCGTTGTCAGGTGTTTCATTGCCGTTGCCTCCGTTGTCGTTACCACCATCGCCAAAACCATCATTGTTGCCACCATCTCCAGTGCCGCCGTTGCCAGCTCCAGTGGGTTGGGGAGCGACAAAAGCTGTCACGGTCTTGATAACAACGATAATAGGATCATTTGCAGCAGCGGGTGCCATGTTTTTGCTGTCAGGAGCACAGTACCAGCCACCTTTGCAGTGGTAGCAAGGCCATCCCATCCCGCAGGGCGCTGGCAGCATTGGTGTTTCTTCTGGGGGGCAGAACCATCCATTGAGACACTCGGAGCAAGAGTAGCCTCGACCAGGGCATGGGCACGAACCGGCAGGAGGCTTTGCTGGAGAAGCTGGGCATGCAGGGCATTGAACAACGGCAGGGCAATCGGAAATGGGAATGACTGGTGTGCCTGGTGGGATGTTGTTCCCAGAGAAAGGATCTTGTCCGTCGTCAACTCCGAAGATCGAGCCGCCTGGTTGAGAGGTCGGAGAGGGACTCTGGCCGTTGCCGCCATTGGCCGGCACGCCGGTTGGATTGGAGGCAGGTGTTCCGGCAGCGATGGTCAACGTTGTCAGGGGGCTGGCTGCGGGAGCTGATGCTGGCGGCGGACTTCCTGCACCACTACTTGCCTGGTTGGGGGCTTGAGTAGCAGCAGGAGGAGGGTTGGCTGGAAAGGTACGTCAGTACACTGTGTAAGCCAAGATAAAGTGTCTCTTACCTGGCACGGGATTTGTAGGGCTTGAAGATTGCATAGGTGGTTGAGCCTGACCTGCTGGAGCAGTGTTCTGTGGTTGGTCATTGTTGCCAGGGCTTCCGGCTCCAGCTTGCATCGAAGGATTATTAGCAGGAGGAGTAACATTCGCGCCACCAGCTGGAGGTGAGGCTGCTGAGGGGGACTGCGGAGGTTCAGCTGTCGGAGTTGCCACAAGAGTGGAAGGGCCAGCTTGAGAGGATACAGGAGGGCTGGCCGGGCCGGCTCTAGAATTCGAAACTGGGACGCCAGACGAAGATGCTGCCTGTGTGAATGGAGGAGGTACGCCCTCGGGGCAAGGGGTTGCGAGGAAAGTGGGAATCCCACTCTCAATCTTGATGACACTGCAAAGACCACCGTCGGTTGGCAAGTCGCCGGGGAGCTGGGGGGCTGTTGTTGGAAGCGGTAGAACAGCTGAAGCGGACTGCAGGGACTGCAGAACATTTTCGATGCTTGAGATGATGATTGGGTTGCTGAGTCCGGTGGGAATAGCTGCAATTAGAGACGAGAGACTTGGGATGGCTGCAGTGGCACTGGCGATGTCAGATACGCCAATCGCTGAAGGAACGTGGCCAACGATGGAGGAGACAACGCTGACAAGTACTTCTGGAATATTGGTGATGATAGAGGCGCCGTTTCCAATAGCCGCAGTGACTTCTGAAACCGGAATTCCGCCAACGGCTTGTGTTGGAAGAGGCACGGATAGTACAGACCCTGCAGGCAGAGGTAGAACAGAGCCACCAACACCGGCAATGCTGTTGATAACACTCTGGACCGGATCCAGTAATCCACCGTTGGATCCTTCGACACTCGGGATGGCTGTCGGAATAACGGGACCGCCACCATTTTGGAGTATGGATTCAACCACCGCGGGTTCAAAATTGGTAAGAACTGGTACAACATTTCCGGGGTTGAGAATGGATGGAACTGGAGTTACTACGGCCGCAAGTGCTGAAGTTAAAGAAGCGAGTAAACTGGGAATAACACCACCAAGAGGACCTTGCTGTTGCTGGTTATTGGGAGTGACTGGCGCAGCCGCAGTGAGGGCAGTGGTGATGACGGGTTGAGCAGGATTAACAGCGGTAGTAGATTGACCGCCACCAAAGATCCACGGAAGAAACTGCCTGGCTTCGACGTTGGTGTCCCTCTTGACCAGAGTGGGCTTGTCCTGGATTGGTAGAACGGCCTGGGTCATAGCAAAGGCTGTGAAGAAGGCCAAGACGATGAGGGCAATGCCAGCTGCCGTCTGGCTTTGGCGTTGTGAGGGCATCGAGGGCCCAGGGAGCCGCATGATGATGGTGTTTTGTTGCTAGGAACGGACGAGAATAGAAAGAGTGGAATGACGAGATGTGCTGCGTATAGAGCACTACCTGAGGAAATGAAGGTTCCAAAACTTGGGTTCCAAGAAAATGAGCCAAAACAGGAGCGAGAGTGTGATGGTGCAGAGAATGAGATGTGTGCGAGATGGATGGAAGAGAAGAAGAGGTTGAAGTTGGATAGGATGGGGACAAAGGTATTATATGTGGTTCGTCATATTGGGAATGCTGCTGCTGCTTCTTCAGGGAGATGTGAAAAGCAGGAAGCAAGTGATGGAGGAAGAGTGACAAGAGGGCCTTCTAGTTTCCCAGTCAGAGACCAAAGAGAGCAGGAAGTGATGGATCTCTCATTTTCTGAAGTCATTTGTGAGAAAGAAGAGGACACCGGTAGGCATTGACACGAAGCCTCGTCGTCTAACATGCACCTTCTTCGCTCACCACTTCTATTTTGGCAAGTCAAGGCCTGGCCTAGACGTGTAGATGCCTTCCCGTCACGATGTTCGAAAATCAGAAGCAGTGTCCCTTTATTCTGAGCCGCAAAAAAGATGGGATGAACAATTCAAAAAGAGAAAAAAAAAAGAAAAGGGAAGATGGAGGGTGAATACTGACCTTATAATTCACGCCCCTGCTCGGGTTCGAACAGCGCGCCCCTCAGTCAACCCAGAATCTCTGACTTCAATGGAGTATTTAGTTTATCAGCCATTCAACCACCTCACACACAGCTTGACCTGGACCTCGCCAACCTAGACGGGCGCTGCTGTGCTGGTGACGAGAATGGTGACTAGACCCCCTAAGTACCCTCCATGGGAAGGAGGCACATGGGAATGGGACAGCGCTGGTGGAGCTGCCTTCGGAATACTCAACTGCCTTAGGCAAGGTATCTGGTCAAGGTACTTGCCCGATATCAAGATGCCAATTTGCTCTTCCAAGTAGAGTAGGTGCCTCGGAAGATCCACCTTACTACTGGGAGAATATACTTTCCCTGCTCGTGGGAAGGACCGGCAGTGTTTTTCTCTCACAGCTTGCCGGACATGACCCCGAATTATGGCCCGGGAGAGCACAACCTGTTCCTTCAAGTGAGAATTAATCAGGTATGCCTTTACACCAGCATCGAGAAGGCAGCCGGGAAGTTGGACAACAGTAAGCACGAACACGGCTTTGTTTTCCCGTGAAAAGGCGTAGTAGTTACCACACTTACCTATTCCTTTGCTCATGCATCATGGAGTAAGAACCTCCATCATCGGAGCGAGACTTCAACTACTTGCGATATCAGTTCGTGTCTACGTTTACTTGCCCGAGGCGCAAGAAACACATTGCTGATAGAGAAGGAAGAACGTCTGCGAATCTTCATGGCCACATGCCACTACTTCATTTGTTCAATAGGTATCTCGCAAGGTCTACACCTGCTACCGTCATTATCAATGCGTTTCCAATTCCACCATGCCTTGTCCCATAATGTCCCTCTAGGTACTTGCTGCAATGTGTTCCTCCCTCTTGGCTCTTCTATAACCTGTCGCCAGACGAGCTCTACGTAGCACCAGCAGTCTATGCCTTGCCTTCGTCCTTGCCCCAACGCTGGGTCTCGTCACCGCCCTTCCACTCCTTCTCGACGTAGCCAAGCTCGCCCTTGACCTTGATCACCGTCTCCTTGTCACCCGTGTTCTTGCCAATGTTGTCGCTGCAAGGTCCAGTTAGCATGTGGCGCCAAAATTTTCAGTCGAAGAAACAAGAGATGGGACTGACCTGATCTTGATTGCTGGGTTGCCGTTGGCGGAACTCAGCTTGATAACAATATTCAACGGCACCGACTTGGTACCAGTCTTCAAATGTGTGAAATCATTTGTCAAAAACGTGCCTACACCAAACGTCGGCGTGAAGCCCGCCGCCTCGGAGATGGCCTGGTACTCCAAACACTTTTCAATATCAAGCGAGTCGGAAAACACCATCGTCTTCTTGTCCTTGATCCCCTGGCTGTCGTAGTACGTCCGCAGCATCTTGACATAATCAGCCGGGTCGCCACTATCCTGGCGCACGCCCTGGAACAGCTCAGCGTACGTCTGCAATCTACTCCCATCCGCCGTCTTGAACTTGCTCTCGTCGCCATCAAGAGCGTGCACCGGCTGACTAAACGACCTCAAAAACTCCTGCGTGCCAAACGTGTCCGTCAGCGCAATACCGAGCTTACCGCCGAAGCAGCCAACCCAGTACCGTAGCGCCAGCTCCGTCGCAGCCTTGTAATCGTTGTGAATGGCAGCAATGCCCATAAACCACTCGTGCGCAACAGTACCCACGGGCGGGATCCCGAACCGCATGGCCAGGTGCACGTTGCTGGTCCCCGTCAGCTTGCCCTTGAAGCCCTTCTTCTCCCCTTCCTTGCTCGCCTTGACGAGGCCGCGGAACACGAGGGCCTGGGTGTGGTAATCGCGCCGGCGACGGGTGCCAAACTCGGAAAAGGTGCAGCCGGCCTCGAGCAGGCGCATGCCCTTGCCGAAGGCCTGGTCTTCCTGGCCCTCGTAGCTCCAGTCCGTGTCCATGAAGCGGAAGTAGGCCTCGGAGGTGAGGGCGAGGAGGGGGATCTCGTAGAGGATTGTGTCGAGCCAGGCACCCTTGATCTCGACGTGGAGGTCGCCAATGTCCGAGTCGGCGCCCGTGTCGTCGCCGACGGGGTGGAAGGTCGCGACGGCCTGCTCTCTCGGCGACAGGCGGAATTCCTTGAGGAACTGGATGTATTCGTCGGTCAGGTAGGTGCAGTGGGTCTTGAGGAAGCGGTATTCTTCGTCGGAGAGAGAGATGTAGCCAAGTTCTGTTCAGGGCGCCGCATGGGTGAGTCAGTCACAGGTGTTCCGCGTCTCGATAGTGGTGGGCGGGGGGTTGGAGAGGTTCTCTCTCCCTCTTTGACTCACTTCGGATTTGCTCTTGGAGCCACTTAAAGGCAGCTCTCGAGAGCTTCTTCTCGGGTGTGCGGTTCGTGAATGCGTAGGTGACTGGGACGTCTTTGAAGTACTTGAAGACGGCGCATTGCATCGTCAGCTTGTAGAGATCAGTATCCAGGAAGGATATGACGCCCTCGGGAAAAGGCGACGAGCTGTTGAAATCCATGGTCGCGGATTGCCGTGGTGTGTCGGTGGTAGTGGTGGTGGTGGTTGGATTCCGCGCAATGGGTTACAATGTGGGTGTCGCGGTTGCAATGCGACGCAATTAAAGAAGAAGATGGAGGGCTGAGTTGTTTGCAGCCAGAGATCGGCAGAAGAAAAAAAAAAAAGAGTCTGCAGGCGAGGTCGGAATGCGCGTGTTACAACGGCGCGATCGTGACAAAGCTCGGAGCAAGGAGGAGGAGGGGGAGGGGGAGGGGTTGTGTACTTGTGAAAGGGAGGATGACGAATCTGTGGGACTTTCGGCAGCAGCTGCACGACACTCCTAAAACCAGCAAGCTTTCATGCCCGAATGTGACGGGACGGAAGCTGATTGATAAGGCGCACTTCACACTGTCAATAGAAATGGGAGAGCGGATGGGCAGGGGTTGCTCAAGTTCCCATGCGATTTTTACACAGTTATTGTCGCAGTTTCGACTCAGAGACGGGGGGTGAATGAGGGGCAAAAAAAGGGCCATGGGATTCCTTGGAAGTTGGGTCCATCAAGGTAATTGACTTCCTGCTTGGCACGTCTGCTGTGTACCTACGGAGTACACCTGCCTTGATCAATAGTCTGAGTTTCTTTTCATTGATCCATTGACCAAATACCGTATACCAACACGAAATACATTTAAGTTGAACCCAAAGCAGAGAGAAAGAGCAGAAGCTACATGTAGATACCTAGACACTCGTCGGAGTTGGCCGGCGCATCAGATTTGACGGGTCCCGCGCTTCCCATGAGCAGTACAAGCAACCTAACAGCCATCGAGCCATCGTACCATCTTACTGGTGCGCAATCACCACGTTAGTCTCTGCAGATGGAAGGGGTCCAGCCATGTTTGCAGCCAATGATGCTCTATGACGCTTTAGGGAAGTTTCTGAGGTGCCGTTGCGGAAGACGCCGTGGCTGAGCCTCTGAGGTTGGCTTATGTAAGCGGGAGATTGACATGAGCAGCAATAGCAGCACATTCTACCTTCCCTTACCTTACGTAGTACTCCGTAGGTATATACCATATACCTAGAGCAAGGTACCTACGTGTGAAACCACACAACAAATACACCTCCTATGATGAGAAGATGAGAACTATAGCAGTATATAACCTAGTCTCAAGCAACAAACGTACCTAAGTCAAGGTATAGAATGATCAATATCGTTATTTTGCAACCAACTCCTTTAACTCAAGAAATGCACACTTCGTACACTACTGACTTGGCGCTCTCGTCCTCTCAGATGCGTCCCGCCAGCGGGGTGGAGGGGCACATGGAGCACAGACCACACCTTAATTATTTTTGCATCCTCCGACCGCCGACAAAACTTTTTGGCAGCCGTAGATTTTTTTTATTTTTTTATTTTGCCAAAGCAGGACGAGCAGCCGCCAAACCTCGCCAGCCTCACCACCACCACACCGAACCTCACGAGCTTGTCTTCAACAGCTCCTTCCAAGATCGATAGGTCCAATTAAGCTTGGCTTCCAATTGACCACCAACACCCGCGATCGCAAGGCCTCGAGGCCAGCCACGTTCCCTTCGCAATGGACCTCCATCGCTGCCGCTTCGTCCCCTACCCGCCCTCCGCCATCAACGCCCTCGCCTTCTCCCACCCCTCCACCCGCTCAAAGGCCCAAGCGACCGCCTCCCGCCTCGCAGTCGGTCGCGCAAATGGCGACATTGAGATCTGGAACCCGCTAAGCGGCTCCTGGCTCCAGGAGACCGTCCTCCGCTCCGGCTCAGACCGCTCCGTCGACGGCCTCGTCTGGGCCAACGATCCCGACGCCGTCTCGCCCTCGCGTCTCTTCAGCATCGGATACACCTCCGCCGTCACCGAATGGGACCTAGAGACCGGC